GGGGGGGGGGAACCTGGAGCCTCGCCCTAAGTTCCCGAAGGATTGCGCGGCACAGCTACCATTATCCGAAGGATCAGGGTAAGATAGATCTACCTCAGGCCCCGGCCAAACGGACCGTCTTATGCAATCACATACATATCCTCAAAATATGCTCAATGCAGCGTGATAGACCAAAGATCTTTTCATTGTCTGCGCGCTGGAAGCTCTAAAGCTGCGTTATTGTGGCGCAGACAGCTTGATGGTAACTTACATGGAGTCTTTTGCACTCTTACAGAGCGGAAGTGTGGAACTTGACATCAGCTACAAACCTTAGAATATGCAGGAAGTCCATATCCGGGCAAATCTTACGAATAAGAGGCGCGCCACCATCTCGAACCAGGCGGGCCGTCGTCTCCGGCCCCTGAGCCCCGAGCGGTGGCGCTCGGAAACCGGGAAGGATTGCGAAGGGTAAATTCGAAGTCATCATCCTTCATGGACCCTGAAGAATACAGCCGGAAGGATCGGCGGGGCTTGAATTATACCTCGACTTTCCTTTTCCGCTGCCGACTGCGGCTCTCATGCTAGATGCTGGGTGGAGAGTGTCTCCTCTCCAAACACATCAATGTTGACAACCTATCCCCTCTCCGTCACCCATACTAATCTTTCAAATGTCTGAAACCAAAGACATGACTCAATCCTGGCGCATTTACCTGTACGGCGCTGGCTCTATTGCATGGCGACATGGTGTTGCAGCGGAGAGTCTAGGTCACGATGTCCAGCTCTTTGCGGCGGACCCTTCAAAAGAGGCTCGACAAGCATTGCTCGCCAAATTCCCCAAAGCTACCATCTATGAACATACCGAAGCCATGCTCGCCAGTTCTCCGGGGCAAGAGCGCGACATAGTCGTGATAGCTGTGCCCCCATTCTTGCACCATGCAGCAACACTCCGTGCGTTTCGATCCGGCCGTCACGTCCTCTGCGAAAAGCCCCTAGCAACATCCGAGACGGAGATGGACGAGATGCTAGCTGCAAGTGCTGCATCCGGTCGTATGTTTGGAGAGTGCAGCTTTCGGTATCTCGGAAACGAAGCGTTGGACCGCGCCCGCCATTTGATCGAGACGGGAGGGATAGGCTCTGTATATCACGCCCGCTTCATCAACCGGCAACCCAGGGCCCGCGCGGGGATCGAGTACCAACCGTCAAGCAGATGGTTTCTGGAAAAGGAGAAATCTGGTGGGGGCATTATCTTCGATTGGGGCGTCTACGACATCACCATGTTCTTCGACGTCCTCCGTCCTGTTGCTGCCACGGTCAATTATGCCTGGTCAGCCACGCCAAAGACCGGCGCGGACCCATCTGAGACGTCCATCTCTATCGAGACGCACGCTGGTGCGTCTCTGACATTGACGCTTGAAAATGGTGCCGTCATCCCCTTGTACTGGGAGCGAGCGAGCGGGTTTCACGGAGACGCCCAGGTTGCTCTGAACATAGACGGCACGGAAGGAGGTCTGACGTGGGAATGGGTCCCGACGTTTGACTACAAAGACCAAGTCGACGCGTTGGAGGAAGGCTTCAAGCTCGTGCACTATGTCGATGATAATGGCAAAGTCGATGCTAGGGAGGAGACGTTCCCTGCTTTCGGGTGGGAGGACGCAAACCAACGTCCCTTGCTCTCCTTTGTTGATTTGATCGAGGGAAGGGATAGTGAAGCTCTTTCTAGGAGCCGGCTGGAGTTCAATTTTAGTGTTATGTTGGCTATTTACAAGTGCGCCTCTGAAGGCAAGCCCGTTCATATTCAGCTGAAGTAGAATCATGTAATGAGAAACATGAACTTGATAATATTTCTACGATATTGAATATTTCAAGCGTATTTGGTTGATAGGCATCTGCAGGCAATATCGTCCTGTCTGAATCCGAAGCAGCAGGGCGAAAGATCTTGCAAAGCCTAGAATGTTTAGAAGACGCAAGTCGACGCCGCTGTCGGTTGACTCAATCAAAGCGATTTGGGGACATCAACTGGGACACCGAGTGGACGGTCGGGCTCGAATCGTGATGCGCAGCCGCGACGCAGAGAAGATATTATGCGCAAGAATCGTTTAGACTTTGTATAGAGGTACAGCTAGATCAATGGCCATAAGCCAGCAGAGGTATGGCTAGTGCTCGCACGCATCCCTTCCTCTGTATATTCCAAGTATCTGTCTCTTCCCAAATGGACTGATCAAAGCTCTTGACTAGTCTCTTTGCCCTTCCGCAATTTGAAAATGGTTATGATATTCCCAGTCCACAGCTCATAGCCTCTCCGCAGACATCTCCAGTGCCACCTTCTCACTACTACCGGGAGTAATGGTGTGAGAAGCTTCCTCCTGATTGACCTTTGCCTTGGAGGTACGGAATCGGAATTCAGCCTCATTCCACCTTTTACCAAAGCCATATTCTGGGTGCCAGATAGTCAGGCACAGGCATGCTAGTATAATCATGGTTCCGTCAAGAATCATGAACTCGACCTCTTGGTTGGCCAGCTTCCCCCCAAAACCCTCGCTGAGCTCGACAGAACGGAACACGGTCCGCACAAAGAGGAATGCGGTTGCGCCGAAGATTGCTGTGAGTCTTGTTAGCACAGCTTTTCAGGTCGGGTGATGTTGATCCAAGACAGAAAACATACCAAACAAGAACATTTTGAATCTTTTGCTGCTGACAAGGTCTGTGAATTCCGGGTTGCGCAGATCTGGGTTCTTTCTCACGCGCCAGAGGAATTCAAGACTGCAGGCCGAGAATGCAAACAGACAAGCAACCTGGATCGAGAGACCTGCGACGAGGATGTTTGTTCCCACCTTGATCTAAAGGCAACCGATTGTAAGCACCAAACTATAGAAGCAAGTAAGATCGCTATAACAAGGCTAATGGGTGGATGTAGTACCATGTGTGGATTATCCAATGGCGAAGATGCAGCAATGCCCCCGCCAACAGCCTGAACAACAAGACTGACGATATCGCATCCCAGGAACGCTGTCGTATACGACCGAGGCTTGATCCGGCTAATGGCCTCCCCGTGGACCACGACGATGCGTCCGAGAGTCAGGTAGATCGCGGCCGCGATGAAGACAGGACCAATCGTCAGCGTGATGAGGTACCACAAAAAATAGTCTCTGCTGAAGGGGTTCCCATTCAAGAGAACCCTGGCGATGTATCCGACGGTCTCCGTCAACAAGCCAAGGCAAATGGCTATCATGAAGCCCTTTGTTTTGTGCACTATGCCCAGATAGATCTGACCGCATGCGAGAACGGCCATAATAACTAGGAAGATAACATTTCCGGGAACACTCGGTCGATAGCGTACGAAGCCCCATTGTTCGACGGAGCAGGTGTCTAGAGTGCAGACGAATCCTGGAATGTAGCCTTCAGGGGCCGACATTGTGAACCGAGTTTTGTGGAGATGTCGGATCTTTGGGAACCTTGAAGAAGATCGGTTGCTTGAAAAGAAAGTGGAGGAACCCTTGATTTGGCGTATTTAAAGCTAGGGATGAGTTGAGGGCTTCAAGAACCTGCGGAAAGGATGATACCGGTGGACTGGTAAACGTTTCTTGGCCCAACCCCTTTGTTGGTTGATAATACTAAGTATGTTGCTGGCTACATGATTGGATAGAAGCCGAGACAGATGCAGCTGAGGCAAATGCGACGGCTGAACTTCCCTTAGTTCCGACCTCTCAAACGAGACTGTAGTAGGTGCATGTAAGTCGGCCCGAGACGCCCGGGGGATTTTGGCTAAATCAAAGCATCCCCATGGGGGCCCAGCCAAGGAGCCCACGGATCGTCGTGCCGAAAAGCTTGCCACCTTTATATATGCGCTGTGCTGTGCCGCCCGGCTGCGGCGTCGAGCCAGCCGAGCCGCACACAACTTGGCGGAGGCTTCACAGACGCCACATCGAGACTGATGTGTATATCCGTAGACGCAAGTCATACATCCGTCACCCCCATTGGGATCAGTATTCCTGCCGCTGTGGCCCAACACCGCGAGAAAGGCATGGAATGACTGACGTCGGAATTTTCGGGACCAAGAAGCCACGGCGGGAGGACTCGCTATCACATCGAAGGATCCCCTGAATCCTTCATAATATGCATCTTCTGCCAGGCAGCACTTCGGTATTCCTAACTTGGACTCATTCACTTTGCTTCAACGCTTGCCTCGAGAGGCACGGCGAGCCGTCCAAAGCTGCAATCCTAATTCGACCATAGGCTGTCAGCTACAACTCTCCCGGAAATCGATTTCTGTGATACTTGGGCCTTATCTTCAGGGCTATAGGATTCGTCATCGGATAGGAACTGTCGAATGTTGTTCCGACCAGCGCTCACGTCCCTATTGTCTTGCTTGTGAGATTTCAGCGTGGGAGGAGATGCCAAGGGCTCAGGTCTTCAGTTGCTGATAACACTTATAGGATCAAAAGATGAGCTAGTATCAGCTTAGTATTAAACAACAGGCTCCCGTTGAAAAAATGATTTGTACAATTCCCTGGAGCCCAAATTAATTGATTTCACGAACAATTCTTTTCGTGGCTCGCTGACGTCTTTACTGGTCGAAGTTCTTCCAAATAAAAATTTCTTGAGGCTGTCTTCGTTTTCGTTACAAACATGACTGAACCAAGCCCAAGTCCCATAGCCATCATTGGCATGGCATGCCGTCTGCCCGGTGGCTCAGACAACCCAGACAAGCTTTGGAACATGCTTTCCGAGGGACGAAGTGGCTGGCGTGAGATCCCCGAAGACCGCTGGAACAGGGATTCCTTCTACCATCCAGATCCCGAGGCAAAAGAGGCCGTCAACTTCAAGGGCCTTTACTTCTTGGACCAAGACATTACTGCTTTTGATGCACGCTTTTTCAACGTTCATCCGCACGAAGCCCACTGCCTCGATCCACAGCAACGCATCTTATTGGAGACAACATATGAGGCTCTGGAGAATGCTGGGCAAACTATTGCCGGTATCAAAGGCTCTGATACCTCGGTACATGTCGGAGCCTATGCTACTGAGTAAGTACTCTTTGATTCCTGCCACGAGCATATTGTCCGCTCAAAAAGCCATGGTACCCGCCCAAGGCTGTGATGCTCAATCGGTCTAACTCATGTCCTTAAGCTTCGAACGCATGGGTTACAAGGACACGGCAAGGACGCCAAAGGCCCACATGATTGGCACTGGAATCGCAATTCTCTCCAACAGGATCTCCTACGTCTTTGATCTCAATGGCCCATCCAGCACAGTCGACACTGGGTGTTCGGGAAGCATGGTGGCCTTGCATCAGGCATGCCATGGACTTCGAGCGAGGGAGTCAAAGATGGCCATCGTTGCCGGTACTCAACTAGTCCTCACCCCTGATCAGATCATTCCTATGAGCAGTGTCGGGTATGTACTAATTCCTCTCTATGTGTGGCCTGGTGAACATGCCCGTACTGAGGAAACGAATGTAGCATGACAAATCCAGATGGCAAATGCTACGTTTTTGATAGCCGCGGCACTGGCTACGCAAGAGGCGAAGGCGTCGTCACTCTGATTCTCAAGCGTCTTGATGATGCTGTCAAAGACGGCGACAAGGTCCATGCCCTTGTCAGGAACTCTGGCCTGAACCAGGACGGCAAGACAGTAGGCCTCACGCTCCCCAATCCCATCGCTCAGGCGAATCTTATGCGCCTCGTATACAAAAATGCTGGTCTGGATCCAGCAGATACTGTATATGTTGAAGCCCATGGAACTGGGACTCAGGCTGGTATGAAGCTTTTCACTCCGTTTGCCCTGTCCTTCTTATATGTCCTTTCCTTCCGCTTTATCCGCCAAGCGTAGACTCTAACAATGAAGCAGGTGACAGCGCAGAGATATCATCAATCGCGGAAGTCTTCTGCCCAGAAGGCCAACGCGAGGACGGCCTCTATGTTGGCTCAATCAAGTCAAACATTGGCCATCTAGAGGCTTCAAGTGGTGTTGCAGGATTGCTCAAGGCCATTTTAATCTTGAAGCACGGAGCGATTCCGCCCAACATTGACTTCGTCGAGCCCAAGCCTACACTCCATCTTGAGGAGCGCAGGGTCAAGGTATGAAACCCCTGAGAAAGATGTATCCTTAATTTGTACTGCTGCTGACTATTCCACCCAGGTTGCCACTGAAATGATTCCACTTCCTGACTCTACTGGTCACCGGCGCGTGTCTGTCAACTCTTTTGGCTACGGCGGAACAAATGCCCATGTCATCCTGGAATCTCTAGCCAGCTATGAGAAATTGAACGAAGTCTCAGCTCTGGCGAAACAAAATGGCACCAATGGCCATACTAATGGGCATACCACCAAAGCAAATGGCACCAACGGATATGCTGGAGTCAAGAGAACCGCTTCTGATGACCAAAAAGCCAACGGGCTGAATGAGAAAGACCATGGCGAGCACGCAGACACTGGCACGGTCAACGGGAAAACAGACGATATACACGGCCCTCAGCTCTTCGTCTTGTCAGCTCGGTCCGAAACCTCCTTGCAGACCATGGTGTCCAATGTGCAAGGATGGGTCTCTTCTCACAAGGATACTTCCTCACTCTCTAACCTAGCTTATACTCTGTCGAGACGCCGATCAGAGTTGCAGTTCCGATTCAGTGTCGCAGCGGCTACCCATGATGAGCTCATCACACTCCTCGGACAGAAGCCGCGCATCACCAAGGCAGTGTCCAATTTCCGCTCCGTGTTCCTCTTCACCGGACAGGGAGCCCAGTGGCACGCCATGGGCCGAGAGCTCACCAGGGACCAGCCGGTCTTCAAGGGATCGATGCTCCAGTCGGAGAAAATCCTTAGACAACTGGGGGCAGATTGGAGCCTGATTGAAGAGCTCTCTAGAGATGAGGAGAGCTCACGTGTTGCCCAGGCTGAGATCTCTCAGCCCTCTACCACGGCGATCCAAATCGCTTTGGTAGACCTACTCAAGAGCTTTAACATCTTTCCCAATCTCGTTCTCGGCCACAGCAGTGGTGAGATAGCCGCCGGCTATGCTGCCGAGGCTCTGGACCACGAAACAGCGCTAGAGATATCGTACAGGCGCGGGTTCATGTCACAAGCATGCGCACGCCTCATATCGAGTAAAGGCGCGATGATGGCTGTCGGCCTGGGCGAAGAAGATGTCGGAAAATACGTCGAACAGACCCGGACGGGGCTCGTCTGCGTTGCCTGTGTCAACTCACCCGTCAGCACAACCATCTCTGGAGACGACACTGCCATCGATGAGCTGAAGCAGATCCTGGATGAAGAGTCCATTTTCAACCGCAAGTTGAAGGTGGATACAGCCTATCACTCTCATCACATGAAGAAGGTCGCAGCCGAGTATTTCGAGTCTATCGCCCACATCCGGGTGCACGCTCCAAACCCCGCCATCAAATTCTACTCTTCTGTGGCCGTTGCACATAAGACATCTGGTTTCGATGCTCAGTATTGGGTCGATAATCTGGTGTCTCCAGTCCGCTTTGCCAACGCATTGGAGCTGCTCTGCCGCACAGAGCTCGTGGGTATAGAGCCGGCACCGCTCGCTTTGTTCACCGAGGTTGGCCCACACGGTGCCTTGGCGGGTCCTGTCAGACAGACTATCAAGGGGCTCGACTTGGCTGGCTTCAAGTCAAGCTACCTTTCCACCCTGTCTCGAGGCCGTGATGCTGCAATCACCCTCCTGGAGACAGCAGGCAAGCTATTCGAGTTTGGGTATCCGGTTTCGCTGCAAGAGACGCTAGGTGGAAACCAGTCTGCAACACTGGTGGATGATCTTGCACCGTATCCTTGGGATCATTCCACAAGCTTCCTCTACGAATCGAAACTCAGCAAGGAGCATCGCTTCCGTGCGCACCCACCTCATGATCTTCTCGGTCTACGGGTCCCGGGAACCACCAACCAAGAACCCACTTGGCGCAACCTGCTCGGCGTGGGAAGCCTTCCGTGGCTCAGTGATCATGTGGTTGATGGCTTTGCCATCTATCCAGCCTCTGGTTATCTTTCAATGGCCATAGAGGCAGTGCGCCAGATCAGCATCGACAGAAAAATTCAAGGTGTTATATCTCAGGTTCATCTGAAGAACATCTCCTTCTCGAAGTCAATCATGATCCCGGAACGACGCACAGACGGACTGACATCCGATGTCGAAGTCCTTCTCACGTTGAGGCCCACTAAGCATTTGACCGACCGGACATGGGAGACGTTCCGCATCATGGCCCTTTCCCCCGAAGATGTATGGCACGAGCACTGCTCTGGACACATCATGCTTGAGTGGGTGGCTAAGGAGGACGAAGTCGAGGGATTCCGTGAAGAGAGCATGACGACCTCGAGCCGCCTCAAGCACCTGCAGGACATCATAGCCGCGTGCGACACTCAGCTCAGCGGGGAAGATCTTTACAAGAACTTTACCGAGAACGGCAACGTCTATGGCCCTACGTTTGCCGGCATACAGTCAGCGCAGATCGGTTCTCATGGAGCCATCGCAGAGATCAAGATCCCGGATGTGGAGAGCATGATGCCCAGAAAGCACCAGCAGGAGCATGTCATCCACCCGGCTTCGCTTGATACTGTGTTCCAACTAGGCATTCCTCTGTACCGGAGAAACGTTGGCAACGGCCCAGTGATGCCTACAAGCATTGACGACCTGACCATAAACAGCGGACTCAGCAGTACCCCGGGGACTAGATGGGTCGTGTGCTCCACCGTGAGCGAGAAGGGCTTCCGGTTTGCTAGTATTAGGATCATGGTCTTCGAAGAGACGACCAGAGGTGCACCACTGGTACCCGTCGTGGACATCCGTGGCGGCGCGCTTCGTTGTATTGGTGAAGCTCCAGTTGATGAGAAGACACTTCCGTTCTGTCGGAAGATGAGCTATGCTCTCGAGTGGCAACCCGATGTCGACTTGGCTCCGCTACAGCATCAGCCGAATCAGCTGGTTGAGTATCTTCAGCTTCTGGCCTTCAAGCAACCACGTATGAAGATACTGGAACTGTGTGCCGGATCTGAAGCCGACGTAGCACTACCATTCCTCCAAGCAATCGATCGTCCAGAAGGTTTACTGCTCGACCGATATGCACACTGCTACGCCGACACCCAAATAAAGTCCTTGGATCAAGCCAAGGCATCTCTTCGTAAATGGATTGATCGTGTCGATTTCAAGACGCTAGATATTTCAAACGATCCTGCTCAACAAGGCTTTCAAGAAGGATCTTACGACCTTATCATTGCTTCGCAGACACATCAAGAACCTAGCTCCATTGATGAGTCTTTGAGCAACTGGCGAAAGCTTTTGAAGCCTCGCGGTAGGCTGGTTCTTGCTGCGTTACCGGTCCAAGATGGACAGAAAGATGCTGTTGTCCTGCCAGGGGTCGATTGGCACGCCCGCTTAGAGCATCACAGCTTCCAGAAAGTAGTGTCAGATCACGATGACCCTGCCACAGGATCTCGCATGATCGTCGCTATAGCCAATGAGGAGCATTCTTTGCCGAGAGGGGACTTGTCTTCGATTTGCATCATCTCACAGTCCCAGTCGGACGAACAGTTTGCATCTCTTACTGATTCTATCATGGCCCAAATGACAAAACAGGGGTTCCCCTGCTATTTGGGCGACTGGTCATCTGAGCCAGTCAACATTGATGCCATCCACATTGTCCTTGATAATGCAGCCGACCCTATCCTTGGTTCACCGAGTGCAGACAAATTCGCCCAAATTGTTTCCCTCGTCACGAGAGCGAAGAACGTACTGTGGCTCAGCTGTCAAGAGAGCGGCGCGGATACCCACAATCCAGCCAAGGGAATGATCAGCGGCCTCGCCAGAGTTGTGCGGCGAGAGAATTCGGCTATGCGATTCGTTACGCTCGATGTCCAAGACGACGTACTATCGAGCTCGGAAGTCTTGGTGTCTCGGATCTCAGATATCGTCAAAAGGTCCTTTGCCACTCCCATTAGCATGTCACGATCGGATGAGGATGAGTACACCTTCAGGAACGGCCAGCTTCTCATTCCCAGAGTCCATGCAGATGCCAAGTTCGACGACTGGGTCAAGAGAGCAATCTACGCGCAAGGTATAGAAGTTGGGCCTTTCCAAAGAGCGGAAAGGCCCCTCAAGCTCGAGGTTGAGACGCCGGGCCTTCTAAGCAGTCTTCGCTTCATCGACGATGAAACACCATCAAAGTCCCTACAGCCATTCGAGTTGGAGCTTGAGGCCAGGGCATACGGCGTCAACTTCAAGGATGTCTTTATCGCCATGGGCCAGATGATACCGGGTGTGACCATGGCTGGCGAGTGTGCCGGCGTTGTTCGCAAGGTGGGCTCTGCGATCGAGGACAAGTTTAGCGTCGGAGATCGCGTATGCGGTATCTTCGCAGAGCCCTTCTCTAGTCATCCACGGATCGACGGAAATTTCAGTTGTCACCTTCCAGAGAGCATGCCCTACTCCGTCGGCGCATCCATCCCTGTCATCTTTTGCACCGCATACCACTGCATCGTCGAGGTCGCTCGCCTTGAGCGTGGAGATACTATCCTCATCCACGCCGCTTCCGGTGGTGTTGGTCAAGCAGCTATCCAGCTTGCTCAAAAAATCGGAGCCGAGATCTTCTGTACGGTGGGCAGCAGCGCGAAGCGTCAACTGCTCATTGAAACATTCAATATCCCGCCGGACCACATCTTCTCGTCTAGGCTTCGGACGTTCAAGCAGGGCATCCTGCGGCTTACTGAGAACAAGGGTGTCAATTGCGTCCTGAATTCGTTGTCCGGCGAATCACTCCATGACTCATTTGCTGTCCTTGCACCGCTGGGAACCTTTGTAGAGATTGGAAAATCTGACATTTATCGGAAAAACGAAATCAGCATGGTTCCCTTCGACAATAGTGTCACCTTTGCTGCTGTGGATCTGACGGTCATAGCCCGGCTGAAGCCGACCAAGATGCGAGAAACACTCGAAAAAGTACTCTCCCTGTTCGCGGAGGGCATTTTAAAGCCTGTGGCTCCCATAACGGCCATGCCCATGACAGACATCGAGGACGCATTCCGTCTGATCCAGTCAAGGAAGCACACCGGCAAGGTCGTTCTCGTTTGCGATGATCAGACGCAGGTAAAGTCAACCGTTGCACGTCCTAAGCCTCTTAAGCTGGATAAGAATGGCACATATGTCATCTCTGGAGGCCTCGGAGACCTCGGGCGGAGGATTGCCAAGTTCCTCGCAGCTCACGGTGCGGGACATGTGGTAACACTATCTCGTCGCAAGCTCCTGGAGGAAGACCAGCTTGAGTTGGAGGAAGAATTGCAAGCCCTAGGAGCGGAGCTGCACATCATCCGCTGCGATATCACAGATCGAGAGTCAGTGCAATCGGCCGCTGCCGAATGTGCAGAGAAACTGCCCCGAGTGAGAGGAGTCGTCCATGCAGGAATGGTCCTGAGGGTAAGTCTCAACTTTGACTTCTAGTCTTCACGTACAGCACAGCTAACCTCGCCTCTAGGATCACCCTTTCGAGATCATGTCCCACGATGACTACATGACTTCGATCAAGCCCAAGGTCCAGGGAACTCAAAATCTCGACGATGCCTTCTGTGCTTTTGACTCCCTTGACTTCTTCATCATGCTATCGTCCATTACTGCAATCCTTGGAAAGTCAGGGCAGTCCAACTATGCCGTAGGCAACGCCTACCAGGATGCCTTTTCTCATAGCAAAAAGGGATCAAGCTGCAGATACATCGCCCTGAACCTAGGTGCAGTCGATGGATCGTTGGCAATCACGTCGCTCCCTCCTGCACAGCAAGACGCCATGCAACGGGGATCAGTCCTCATGTCGTTCGATGAGGTTTTTACAGTCTTGACCTACGCTATGAGCGCGCAGGCCAACGAGTATGATCTCCACCAGTTGATTCTTGGCTTTGACCGAAAGTCGATGGAGGCGGTGCATGATGAGATGGCCCTTGCGAATCCCATCTTTAGCCAGATTCCTTACCTGGAGAAGGAAGGAGAACCGGCCAAGGAAGCCGCTACGGATATTGGAAAGTTGCTCCAACAAGCGACCACGCCCGATGAGGTCAAGAACATTGTTGTTGGCGGTATTTGCCAACGATTCGCCATGTTCACTGCCACTCCCGTTGAAGACATCAGTCCGGACGACTCAATGGAGAGTTTCGGTCTCGACTCCCTCGTTGCCATAGAGTTGAAAAACTTCCTCTCTCGCACTTTTCAGGCGACACTGCAGACATCCGAGGTTCTTGATGCTGTCAACATTTTGAGTTTGGCCAAGATCATCATACTCAGGTCCAAGCTCGTCCCCAAAGACACAGAGGCGGCGGTGGTGGAGAAGGAAGACGTCGCCACGGCCGAGAAAGTCTCGGACCTTGTTATCGAAAGTGCAGCTCCCGGCGCGAACCACAACTTCCATTGCTGTCGAGCTTCCAATACCCTCCACAAGATGCCTCTCGTTGACTTTGATGTCATGTTCGAAGACTACCTGGAGAAGTCAAGGATGTTCTTTTCCGTCGAGGACTTCAAGACTCTCGAGAATGATGTGGCCGAATTCAGAAAGCCAGGCAGCATTGGTCGGAAGTTCTATAGTCGTCTGTATGAGCAGGCACACGACCCTGAAATTGAGAACTGGCAGGAAAAGTACTTCCTACAGAGTATGTACCTTCAGAGACGCATGCCGCTAGCACCTTTCAACAACTTCATGGCCTTTCACCCTCTCGGAGAGATGGGCCATACTCAAGCGGAACGGGCAGCCATGATTGCAAGCATCGCCTTCCAATGCAAGCAGGATCTCGAAGCAGATCGATGGGAGCCCATGGCATACATGTTCACGGCCAATTGCACCGATCTTTGGCAGTACATCTTCAATACGGCTCGGTTACCTGGTGTTCCGTTCGATCGAATGGCGAAATTTCCTAGCAACGACCACATGGCGGTGCTCTATCGTGGACACATCTACAAGGTTGAGCTCAGGGATCGAGACCAAAATGTTTCTGTTGAAACATTGACCAAGACTTTCAATTCTCTCTTGAATCAGCAAGATCTTGATGACAACTGGACAAGTATCCTTGGGACCGACGACCGCACTTCGTGGACGGAGGTAAGTTCAGTCCAGTCTATTGACGCATGCCGATAGGTTGCTCTAATGGCTAATCGATACTAAACAGAGCCGAAAAGCCCTGATTGAGCTTGATGAAACCAACAAAGAGACAGTAGACATGGTAGAGGCTGCTGCTTTTCTCGTCTGTCTCGACGACACAGAACCTGCACATGCAGAGGCAAGAATTAACAACATGATGATGCTCAATGGTTTCAACCGATGGGTTGACAAGTCCATCGCGTTCGTGGTGTGCAAGAACGCGACTTCTGGCACATATGTCGAGCACACGATGATTGATGTAAGTTTGATTGCTCTGTTCCATGACCCTTTTTGAAGCGAATAGCCTGACCTCTTGTAGGCAATGACTCTTTTCGCGATGCAAACTGCCATTGTCGAAGGTATTATGACCTACAAGCCCCAAAGAGAGGCCAATGGGCATATCAATAGCGTTGCCGCCACACCGAGAGAGTTCACACTCAGGACAACACCGGCATTGGACGCACGCATCCAACACGTGCGGCAGCGTTTTGAGGATGACATTTCGAAGTTTGGATACAGAGACATCGTGCTCTCCGACTTTGGGAAAGACATCCTGCTCAACCGCCACCTTCCCATCAAAGGCGTCTTCGACCTCATGGGCCTGCTCGCCAACTACTACTACTACGGCTACAACGCCCAGTCCTGGGAGGCCGTCTCCATGTCGCACTACCACAAGGGCCGGCCTGACATCGTGCAAGTCAACACGCCTATCACTGCGCAATTTTGCATCATTGCCGATGACCAGAGTGTACCGGCGGGCAAGCGGTTCGAGCTGATGGTTGAGGCCGCGAATGCCCGGAACCAAATCATCAAGGAAGCATTCACGGCGGGCCGTTGCTATCAGCGTACGCTCAGGGCCCTCGAGCTTTGCGCGGAAGAGGGCGAAGAATTGCCTAGTCTCTTCAAGAATCCGCTTTACGAGCAGACTGTTGAGCCCAACCAGATGTTTTCCAATACGGATGGGCTTTCTCCCGAGTCTTGTTTTATCATGCAGAACCCCAACAGGTTCTGGATGACGTACTACGTCACTGATGCAGGGTGAGTGGGATTACTGCTCAACTACCTACATTTCGCAGAGGAAGCTAATAGTTTGTTTCTCTTCAGAGCTCATTTCTCCGTGGTTACCGGGAAGGAAGAGGTCATTGCGTGGGCAGACTGTTTGCAACGTGCCTCCTCGGTGTTGAAGACGTTGATTGACTTGGTATGAAATGCGTAACGTTTTTTTTTGTTTTCTTACTACCTATGTTGGTCATAGTCCTGCTTGAATCTGGTAGTGAATTTGGCTTTCTGCGCATGTCGAATTTTCATGTATGTTGAGCCTTGAATGATAAACTCCTAGTAGATTTTTGAATAGGAAAAACTTTACGAAAACTTCTCAAGTCATAATTCAAAAAACATGATCTATCAACTCAGTAAACAAGATATCTTTCGCTGAAACGACAGATGACTAATGTATCCATCTACACAGATTTCTCATTTCTTCCCTGATCTGAGGATGCATTCGCAGCCGTGTCGCCAGTCACGGTTCCTTGGACCTCTGGAAATGGCTGCACCCGATCATCTGGAATCCATCGCCTCTGCATCCCAAAGCTCAATACCAAGGAGGTGCCAGCCACAACGATGGGTAGTATGAAGGCCCTGGAGATCGCAAAGCTGAAAGCCTTCTGCACGAACGGCAAAACAGCCTCCGGTATCGCCTTTGCCAGATCCGATGCACCCGCATCTTGTATCGCTTTGACGTCGACCCCTCCCGGCGCTCCCGCGAGCCGACGGTAGAGCTCCTGGGAGAAGAGGTTGGAGGCGATGCTGAGTCCAACCGCGCCGCCAAGTAAACGGAGGGAAACGACCATGGCACACGCGGCCGGCATGTCGCTGTCGGGGAGGACCACCTGCACCGCGATGAAGGGGACTTGCTCCGCGAGCCCGATGCCCACTCCGCTAATGATTTGAAAGCCGATCAACTGCCCCATCGACGAATCCCTATTCAGTCTCTGGAGCAGCACGCAGCCGGCGATGAAGATGCTGGACCCCAGCCACATAAAAGGGACGTAGTGGCCTTTTGAGCTAACGCACGCCCCCGTGATGATGATGGCGATGCTGCATGGGATTCCGTACGCGAGACAGCGCACGCCCGACGTGACAGCGTTGGTGCCCAGGACTGCTTGAAAGTAAAACGCCAGATAATACATGTGCGTGTTATGTGCCATGGACATCAGCATGTTGAAGGTGCAGCTGATGGCCACCGTCCGCTGCGAAAGGATCCGCATGGGGATCGTCGCCCTGTTTTTAAGATTTTATCCGGTCAGCTCCTCAAGAACGCATCTTCGAGATAATTCAAGGTTTGCTCACTCTTCTTTCTTGCTTGCCTGCAACAGCCCGAATGCTGTGATGAAGATTCCAAATATCACGAGGCATGCGTAAACCTTAGGGTCAGACCACGGATATTTGGTCCCACCCCATTGAAGGGCAAAAAACAGAGTGATTAAGCCGACGATAAGCAGAAAGCCTCCAAGTAAATCAAGCTTCTTCAACTTCTGGCGCAGAGAGAGCTTCCCATGTATTGGTGTCCTTGCTCTCAAGATTTTGTACGCGATTGCGAATGTCACTGCCCCAAACGCTACATGTAGAGAGGCGGTTAGAGGAATTATGTCGGAAGCTGATACTGCAATACTCACGCAAGTTAATCCTGTTAGGCGTTAGAAACTTGTCAAAGAAAACCACCAGGGATAACGTACCAGAAGCAGAAGCGCCAGGTGAGTCGAGGTGTATCTGTGATGAGTCCTCCAAGAGTCGGTCCTAACACTCCTGCCACGCCGTACATGCTCGTGACAAGAGCCATTCCGAATGGTCTAGCTCGCAGAGGAACTGACCTTCCGTACACCGATAGACTTCCGCAAAGAAGACCAGCAGCTCCAATACCGGAGATGACTCTTCCAGTGATCAATGCTGCAGAATTTGGCGATGCAGCGCATAGAATTGAGCCTGCCTCAACTTCATAGAAAGAAGGCAAGATATCAGTCAGTCAATTACAGCTCAATCGGTAGATTGATACAACTCACAAATGACGATGGACATCAAGTAGAGAATTCTGGCATTGAATAAAGTGTACAGGCGACCAAAAGTAGGCTGGAAAGCCATTTCTGTGAAGAGGTATGCGCTTCCGTACCACGGAACGTCATTGAGTCGATGGAAATCACTGGTTATCTTGGGGATGGCCGTTGCTGGAGATGATGAGCTTTGAGATCTCTCAAACACGGGTGGATTGCGAGAACTCACCAAGGATACTTCCATCTATGGCTATCATAAAGGTTGCAATAGTGAATACTGTCGACAGAAGAGCCAGTTCTCGTGGCGTCGCGTACTGATGAGTCTGCGACTCGTCAGAATCATCGCCAGTCGTGGTCTGAGTTACACCGGTGTCATGGCTTTCATGCACTAGAGACGTCACAGTCTTTTCCTTAGGATCGTGATGAACGGAATCATGGTGGTTGTCGCTCGTGTTTCTGTCCACACTGAGCTCAGGCCGTTCAGAAATCTCAAAGGTTTCTCTTCTATTGGGCTGCATATTGTTTGATGACCTCTCTCGAAACACCTAACTGGCTTAAAACCAAGAAAACTATGGTTTGAATCGAAATGCAGAAGTTTATGAATGGTCTTGGAGACCCTTCTGATTGACCGAAGTCCCTCGGCTCTGATGAATAGTGGTCGCTGCAACATGACTGATGCTCGATCTGGTCTGGTACCAGATGAGCCTCTTCATTTCAAAAAGGTATTTTTTTGCTACAGCCAGGCTCTTTTGCGGCTGACTATATTCAGCAATAAGATATACGTCACAACTAGCGCATGCAATCCTGCGGGACCCCAGATAAGGCTGCGGTGAGAATCCTGCAGGAGTAATCCTGCGGAAGCTACGGGAACGGCACCGTCGGTCCAGAAGGGATCACTGCTGCGCATAGCCTGAAATTTGCGCTTCGGCTCGCCTTCCCGTGGCGCCCAAAACGATCTTGATTAAGGGAAAGCATCGCTTATGAGTTGCACATTACGGATGTTAGTGATTGGATGATCAGCCAACAGGTCGTTCCGTGTGGCGTAGGTTCCCGCTTGGCAGACCGAAGGATCAAATGTGAACGACGCACGATCTCTGTCTTGGCGAGCTCGTCACAACTGACATTAGACTGAGTGGTATAAACGCGACTGACATAGATAAAACACGTAGAGAGAGAGGGCTTTTCATGTTAATTACCATGCTCCCAATGAATTGTGGTTGGCGGACTTCTTAGCACGCAGCATGATTTGCTCCAAGTTTCTCTTTGCGCTTTGCGCGTCTGCTCTGGTACGGGGAACACCCGTCGCACAAGACTGCAAGGCGTTCCCAGGCAGTGCATCATGGCCTTCAAGCAATGATTGGTCTCGTCTGAACAAGACGGTCGACGGACGCCTCTTCACGCCACTTCTTCCCGGCGGCGTCTGTCACCCAGGGCAGCCAAACTACAATGCAGACCAGTGTCCCAATCTTCTGGGGGCTTGGAGAACCTTTGAGTATCATGCCGAAGATCCAATTTCTGTCATGTGGGACAACTGGACCAACTACAGCTGTGTCCCTCTGGACGGATTCCCCTGCAGCGGAACAGGTTATCCGTCATACGTGGTAAATGTCACTACGGCAAAGCATGTCAAAGCCGCCGTCGACTTTGGCGAGTACATTACACAGAACGATAAATCGAACCTCAGCTAACAGATATATTCACAGCGCGGAAGAACCAAGTTCGTCTCATCGTCAAAAGCAGCGGACACGATTATCTCGGTCGCTCAATTGCACCAGGTTCTCTCTCCATCTGGACGCACCACCTAAACAAGATCAAATACCACGAGGGCCAGTTCAAGCTTGCTGGTTCAGGAAAGATCATACCCGGCGATGCCATCACCGCCGAAGCCGGAACGAAAATGGTCGATGTGTATACTACCGCAAGCCAACATAACCGCGCTGTCGTAGGCGGCGGAGGCAAGACTGTTTCGCAAGGCGGCTTTGTGACGGGAGGGGGCCACTCGATCCTGGCGCCGCACTATGGCCTTGCGGCAGACGGTGTACTAGAGATGGAAGTCGTCACACCTGATGGGAATATCATTACGGTCAATGAAGATCAACATTCAGACTTGTTCTGGGCGATGCGTGGTGTGAGTGTTATATCCCTTGACTACATGTAGTGGGAACCCGTGCTGCGCATCTGCTAACGCTGAGTAATTTCAGGGAGGAGGATCAACTTTCGGCGTTCTCACTTCTGTCACGGTCAAAACGCATCCCGAAAAGAAGCTCACCATGGTTCTTTTCATGGCGTTCACGGCTCCTGAAGCACCCTTTACCCTGGATCTCGCTACGTGGGGCGCTTCCCAGCTTCCTTACCTCTCGGATTCTGGCTTGTCAGGTTATCTAATGGCCACCGTGAACTCGACACCGCCGATTCCGATACCGGGTCTTCCTGAACGAGTCGCCGGGCTGATGGGAAAGACCATCATACTGGATACCCAGGATACGGTCAAGATTAACAAAATTTTTCAACCTCTCAACAAGACCATCCAGGAAAGATGGCCGGGGCAGGTCAACTTGTTCGTTCAGACTCAACCGTACGACTCATTCATGGACTGGTATGCCGAGAATTTTGATGATGGTCAAGCCGGCGGCTCCGTCTATCTCATTTCGCGACTCCTGGACAAGAAAACACTCACAAATGACTTGGACGCCCTGTCCGATGCACTGAAACCGATTCTCCTCAATGATGGCTGGTTGGGGACCTACCTGGTCGCTGGAAAGGGGGTCATCCAAGCGCAGCCCCGCGGCGGAGGGAATGCCGTTCATCCGGCCTGGCGAAAGGCGTACGTCCATGCACGTGAGTTCACCAGCAGCATACATTTAGTCTCGAGGTTGGGTCGTAGGTCAGGAATGAGAAAAGACACTGACGATTTGTAGTAACCTGGCAAGGGTGGGGTTACGATCCGTGGGACGCAGCAGCTGGAGAGAAAGCCAGGGAGATTTTGGATGCTAGATTCGAGCCCCTCCGCAAGCTCACACCCGATGGAGGATCTTATATGAATGAGGCAATTTTCCCTTAGCAACATTTAACTAAAGCTGGCAGATCAGAGCTTCTGCTAATCATTTTATCTAGGGATTCCCGTTTGAGAAGAACTGGCAGCAAGCGTTCTGGGGCGCGAACTACCCGCGACTCTTCAAAATCAAGCGCAACGTCGATCCGAAGGATGTTTTGTGGTGCAAACCTTGTGTAGGAAATGAAGGTTGGGAAGAGAAGAGCGACGGTCGCCTTTGCAGGATTCGGTAAACCGGCGAATCTACTTAAGCATCACTACGTCACCTTCTCTACACTTCATTATGTTGGCGAAGTTAGATCCCCAGAAACGTCATGACACCAGCCAGTCAATCATTCTGAAGGATCACCACAACTGCTTAGTATAGCCCGCAGGTTACTTTGATCCAAACCTTACCCGCAGATTGTGTACCGAGTCACAACCTGTGTTTCGTGATTGTAGATGTAGGTTGTTAGTCTGTGACTAGCTCGTCGACAGCGGTTCGCAAGTATCCGTTAAGATGTGTAAGCAAGGTGAGAGAATTCTTGAAAAAGTAACTCCGGCATCAGCGGATCCAAAAGCTTGTGTGCCAAGCTAGGGTGGCTAAAATATGAAATCGTAACTACATGTAGTTTTCACTTTGTATAAAGTTCAATGTTCGGGAGAGCTTGCATGCTACATGTACACAACACCGTCAGAAGTCACATCATCCCAATCAAGCTTTGAAGCGTTGTGAAATAGGCGGGGCCATTCAAACAAGAAACTGATAAGAGAATTCTAAAGTCTATGAAATCGCAAATGCCAAAAGGCTCGGAAAGTGTAGTAATAAGCGTCGAACAAATACAACACCCCCTCCTCCACTTCTTCCATCCTTCTCTCTTCCCGAAAAGGCATGCAAGAGAATCATGGATTCCCTACTGGTTTTTCCCCTTGGAATCGTCCATACCGAGCCGACCGAGCACGGCGCGAACACTCTCCCCATGGTACGAGTACATCCACTTGCAGCCCATGTGGGGACCGACTACCTTGATGTAGGCCCAGATGGTCATCTCCTTGATCCATTGGTGGATGAAAGAGGTGGAGGTCTTGCGCAGGTCGCCGTTCTGGGTGGTGAAGTCCACAATCTTGGATACGCGGTCCTTGCGGTGGTCCTCCCAGGCCTGGATGACTTGCGGCCGCGCGCTGTCATTGAAGAGCGGTGCCTTGAGGTGGGCGAGGGTGTACGCGAGCGTCTCCGCGTCCTCAAAGGATGTCGCGCCGCCTTGTCCTCCCTGGAACACGTCAGCATCTCTCTTCCTTGTCTCGAGGTGGTGAACTTACAGTCGGGGGCATGCCGTGGGTGGCATCTCCAATGAGAAGCACGCGGCGGCTGGGAGAAGACCACGACTCCCGGGCGGAGAGCAGGTAGAAACTGCAAAGTCTGTCAGTATCCGTACTATTCCCGCCGCAGACTTCGTCACTCACGGCCAGAGGGTCAACGACTCAGTCGGGGTCCGGTGGCACAGCGCGCGGACGACCTCGGGCCAGCTCGAGTCGATGGGGAACCTCTCCTTGATCATCTTGGCCAGCGTCTCCTTGTCGGCGTCCAGCGCCGCCCAGTCCTCACGGGGGCGCTCCTCGACCTCAAACGTCGCAAAGTAGCTGACCTCGTCGCCGTCCGCCGACGCCGGCATAACGGCGAAGGAACCATTGCCGCCGAACAGCATGCACGGGTAGTGCATATCCGTGTCGACGTCGGGCAGGTCGCTGAGCTTGAAGGTGCCTGAGATACCGGCGAGGCCCTGGAACACGGGCTTGCTGCCGTGCGGGCGCACAAACGAGCGCACGCGGGAGTGGATGCCATCAGCGCCGATGACGAACTCGGCGGTCACGGATTCGCCGTCCTCGAACTCTACGGTCGCCGAGGTGGCCGTCTCCTCGCGGACGGCGGCGCACTTCTTTTCGTAGTGGATGGGCACGCCCAGGAGCTCGAGCTGGCGGATCAGCTCGCCGCGGAGGACGGTCCGCTTGATACGCAGGGCCGGGTAGTTGTACTCTTCGTAGCTACCGTTCAGGACCTTGGCCAGAAGACCGCCGCGGCCATTGAGGAAGGCTACGGACTCGAAGGCGAAGCCTTGGGGGCGGAGGGTGTCGTAGACGCCGATGTGGTCGAGGACGCGGAGGGCGTTGGGTGAGAGGGCAATGTTGCCGCCTGAGACAAAGTCTTTGGGCCTGGCTTCGTAGACTGCGGAGGAGATGCCGCTCTTGTGCAGGTAGAGGGCGAGAGTGAGTCCCTGGTGTAATGGTTAGTTAGTTGTTCTTTGCCAGTGGGAGGGACAGATCGGTACAGAGAGGCCACCGCCGATAATAGCGACTTGAGCCATTGCAAGAGGTGAGTTTGAAATGAAATATTAAGTCAGGTAGATGGGTGTTGTAGTCGGCGATCCTGGTGAGTAGTCTGGCTCAAGTGTTTTCCGTGATGGATCTGAGCTCTATCTAGTATCATCTCACCCTCCAAGTCGCTTAATCTTATACAAGACTCGCGGCTTCAATGAAATCGAACCTATCCGCTGCGATGCGGAATCAAATCAAGCAACGTACGATCGCTTGTCCGATACGGCTGCAGCCACCTCCGTCCTTCACGGCGATTTGGTCGTGGCGGGGGCCAGCAAAGCCGTCAGCCGGATCGGTCTCCGGTGAGAACGGAGGAGGTTGGGCGGACAGGGTGTGGCGCCTCAATGAGACGAGCACAAAGTCTTGCTGTCCAACTGCTGCTACTGCTGCCTGGAACAAGCACGAGAATCGACTCTCACTGTATAGAAACTCAAATTCGACAGTTTCTTTTCCTAGCTTTGTCTCGGGAATATCACCTCCAATGGAATGGCCGAAGAAATCACTTGGAGCGAACGAGAATCAGTTGATGGGTTGTGGCTGAGCACCGCGTAGATCATTTTTCACTCGAGCTGGCTCCGATCCCTCCATGCCTGCTATTACAGGGCAAACCTAAGCGCACCCACGTACACGATATATCCAAATGTCGCCGGCAGACCGAAGAATTTTAACGAAAAACCCTTTTATCATCCCTCAGCTCACGATGAGAACCGCGCGATTCTGGTGCCACCCCCAGCATCCTACTAGTACACGAGGGCCGCGCTCCGCACCCGCGCGCGTTGATGTAAGCGCCGTCAAAAAGCGGACGCTGTACAGCACAGCCGCACTCCGCGCCTCAAGATGATTTCGTCTTGGGAAGCCGTTCCCAGAGTGAAAGGTTCTATTCCGTTAAATGAGACTGATCACTGTCAAAATGAATCAACTTGTATTCTTGGCCGTTTTTCTTGCTTGAGGTGATGCCTTTCGGCTGACCACACATCTTGTGCGTGCAGTGAAATTGTTTCTCCCTCTTTTTCTTCTCCCGTCGGTATCTTGAACGCAATAGCTAGGCAAGTTGAGCAGCGATGAAAGAGCGCTTGCCGATCATTTACGTTGATTCACTTCCATTTTGAAGACCTGATTTCTCCACGTACCCCGGCTTGTAGTTCTACTAAGTCTTCTGACAACCCACCAAAAAACGTCCTTTTGCAGCTGAATACTTATGCCTGGAATTTGATGCCAGTGATACACATACTATTGCAAATACTAGGTACATGTGAATTTATCTTGTGAAATGGGTAGATGAACGTGTTGGAAGGTTTAGTTCGCAAAATCTCAATCGCTCCCACATAGTCGCACATATTCTATATGCAGCACTACAAAAACCACGGCAGCGGTGTCGCGGATTATGATGAGACTGTTCTTTTCCCCCCTCTTTCAAAGATAATTTGGATAACTCGGATCTACTGAGGTGCGCAGATACATGATATCGATGGACTTCCCTGGAGAACCACGTGTCCCACTTGGGCTCCAGTAAGCAACCTGGGAAACCCCCCGACAATGGCTCCACAACGCACGAATTTTGAGAAACCCATGAGTGGATCGTCTGGAGATTGATTTCATGAAGTATCTGGGGTTTAAGAAAGCAATTTTTATGCTTATGTACTTTTCACGGAAACCCTTCGTTAAGGTAATGAAACAGGAATTCTCTCAGCCTTCAGATTCATATGAGTTACTACAGATGAGGAACAAAACATGTACCTCACGCAAGTACCACTGTGGAACCAGGGTAAATCTTAGCAAAGAAAGCAATTGCCGATTGCCCAGCCTTCACGGGATTCTGAAGTCTTTGCAACTCATCTAACATTCAACAGTCAGTTCTTCATCTACTTCTCTGTGGAGAGAAAGCTGTCAAAAATTGCGCTTTGCCAATTGCGGAGCTATCACCGCATTGAGGATGGCGAGGTTGCGGTTGTTCAAGGGGAGGGTCTCCGTCCTCGCGCGTTAGCTTACGTGCATTGCAGCAAATAACTCCCAGGGTCCTTGGAATACGAGAACACTCGCAGGCAGCAGTCGCAACTCGTACAACCAGCGGACTAACAGCTCCATAATGGCTCCATTACTTATCCGATAATGATTTGCGTAGATATCTTGCCCTCGGACCGAAGGATTCGCACTCGACGAGGCACTGCCATCGGCGTAAAGACAAAGCTCCGAGACAATAACGCCGATCTCTCCCAAGTTGCAACAGTAAGCGCGGCGATGGAACCCAAAGACGCATGTGGTAACGGTAACAGTCGACACATCACTAGTTTACTCAAGGAGGTAACTGATAACGTACAAGTTCCACAAAAGAGGAAAAGCCGCACCCTTAGAGTTTAGACATCTTTGTTTCTTGTTACATCGTTTGAACGCACATATATGCAGGGGGGGTGGGGGGGAGGTGATATCATAAAAATCATGCCTTTGCAATAAACATGGACTGCACGTTGCAGTACGCCTTCAGGCCGCCGGCGCCGTACTCGTATCCAATACCGCTCTGCTTGTGACCGCCAAACGGCGCGTCGTACTGCAGCTCCAGGTGCGTGTTGATCCAGACGTTGCCCGCCTTGAGCTTCTCGGCGATCCTCTGCGCTTTTTCGAGGTCCTTTGACCAGACTGACGCGCCGAGACCCATGAGAGTGTCGTTGGCGCGGTGAATAACCTCCTTCTCCTCGCTCCACTTGAGGACGGGGAAGACGGGACCTGGGATACCCCCATGTTAGCCTCGGTGGGGACAGTGGATTTTTTTTTTCTCTTTCATTTACAGAGGGCAGAGAGGGCGGGCACTTTTGAGGGGAAAGGCGGACGATTGAGTTCCGCCCATGCATAGTTCACTCTAGGTACTTACCGAAAGGCTCCTCGACGACAATCCTCGAGTTTTCGGGCGGGTTGTCGACCATTGTGGGCGTGATGAAGTAGCCCTTGCCGTGGGACGCCGGTGCTGTAGATCCCGCGGCAATCTTGAGCTGCGTCTCCTCAATGTCCTTGAGGAGTTCCTTGACGCGCTCGAATTGCATCTGGTTTTGGACCGGGCCGAGCATCGTGCCCTCTTGTTGTCCGTCGCCCACAGGCAGGTTCTTGATGACGGTGGCCATCTCTGCGACGAGCTCGTCGTAGATGGACTCGTGGATGTAGATGCGCTTGATGGCGATGCAGACCTAAGGTTAACTGGTGTTAGGTTACCGCTTGGGCTTGGCTCATCTCATAGGAACTTTTGTCAATCAACTCCTACGTACCTGTCCGGAGTTGTACAGGGCCAGCATAGCAATCTGTAATACGTCAGCTTTGGTTTACCAAGAGTTCGACGCAGCCTGTAACCAACCTTGGGCGCGACGGCCTTGACGTCGACATCGGGAAGAACAATAGCAGCGTCGTTTCCACCACTGCGATTTCACGACTTAGCAGCCAATTCCACGTTGCCGAATTCGGGTGAGGTAGGACGTAAAACTCGACTCAAGTCGTCCACTTACAGCTCTAGAGTGACGCGCTTCAGAGTCTTACTGCAGCTCTCCATCACGCGCTTGCCGGTCGCCGTCGAGCCAGTGAAGCTGACCTTGTCGACACCCGGGTGAGAGGTCAACCAGGGGCCGAGGTGGTCGTCGCCGCTGAGGACCTGGAAGACGCCCGGCGGGAAGAACTGCTGCGCCAGCTCGACGAGCTTGAGACCGCAGTACGGTGTGAATGGGCTGTTTTGACTCGGGGATTAGTCCATGGCATGCATGGGGGGAAAATTGACGCAAAGGAGTTCAGAGCTTACGAAGGCTTCAGGATGAAGGCGTTTCCGGTGACTAGGGCGGGAGCGATCTTGCCGCAAGCTATTAATTCGTGTTAATTGAGTACATTCGCCAGACGTAAAAGGTTGGAAGTGCAATACCGAGGAGGAGGGGGACTGTGGATTGTTAGTTATCAGATCTATCGAGTAAAGTCCAGAGGCGTGTTGCAACTTACAGTTCCAGGGAACGATGCCGACAGCAACGCCCAAGGGGACATATCTCGTGAGAACGCGGCGGTCAGGGTTGTTATCGACGACCTCCTGAGGGTATGGCAAGTTGATCATTCCCTTGAAGTGCTTGATGGCCTCGCTAATCTCATAGAGTGCGAAAGGAAGCTGCGCAGCGCATCAGATGTTAGCATGACTCGTTAGAGAGTACCCACAGTCCCACGATAACGACTTACAGGCTTGCCCTGCTCCTTGGTGAGCATCAGAGCAAACTCCTCGGCATGCGCCTCGAAAGCTTCACCGAGCCTGAAGAGGGCCTTTTGGCGCTCCTCGTAGGGTGTCTCTGCCCAGCCATCCTGAGCCTTCTTCGCGGCCTGCACGGCTCTGTCGACGTCTTCGGGCGTTGAATATGGGACCTCGGGATTGGCTTCGAGGGTGGAGGGGTTCAGGCTGTTCCTCGTCTTTGTCGTCGACTCGAGCTTCCCGTCGATGATATTGTAGTATTTTGTCCAGTCCAACTTGGACGTGCCGTTCGTGGCCATGATGGGTGGAATCAGGGAGACTGTGAAGAAAACTAGATGAGACTGGGCCCTGGTCTGGCGCGGGAAGTTACGCTGCGGCCTGGTCCGTACAATGTGATGGGAGCAGAGAAAGAAAAAAGTACCAGGTCTGATTCTGGAAACTTGACTGGCACAGATGATCGGGTGAAAAGGAAACGCAGGGCGGGAAGAAGTAGAAGAGGCGGGCGCTGGATGTGGAACGTGCGAATGTGACTACTTTTGCCCTCTTGGCCTTTCTTTGCCTCCTTTCTCCTGAGCTTTCTGGGGGCAAGGAGGGGCCGGTTGGGTTGCTTACAATCGCATTGTGAGAAACAACGAACCAGTGGAGGGGCATGAGGGGAATGTGGAGAGTGACCGGGGGTGGGTTACCAGGATGCCATGTCCTAGACCCAGGGTTGTCGTCCGGAACTCCATTTTCGATGTCATGATAGTCGTTGACATGGACTGCTCGCAGAAATGGAGTGTGGCCCCGCGGCAGGCTGAGGGGTGCGGGTACACGAGGATAACCCATAGCTATGTGGGGTAGTTCGCCGGCCAAGGCCCTACCATGGTAGTTTGGCATGGCTCTTGTGGTTCAAGTCCTCAATTTCCTCTGTCCGCATTGGAGTCGGATGTCGTTGGACGGGAATGGTTCTGTTCCATTGTGTGTCTCGGTCAGGTTCTCAACTGCCACCCAACCCGCAACCCGCCCGGCAGTACCATCGGAATCGACAACTCAGCCAAGCCAAGCTGCGACGGAGGCAAGTGTTGAAACGCGGATGAGTTGATCGGCTTAAAGGAGACGGGTACGTACCTTTAAATAAGCCGGCCTTAGTGTACACATATATTCTTAGTAAAGTTGTGTTGGCGCTTGTTTACCGTTGCTGTCAAAGCTGACGCAGACTCTGCTTCTTGCTGCGGGTTGCCCGCACTATGGATGACGAAAGGAAGGGTGCACGAAAGTTGGAGACACAGACAACAGACGATTGAAGTCGGCAACGTGCCGCCTTCTCTCCACCCCTCCTTGCGCGTTTGACACCTGTACTACACCTTTTTTTTCGTTGCAGAAGTCTGACCTTGAGTCGATCAAGTTTTCCAGCTGGGGGGGGGAGACGAGGGTCTGACTCGACCACGAGCTGCGCCGTGCTGCCGTCCCCCCCTTAGCTTGCCTCGCGCTGCGTTTGAAGATTCGCTGCAAGGTTGGTCATGCAGACAAGACTCAAGGTCGAGTCAACGTTTTCCGCAGCTAATGGTTGGCTAGCTTGCTCCAAGAACTGTCCCCGCCGGCTCGGCGCCGGCATGAGATGCATGGAACAGGACAAGACTCTATTGCCTCGTGCCCATGGCTTCGGCAATTGTTGCGGACTGTGGCAGGTTAACCAACCAGAGCCGGTTCCCGATGGTCTGGATCGCATTCACAAAGCTAAGGCAAGCCGGCCGGCCGGCCGACCAGCTACGAAGGGGTGAGGAGAGAGAGAGAGATAGGGTGGGGAGGGAGAGGGAGAGGGGAAGGGTTCGGTCCACTTGATCCAGCAAGCTCGGGTTCGTTTCTGTTCGCTCCGAGGGCGCGCGCGCGCGCGCGCACCCGGCCCCGTTGAAGAATATAACGACATGCATTCCCTCTCAAAGCCTAGCAATTCCGTGGGCACAGAAAACATCGATGACTGAATAGCGATTTTATGGCGACTACCAAGGGCGGCGAAAGCACTCCCAACCGTGCGGTTGTGTACACGGAGCCCGGCACCACCCAGACGGAGGTCGTGGAATTACCGATCCCGGAGCCTGGTCCCGGAGAGGTTTTGGTTCGGCTGTGAGCTGGCACCTTTTTTCCCATCTCATAAGCCTACATTGCTGATCAGTGTACATTACTCATACAGACAATACTCTGGCGTTTGTCACACTGATTACGGCTTTTGCATGAATGCCTTCTCATCGGTCCCATTTCCCACACCGAAAGGTAAGTCTCTTCAGATCCAAACTATCCCTTTATGGAGCCAGGATCTAATCATACAATACTGCAGGTCAAGTTGGGGGCCATGAGGGTACGTCAAATTTCCATTTCGACTTACGAGTTCGACATCACGGAGGGGCAAACACACTTCTCATTGACACATTACTAACACGCTTCCTAGGAGTTGGTGAAGTTGTTGCTGTTGGCACAGGTGTCATATCACCAGCAATCGGCGACAGGGTTGGCATCAAATATGCAGCGGACGCTTGTCTAAACTGCGGTGAGGTCACAATCATTGGACATGGACTCACCCCACTAACGCCACATGTCAGATCGATGTCTCCAAGGCGGCGAATCATCATGTGCGCAGGTAAAACTCTCTGGCTACTTCACCCCTGGCACATTTCAGCAATACTGTATATCAACGGCACGATATGTCACCCCGGTCCCCGCAGGCCTCGGTTCCGCCGAAGCTGCGCCCCTCATGTGCGGCGGTCTCAGCGTCTACACGGCCCTCAAGCGCGCCGACGCCCGCCACGGCGACTGGGTGGTCATCGTGGGAGGCGGCGGGGGTCTCGGTCACCTCGCCATCCAGTACGCCCGCGCGATTGGGTGCCGTATCTTGGCTATGGACCTCGGCGCCAAGGAGAAATTCTGTCGCGACCTCGGGGCGACGGAGTTTGTCGATTTCACGGCCTACCCGAACGATCAAGACCTGACAGCGGCGATCAAGACCATCACGGGTGGAGGTGCGAAAATCGTGCTCGTGTGCTCTTCTAACAAGAAGGCCTATGTCCAATCTCAAAGTTGGCTGGGTTTCCGGGGCAAGATGGCCTGCCTGGGTGTTCCCGAGCACAGCAGCCCGGCCGTTGGGGATGTCGAGCCCATGCTCGCTAACGAGTTGACTATTTTTGGTAGGTTGAGTTGACTCTGTGATGGCATTCTGCTGCTTTATGTGGTGATTTTTTTTTTTTTTTTAAGGCTTGGATGCGGAAGCTTATCCGAATACATTGCAGGTGTCAAGACTGGAAATAGACTCGAAGCCAAGGAGTGTCTGGAGCTCGCAGCGCGAGGCAACATCAAAACTCAGGTCCAAATTCGGCGGATGAGAAGCTTGACAAAGGTATTTCCACCCGTCTCATAGTGGTTTACTTGGTCATTACCATTAAGTGTCATGGCGGCATCTAACAGAGCAACTCATAGATATTCACCGACATGGAGTCGGGGGCAATTCAGGGGCGTGTAGTGCTTGATTTGAACTAGAATCACAGTATATACATGACAAAATTTCATCATATTCACTCTACTTCTCATGTTCACAGGATGTTCACAACATACTCTTAGTCTACTCTTGTCCTTGAAACCGCTGGGATGAAACAGCATGCGTTGTGGATTCATCATGCTCAATTCAAGATTCGCAAATTGGAACTGAAGATTTGGAAACCTGAGACGACCCTTGATGCCTGTTAGGAGATGATGAGAGTGAGACTGAGAGGTCGCCGAACATTTCTTAGCCTAGCCCGATGATCGCCACGCGAGAGTGACACGAGTGCCGATTCAGCCCGCTACAAGCCGGGGTAATTGTTGAAGTGCCCGAATTGCTGGACAACTAGACGAGCTAGACGATAGAGTTCAAATAAACTGTTGGGCTGTGCTGGCAGTTCGGCTCATGGTGTCTGCAACCCGCGTGCCCGAGTCGAAGGTCACGCGGCCCCAGACCACCTCTCGCGCTACCCCATTTTGATCCGCCGGGTTAATTAGACCCGTTGCGGGGTTAAATGGGAGAAAACTTAAAAGAGAACGCCATCGAGATCTTTCCCCAGACTTTAGACTTCGAGATCTAGAACGGGGAGGCAACTGGTGGTTGTCTCGCTGGGAAAACCGGGGGAGGGGAGGGGGGGCTTCCTTTTTTCTGACAGCTCTTCCCCAGACTCCACCGACACGCGGCACGGCCCCGCGCTGGAGAAAACGGGAAAAACAACCCCCCGTGATTCTATTCTGGATCTGTCGAGTCAGAAACCGTTGAATATTCTGAGTCGGCTTCTTGCAAGACAGCAGACGGGTAGTCGCATTCTGCAACAAGCCAGTGAGACCTCAAAGGGCCCTGTTCCAGATCCCCACAGCCTCGTCATAGCGCGTCGGATTCGGCCGCGGGTTGGGCGTAATCAGATCAGCTGAGTTATCAGGTCGTTGTGAATGGTCAACGCTGGTAGTATATGCAGCAAGCGTCCCGAAAGGGTACAGTAGATTTTCTGACTCGAAGGTACGTTGAGCTGTTGGTTCAAAGTTGCGTTAGGCTGTTGGTTTCTTCATCAGGGTTGTTTGTTATTGGGTTTTCTGACACGTCGTGTTGTCTTCCGCGTAACGCCAAGTCGGTTGGTTTGGTGGAGAGCAGCGGTTCGGTTCTGCCGCAGTGATTTCTCCACGCGCCTCGCTCGATTCGCCGAGGAGTTGCGTTCGAATTCGTTCTGATAGTAGCTGCCCAGCATACTAAGGCAGCCCCATTCTCGCCAAAAAAAAGAAAAAGTCCCTCTTCTTTCTCATTTCTGCTGTGGTGTACGAGCGGGGCCAGCACGAAATTGGCATGACGAACACAGAGAAATAACAATGACCGACCTTCAGATCCTTGAGGCGCACTGTCTGTTCTTCGTGCTGGGTATCCAACTCCACGTCTTTGTTTTCCGTAAAGGTGAATGGGACACTGCTACCACCAGACTATTCAGGAACTTCACATTGGGCATTGGACTGCTTACCGCAGCCCTCGTTCGGCTGGCTCCAGAGACCTTCCCAACCAACGCTGCTGCGCTCAAGACAGCCGGCTCCCTTACGGTCGCACTCATTGTTGGAATCTACAGCAGCTTGCTCGTGTACCGTGTGGCATTCCACAGGCTCAACTCATTCAAGGGGCCGTTCCTGGCGAGGCTGTCAAACTTGTGGATCACGTCGCGAGCGGTCAGGGAGCTGCACATGTACACTGAAGTTCAGCAACTTCATAAACAGTATGGCGACATTGTGAGAATCGGTAAAGAACTCTGATTAATCTTATCATCGGAACCGGGAATGCTGACATCAATGACTCGTTTTAGGTCCCACTGAGTTGTCTATCAACAACGCAAAGGCTGTTCCTCTAGTCCACTCCAATCGCTCACCGTGCACCAAAGGCCCGTGGTATGGAGTACTGCATCCCATGTACTCGTTGCAGCTCGTCCGCGATAAGCAAGAGCACGCTCAGAGGCGCAAGAGTTGGGATCGAGGCTTCAGCTCGAAAGGTAGTCAACTACTAACTCACTTCTCAGAGACAATTTGGGGTTATGGAACTAACAAGACATACTAGCGCTGAGAGACTACGAGTTCCGGGTTGCCGATTACACCAATCAGCTTCTTGCAAACATTGACAAGAACAAAGGAAAGCGGTTCAACATTTCAGATTGGTTCAACTTTTACAGCTTCGACGTTATGGGAGACCTGGCCTTTGGCAAGTCCTTTGGAATGCTCAAGGAGGGCATCAAGCACTACTTTATGACTTCCTTGCATCAGGATATGCAAGCTATTGGCATGTTCAGCCATATGCTCTGGCTCTTTCCAATTTTCAAGAACACGCCAATCTTGAATGAGAACAATAAGCGGTTCTGGAAATTTGTCACGTCTCAGGTGGACGAGAGAATCAAGGTGCGTTGTGCCATCAAGTCGGGTCCAGGGATATGCGTGCTAATCATCATGTCAAGAACCCCCCTGACCGCCCAGACGTGTTCTCGTGGATATTGGAAGAGTACCAGTCCATCAAGAAGCCGACTTGGCAAGATACCCTAAACCTATACGGAGATGCCTACCTTATCATCGTCGCAGGAAGGTAAATGTCTCGCCTCCACTTTGATATTCAGTTTGCTGGGGCTCAACTCAGCTGACATTGTGTGCGAACTCGTCAAGTGATACGACCGCTGCATCCCTTACTTGTCTCTTCTTCGAGCTAGCCCAGAAACCGGATGTCTACCGGCGTCTAAGGGAGGAGATCGACGACTATTTTTCACAAAATGCGGAGCCTGAACACTCCGCATTGTCAAAGCTCCCGTACCTGCAGGCGTGCATCGACGAGACGTTGAGGCTTCACCCTCCCGTTCCGTCGGGTGTGCAGCGCATGACGCCGCCCCAGGGCATGGACATTGACGGGACGTTTATTCCGGGAGACACGATTATCCAGGTGCCTACGCACACCATGTTCAGAGGCAAGTCCCAGCGTGATCCTTCTTTTCTTCCCTTCTTTTTGTCTCGGCTGATGGAGTGCGTCTGGTACAACATGTCGCATGCTGACCGTGGCGAAAAAAAAATAGACGAGCGCCTGTTTCCGCAACCCAATGACTTCATTCCCGAGCGATGGACCACCCGGTCCGATCTGGCCAAAGATCCGGCGGCATTTGTTCCCTTTGGTACCGGTAAGCACTTAAAAACGCATTCTCTTTTGGCCGATTGGTGCGACGTGAGAGCTGACGACAAGGATGAATCATCAAGGCAAGTACTCGTGTGTCGGAAAGCAGCTGGGCTTGATGGAGGTCCGTTACTGCGCCAGCCGCATCATTAGCCGATATGATGTCGCATTCGCCCCAGGGCAAGAGGCAAAAGCGTTTATCGAAGGCAAAAAGGATGGGTTTACATTGTCATTGCCAGAGTTGGAAGTGATTTTCAAATCGAGGGAGGAGGGAAAAGTCACAGCCTAGGAAGAAAAAAAGAGGCGGAGAGAGATGACGATTGGAAGTGACACGAGACTGCTGAGGCTGGAATGTCTTATCAGCTATGTTTAATATGTGGGCGAGGGATCCGAGGTATCCAGTGACATATCGCAATTTGACCATCAGCGTTGCAAAGCCAACATAACCCACTTTACGCATTGACAACTCGGAGAATTGAGAATCAATACTGGATAGGGCACACGGCCTGGTGTGGCTAGACGAGCTGAAGGGTTTGCAGGGGACGGTAAGGCTTTAGCAGATTTCTGGTCAACGTTGAGGCGACTAGATGGACCATCTGAACGCGGATCCCGCGGAATGTCAAAGCAGTACTAATTAGCCCCCGTTGGAACTTGGAAAGCTTCCAGTCTCTAGCACAGTTGTCGAGTCTGCAACTGAGACACTCTAGGACCAATGCGACAGCGTGGAGAGCACTGGCTCGAATTCTGCAGCCGCTGATTTGTCGCTTCTATGGCTAGTTGCGTGCGGAGCCCTGGCGTCCGAACTCTATCAGATCCACGCGAAGCCACCGATGGCAGAGGTTAAGCCCAATGTCACATAGGTAGACACGTAGGATTCCCAGCTCAGCTAGACAAGTCTACACACTACCTGCCATCGCGGAACCCCTGTTCCCCCGGGAGTACTCCAGCTAGACCAGGGCAAGCGAAGGCAAGGAGACAGCTCCTGTCAGGCAGGTCAAGCAATTGTTCATGGCCAGTCCAGCACGGCAAGGGTGGCTGCAATTTACCCCACATTATTTCGATCTTTCTTCTCGATTTCTCTTTCACCCCCCTCTTCCCTCCTTGCCACACCAGTGCACTCTCTACATGTACACATACTGCGAAACTCCCCATCTGCATGTTTTGTGCGACTCATGGTGGCCCGGGATGCCTGGCTAACCCAGTCTCTGCTTGCTTGTCTATCTGGATACAGGATTGGTTGATGAACCCTCAAGGCGTAAGGTTCCGTTTGTCTTTTTCAACCCCCGGTGCCCTTTTCTCCCCCCATTAGTTTTGATGCCCACCCGATCCACTTCTGCGCATCTGCCGTCAACTTTCTTCGACACTACCCGTGCTCGGGCTAATCCATATCTCTCTTTTCTGTGACAAAACCAAACTTTCCCATCATCCGCTTGCGAAAGATAGTCCCAGACCAAGGGACCAAGCGAGGAGAAGGCACAAACACTTGTGCTCCGCCCCCTCAAGTGCGGACGCGCTGTTATAAAACTCTTTTCTGCCCACAATCTCCTTGCAGACTGGGAAGAAAGAGCTATGGCGTCCCATGGGCTAGACGATGATGCCCCCACACCAGCAGCATCTGGGGGAGGAGGAGGAGGAGGTCCATCAGCCAAGGTCCCCTCCGAGAAGGAGCTCGCCCGCAAAATCCGGAAGCGCGAGCTCGACCGACGAGCCCAGAGGCAGGCTCGCGAGCGCACCCGCAACCGCATCGCCGAGCTCGAGGCCCAAGTCAAGGAGCTCCGAAAGGATGACTCGACGAGGCTGTCGGCCGCCATGGAGCAGCTAGCCGCCGTCACCCGCGAGCGGGACGGCCTGTTCGATACCTTCAAGTCCATCGAGCAGACGATGCGTGACCGTGTGCTGCCAAGCCGCCCGGCCCCGGCAGCGACGCGGCAACGCTCTCCTACTCCTCCTACCCTCTTGACAACATCAACATCCCTGCCGCCAGCAGCAGCAGCAGCAGCTTCTCGGAATGTGACGATGCTGACGGAGCTCTCGGCGCCATCGTACACAGCACCCATGGGCCTGTTGTCCGACACCCCGGCCGCCCTGGAGGTCCACGGTTTCCACGGTAGAGTCGATGGTGCCGCTGGGGGTGTCGTCGTCGGCAGGGTGCCGAGCGGGTTTCCGGCGTCGAGCGTACACGCGCCCAGCATCCACGCATCCAGCTCCACGTCGGACAGCCAGGACTTTATCGAAGACGAGGTCAACGACGGGGACGATGTACCAGACGATCCCAATCTCATCGTGCCGCCGCCCGAAGCGCCCTGCGACTGCGTCACCGCCAGGACGCCGGCGGGACCAGCGCCTCCGAGGGTGAATGTGTGGCGGGCTGTCAACCAGATCTTGGCGAAGCGGTGTCACATATCAAAGGAAGCTCACATAGCCGAGGACGCCAACGACGAGGACATACCCGTGCGGGTATTGCTGGAGGGGTGGGACGCCGTCGCGACGTCGCGACCGCTGTCCAAGTTGTGGAGGAAGCTCCGGAGGGTCGACGAGTTGTGCTTTCAGACCTGTCCTCCGACTGAACGACTGGCGATCCTCCGGACGATGCACCTGCTGCTGCAGTATCACTCCGATCCCACTCCAGAACGCTACGTCAAGCTGCCCACTTGGTACCTCAAGAGGTTTGTCAACCAACCGGGTTGGACGTATTTTGGTGGTGGATGTTTTACTAACTTGGGTTGCAGACCCTCGCAGGCGATGCCTCACTCTTATGCCATTGACTTCTTTGTCTGGTAAATCATCACATGTCTTCATCCCCTTGCTGTCTACAGCCCAGACGCTAACAGGCATTCTAGGCCCGGCGTTCGAGAACGTTTTGTGTTTGGACAACATCACTACTGCAACAACCAGTTCTGGGAGCTCTTCAGCACCAACTTTCACCTCCTCTGGCCCTTTGAGTTCCGCGACGCGTACAAGAAGAGCGTGATCACGGGCCAGTACCAAATGTCGCCCATGTTTGAGCAGAGGATATCGGACATCAACGCCTGGACCATGGGCATGGACTTCTTCAACCAATTTCCTGAGCTCATCGCCGACATGCCGGCCTTCAACTCCGTCGCCCAGACCCTCACGCCGGCCGTCACGTCCCCTCCCCCGACCCACCACCAAGCGCTGCCTCGGCAGGCTTCCCTGTCCCAGCTGAAGGAACGCGACGAGCGTCTGCTGCTCGAGCACCAGGCTTCGGCGGCGGCGGAGGGGCACCAGCCACACCAGCAGCAGGCCAACCAGGACGGCATGGATTGTTCGCAGGCTATGCAGGTCTACCAGCCGAGCATCTACAGCATGGCGCCTCCGGGGTTCATGGACGAGTTCATCCCGCAAGGCTACGATGCGCACGGCCCTGCCGGAACGTACGGCTCGATGCCTGGCTACTTTTGATCGCCAGATCAGCAGCAGAAGGGGTTCCTCAACTGGATGATATGCCGATTCTTTGTCGACATGGTCTATCGACAGCTCACGCGTGACGACATGGGCATGACCCCTGAGCAAATTGACTAATGTTAAAAATACATGCGGCTGAAGGATGCACAGCATCGATGAGCTAGCTGCACATCATGGTCATTGCTTTGCTGCCGTGACATACATTTCAGGAACGCGTCCCGCCGTCGCATTCCACGTGAGGTTCGGCGATCCTGGCCTGTCGGCAAGCAAAGTTTCTGGCTGCAGCAAGCAAGCATCCAAGACCACGACTAATCAGCGCCCAAAATGGGGCCCGAGGCCGAAGCCCTGCACCACAGACCCCCCCAAAGGGACGCGCCGAGATGGCCGTTCGCAGGGGCCGGCCCGAACGAGGGATAATTAGATACGACGGAGTAATACGCGATGGAGTACGGAGCGTGTGTCGTTGACGTGGCATATAAATGAGTAAATCGATGGAGACCATATCCCGCTCAGAACACAGGTTGAAAAGACTCCCGCAACTGGAGAAATCGAGGCTGTGTGCTATAAAGGGAACAAAATTTATGAATCATGAATTTGGAACTAGGCGCTTTCGAGCACTCATCCAGAGCGAGTTGGCAGCTTGCCAGTGTTGTCACGTTTGCAACGTGTTCGTCGAGGCAAATTGCCTCGTGTATTAAGATGAACTAGTATATTAACATTGTAAAATTGATGACCTCGTACACTGATGATGGAAACTTGATTTTCTCATTCATGCTGCGAACACATTCACGCTTGAAATCATTTCCATACGTACTTCTCATGGCTATGCATTGAGAGGACCGCTGGAGTACGTAACAATCTGCTTTCAACAAAAGATTGGTGCAAAGTCCCAACAACATTCCACCAACTACTCAAGCAAATAATGTCTTTGGCCGCTCCAAAAGCTCGCCATCCAAGAAAATGTCCACCTTTTCATTGTAGAAGCACAGCAGACCCGCTATCCCCGCGCTCTCATGCGTCGGAAGCCTGTAATACCAGACCAAGTTGCTGTGCTCTTTGCCGTCCACTACGACGTTGTAATACTCGGCATCACCCTTGTACGGGCATTTTGTGGTCAGATTGCTTTTTCGCAGCGCTGCCTGATCAACAGACGCCAAGGGGAGGTAATATCGTGTAGGCAGACCTGTTTCCAGCAAATGAACAGCAAATTCAGTCTTGGCGACGGTCTTCCCAGCGACCTTGACCTCGATTGGTCGCAGGGAAGGGAGGATCTCGATGCGCTTGAAGGGATCCTTGGGGTGGACATAGATGGGCGTCTCCTCCTCCATCCATTGATCTGGCGTATTTTGTGGCTTTGTGTCAGTTGCAAAAGTACATGACGGAAATTCCAAAACTGCCGACGTGGCTGAGACATACCCATACTACCAAACTCGAGCCTTATCAGACCGTTTAGGACACCGCTGATCTTTTCATTATCCGAAAATCGCAAGGCCCGATCTGTGATGAGGTCGCCTTCTCCATTCTGGCCCGGTACCGTGACTTCAACGACAGCCGCCGCGGCGTGGGATGCATCGCCCGTGAACTGGATGTCTTCCTTGTCCCTCCAGCGGCAGTTCCGCAGCTCTGAGATGGGGACATAGTACTGCGGATAGGCAACGTGTTCCCACACATGGACTGCTTTAGTGGTATCAACGACGCATGTGCTGTTTAGGATGACTCGGACTCGACGGGTGGTCAATTGGGTCCTGTGAGGACCGCTCGCGAGAAGATGTCTCGCAAGCTCAGGGAGACTAAGGAGGTGGGCGTTGGTTTAGCTTGCAATGACTACATTGGTGATTCGCCTGCCCTTGACCTATGGTGTCGAGACCTCCGTCATGGTGTTCAAGGGGGGCAACATTTGTGATGGAATGGGCTGCATTACCGCCGCGGCGCCGCCATCAAGAGTGACTTACTCGGCTCGGAATTGACCAGGTTTGGACATTTTATCCGCGCAGTTTCGGGACTTTCTACCAGTGCACTGATTGAACTGGGCTGAGAGAAAATATAATCGAGCAAATAAATGCTTAACTTTGGCAGGACGAGCTATGAGAGAGACGTTTTGTCTTCCCCTGTGTACACGAACCCCGCGCCTTCCGCCCCCTCCATTGTGACGTATGCTATTTTACCTAAGCATTTCTCGGCTCACGCACCCGGACAAAGAGGCCGGTGCGCTCCGTCAACTGAGGCCCCACACCTCCGGGAGTTGACCTTGCGTGCCTGTCACTCCCACAAGTTACTGGTAGTGTGTTTCTCGATCCATGGACTTTCTAGAGTCTTTCAGATTGGCCTGTTCTGATTCCCGATTCCCTGCATCATGCAACTGTCTCGGTCAGCCCGACTGCGACGTTTGAATTGCCGCTAATAACCATTCCCTCAGCAAATTGGCACGGCGTATGGAGAGGCAGTAGCCAGGCGTAATAATGAACCGTCTAGATAATCTACCCGGGCATTGCCGACTTTCCGGAAGTCTAGACCGTTCCTTGAGCCTTGGTGGCTGAGACATACAGACGACATGGTTGCAACGGTTGAGAATGCATGTGTGTTTGCGGGCAGATCCCAAGGGGGGGGGGGTTGCGATACGGGTTCCATTGAGCTGGTGCCACAAGCCATTTTCAGCCTTATTTTTGTGGTTTCGTACACCGCAATTACCGCCTCCCCTTGTCACTCAATTTTTGGCAAACACGGCCGATTTGAACGCAGCATCGTGGCACCCCTTTCTCGGCCGGGGTTATCGACCCGACCAGCCCCGCCGAGTGGGGCACCGACAATTCGGCCGTGAACACACAACCTTGCCCCGCTGCCCCGATTTCCGAATGGTGCGAATTTGGTGACGGTCAAGATCTATCATCCAGGTCGATTCATGATCTTGTTACGCTAGAATGCTCGCAACATGTGTTTGCAGGGGCGTAAAAAAGTATGGATCATTCATCATGAAGGCATTGCATTGCCTACGACTTCGACTCCAGCGCGACCCATCATACCAGCCAATCCGACAAGACAGGGACCGATTCTCACAAACTACTCGGTATGGATCATCTGATAAAGGTGCAATTTGAACTTGCGCAGCGAGAAGAACAGAGAAAAGGTCCATCCCTCCATTGATTAGTCCCTGTTCGCAATCCCCGGGTCTGAATGGATTACCTCTCGAATTCTAGGCGTGCAAAGCTTGTCAACGAAAAGTTTGTAAATCGAATGTCGGACAGGTCTGATGCGCCAGGGGACTTAACTTCGGCAAGCATGTTGACTTCGTTCGCAACGGCCTCGACGATGGCTTCGTTTTTGAGTCAGAACCTCCAATTATTCTTTGCCACAAAGCCTAGACACGTTTCATTCAAGAAATGTATGATATTATGCTTGTGGGTAGCCTTATCGATGATGATGTGCGTTTTGTGGTCGTTCCAAAGATCGTCCAAATTGACTTTTTTTTTGCCAGCTTCATCGCATTCCTAGATCCGGATCCGTCGTGCGAGAAGATGATGATACCAGAAGCGCCTGCGCCGATCTTGGTGACCATGTTCTTTGCTGGAGTTTTGGATTGTCTAGGAGCATCAGGCGCTTGAAATGAACCGAGGTATGATCCTTGCCGACTTCTATTTCACTTTTGTTCTATTCGATCGAATTTGATGGTTCGATTGAAAATTGAATGGCGATGAAAGATTGAGTGAAAGAGGCTTCCAAAGTCTACCTGTGCCCAGTTCTTGACTATCTAGATGGTTGAGATTTAGTCTTCTCATTTCCTCAGTTCCATTATTGTCTTCATCGCTGTCCGCCACCAAGAACCTTACTGGTACGAATATGCAGGAAAATACAGATACCAGGGCTGGCAGAAAGATTGGGGTTAGATAAGTAGCGAGAGCTAGCAACCTGTTTTGATTACCTAGGTCAGGTCTTGAGAAACCTTCCCTTCCCAGCACGGGAGTGGTCAACCCTCAAGAAGCAACTGACGATGCCGTGGATACAACCGGGTTTCTGACGACCAGGTTTATAATCGTATTGCTTCAAGTATTGAAGATTTTCAAGTATTCGAGGCCCTTGAAGAAGCCTTCTAGATTGGAAGGAGCCATAGGCGGATTCATTACGGCATTCCCCAACGACTCTGGTGGCCATTGCGAGCTTCGATTCGAGGGAAGCCACTGAGCAATCTCAAATCGGCAACGCCGACGTCCAGCACGGTATTCTCACCACTTTCAAAAAAAAGAGGAGCCACGGGCCACAACAGCAGTGCGCATCGGCAGACCATAAAACCAAATGATAACAGTACTGGTACAACTACACCCTCGCCCACAATTAGTGGCCTAATCTTCTCGGTAAGTCCACAAAGAGTTTAGAGCCGGGAAAGGGCTTTTTACATCATGGCTCCATCATCCAGTTGCACTATAATGACCTTGCTTCTGCGAAACTCAAAATAGAGTAGAATGGGGCAGTCCTAGTATGAGGCCGTGCTGGGCCGCAAAGGCCGCATCCCTGGCAACTTCATTGTCAGTCCGTGTAACTCCCCGACGAACGACTGTTCGAAGTCCCAGTTTTCTTTGGCCTTTGTTTGGGGGCCTTCCGGATTCGCTCCAGCTTCATTTGAGCGGCCCCTGTGAGATGCCTATCTTGGGTTTTTCTTTTATCTCATTGCTTCTGTGAAGAGCTATGAAGGATTTACTGCCTCTTATCTCTTCTCAAGATCGCTCATTATAGACTCAGACTCGTTCCGAACGGAGTGTCGTTTCGCGGCACACAAATAGCTGCCAGTATGGAGTAGTCCGGATTGTTGCAATGAGGCGCCCGCAAAATTTGTGGCTAGCCTAACTAGTGCAAGCCTCAATGCTACCTCGCCCCTCTAACTGCCAGACTGGTGGCCATGCCTAATTTCGGCAATTACCTTGAATGGAGCCCAAATCCTGCGAACCTCGGCTGAAAGCGTTCTCAGTAGTAGTTGTATGTGTTTTGAGAGACCGACGTTGGGCTTTCTTGTCAAGACCTTTGGCCGACATCATCTGACCACATACGTCCGAGCCCGCTAACGGTTCATCTAGTCTCTCGTATAAGCTCGGATGACAATAGTGAAATGCGACATGACGGACGTTTAAGGCTAGCAACGGTCTTCCATTTCTCTCCGAATACCTACGTTAATTCAACACTACCCCTGTACTGATGCGGCAGTCGATGCGGGATGATCCTACTACATGGCCCTGTGTAGACGTGAATTGTGGGTATGTTCTCCAGTCCCAGGTGGAAAAAGCTTCCTAATCTGTGAAAGTAGACGTCCTTGCAGATGCCAAATGCCAAGTTTCAGCTCTCAAGAGATTAATCAAAATCGACGTCCTTAGTTGAAGATCCGAGGCATGCCCTCGACAAGCCCGCCCCATCTCTCTGTGTGTATATATATATATATATATATATATATGTGTGTGTGAATACACATACTCCGAACTGCAGTCCTTTCTCACCGTGAAATAAGTGTTTACATCTATCCCATCACGAAGTCATTCGTTCAAACTTCATCCCAACGCAGGGAAACTTTCTTCAATATGTTCTGGTCACTCGCTACCCATCGGAAGGCACTTCTCCTCGCCTTGGTCGCTGTGCAGCCCGTATCCTTTGTCCAAGGGCTCCCTGCATCAGCCGCCGACGCTTTCACGACTGGCTTGAAGCGAACAGCTCTAGACCACCTCGAGCTCGAAGAAAGACAAGACATCCCCGAGGCCCTGGCCAAGTTCCCTTCAGGGCCGTTGAATCTGTTTCTCAGACTCATCAGTACCCTGCCAGCGGGTGCGGCAGCACTTGATGCAGCCGGAACGGTCCTGACCCCCCTTCAACAGGGCTTAGCGGATGCCGTTGACATTGACACGACGGAGGACGATCTGTCGCAAAACGTTGCGTGCACCGACATCACCGTCATATTTGCTCGTGGCACGACGGAGCCCGGAAACGTCGGACTGGTGACAGGTCCGCCCTTTTTCGACGCCCTCAACCAGCAACGGGGGTCCAAGTCCGTGGCGGTTCAGGGTGTCGAGTACCCCGCGACATTTGCTGGGTTCAACAAGAACGGCACAGACGGTGTGCCGAGCATGTGAGTATTTTCCAGATAGAGGGCTGGACCCTTCTCACGTCCCCAACAGGCCGAGGGGTATAGCCAAGGAGCCAACGCTTACACCGGGCCTCTCAGGACAAAATTCATCAACGAAGCGGCCACCAATTGCCCCAACACCAAAATCGTAGTGTCTGGGTACTCTCAGGGTGCTCTGGTAGTCCGTAACACCGTCAAGTCTCTTCCGGCGGCTACCTTGGCCAAGGTGAACTCTGTTCTGACCTTTGGAGACCCTGGGAACCCGGGCGCCATCACCGGGGCTGAAGGCAAGGCCAAAATTATTTGTCACGATAATGATGCTGTTTGTAGCGGGGGCTTCATCACCGTCGATCATTTGACGTATGCTGAGGATGCGGACGCTGCTGCTCAGTTTGTCTTGCAGAAAGCGAACGGTACGTTATAGACCAACGTGTTGAATTTTTCAAAGTATGCTAATTATGCTATTTGCTTCCAGCCTAACTTTGCAGTCACTAATGTTCAATATGGCTGTTTGATGGACCAGACACGCTCAAAAAAGAGAGAATGGCGCGCTACATGTACTCATGGCGGTTGCTATTCTCGATGCCGTCTGGGGTGAATCCATGTAAGACGAAGGCGCGGCTATGACAGACAGTACATGTCTTTTACGTGCTAGTTATTTCGACCCGTGCTACTTACAATTCGATGAGTTCGAGCCAAGACCATGCTACTAAAGATGATTATGGGATTGACTCAAATGCCATTGTGACACCGAATCGTTGTAATAATCCTCATAAGAACAAGCCTAAATTGGGCCTCGCCAACCAAAAGCCTGTCATGACATCTATTAGCCTTCCGTACGAGTCAACCTTGAACCCACTGAGGACGGGATGGGATACCGACGTCTAATAGAATCTCCTAAACGGGACGCGATCGTGAAAAAGGACGGGATGCCCCCCGCACTAAACGGCTTGTCAGCGGGTCTCGAACCATCGGGGGCCCCGCGATGGTCCAATTGGAGACCATTTGCGACAAGGACAGGCGATGACGCGATCGCGCGGCGCAAATCCGCCATCACAACCCGTCACTCTGCACGCGTTTTGATATGGCGAGATTTTCTCAACTACTATGGCCCGGCGATTAGTTCGCGGTAATGCATCCTTCAATGGTCCCGATCCAACGGACTGGGTCCAGTTCCTTCGTTGCTCAAAACGTTTTTCATTTCTTCATGCCTCAAACATTGGTCATTCAACCAACCTGCGATCTGAATCTCGAATCCCAAACGAGAGAGGGGTGACTGATAAGAGACTGAGACTGGACTGGACCAGCCGACAGCTGATCGGATCTTGGCAGCGTTCATCAACTTGATCATTCCTTTCGCCCCTCGCATTCCGATTCCACCATCCTGCAAACAAAACACCTCCTTCACAATGTCACGGTATCGAGCCTACGACAAGGATGGAGATGACGTCCCCGTCATCCAAGACGCGCGTGTCGGCGGCGCAGGCTACGCCGACGACTCTCCCCCAGCCGACGCCGACTTCGCAGCCATTGATCCGCAAAGCGGCGTCAAGCGAGGTCTCAAGACACGGCATCTGAGCATGATGGCCCTGGCGGGCATCATCGGGCCGGGCCTCCTGATCGGCGCCGGCGGTGCCCTCTCCAACGGCGGACCGGCCGCCCTACTCATCGGGTTCGGCGTCATCGGCATCATCGCCTTTAGCATCATGCAAAGCCTGGGCGAGCTGACCACGTTGTACCCGAGCGGTGGAGCCTTCACCGGGCTGGCGGATCGTTTTGTCGACAAGGCTTTTGGCGTCGCTCTGGGCTGGAATTATTACATTATCTGGATGTGTGTTTTGGCAAACGAGTATAATGTGCTGTCGAGCATTTTCGTCTTTTGGAGCGACAAAGTGCCCTTGTGGGGTTACTTTTTGATCTTTTGGGTATGTGCCACATTTGAACATACTTACTTCTTACTCAGGTACTAAATATTTGGGTGATGCCCTTCTAGACGCTGTTCCTCGGGTTCCAATTACTGGGAGTTGAGGCATTTGGAGAAGCCGAGTTCTGGTTGGCTTTATTGAAGCTGATTGGCTTGGTCGCCTATTTTCTCTTCTCGATCATGTAAGTCGTCACTATCAACATCATCTACTCCCAACTCCAAAAAACTCGAAGAAAAAAACTAACTCAACGACACAGATACGCCGCCGGCGGAATCCCAGGCCAAGAAGCCCTCGGCTTCCGCTACTGGCGCGACCCCGGCGCCTTCACCGACGGCTTCCGCGGCACCGCAAAGGTCTTTGTCTTTTGCTCCACCTTTTACGCCGGCGTCGAGTCCGTCGCCGTCGCCGCCACCGAGACCAAGAACCCGCGCGTCGCCGTCCCGCTCGCGATCCGCCAGGTCTTTTGGCGCATCCTCTTCGTCTACATGGGCTCCGCCTTCTTCTTCGGCCTCACCTGCCCGGCCAACGCCGACGAGCTCGTCAACGGGGGCTCCCGCGCCGTCAAGAGTCCCATGACGGTCGCCATCCAGAATGCCGGCTGGGAAGGGGGCGTGCACTTGATCAACGCCTTCATCTTTGTCACGTGTCTGTCTGCGTGCAACTCGTCCATCTACATCGGATCCCGCACCCTCCTGTACATGGGCCAGGACAAGAAGGCGCCCGAGATCCTGGGCAGGACGGATAGCCGCGGCGTGCCCATTCCGGCCATTGTGTTTACCAATTTGTGCGGTGCGCTATCCATGATGAACATTAGCACCGGCGCCAGCAAGGCGTATTCTTACATTGTCAATCTCAGCGGCGTGTCGACGTTCCTCGTCTGGGGCTCCATCTCCTTTATCCACATTCGGTTCCGGCAAGCGTGGAAGGCTCAGGGCCACACAGAGAGCTCGCTGCCGTTCGTTTCGTTGTGGTATCCCTGGAATGCCTACTTTGGCCTGGCGGCCAACATTTTCTTGGCGGTTGTGCAGGGCTGGACCACCCTCGCACCATTCGATGCCGGATCCTTTGTGGACGCTTACATCTTGTTACCCCTGTTCCCAATCATCTGGTTCGGATACAAATTCTGGTTCAAGACACACTTCTGGAGGGTGGGCGAGATGGATCTGATGTCTGGCCGTCGACGCGATCTGGACGAGTCGCGGGAGATTGAGACTGGAGAACACGACCTGGAAAGACTACCTTGGTGGAGGCGGTTGCTCAAGAGTTTTTAAAATCATCAGATGGATCATGGACTTCGGCCTCAACACAAACGATATGGGCGTTCGGAAAAATGACTGCATTTAGTTAGGCCATCAACAGAAGGGGAATGAAAGTGCGCTTTTCTGTGATTCACACGATCCGGGTGGAATGGGTGCCGTCACACCTACCTTATGACATAAAATCAATATCAACACCCTCTCGCAAAGCGAAAAGTTGTTCCTGGACACTCAATTGGCGTGCGCCGTTGGGAGGCGGATTCGGCTGTCGCCCTCGCTTGGGGCCAAAGTTCGAGTTGGGAGTTGAGTGACCCGGACCCCCTTTTCTCGTCGCATTCGCACCCGCCTGCGCACTCGCCGCGCTTGACCTCCGGACTCGGTTATGCACGTAAGCTTCCCTTCTGAGAACACCGCCGGAAAGTTCAAACTAGTGCGTGTCTCACAGTATTATTCTCTTACGACGTTTCGCCTACAATTCCAGGATCGGGGTCTGTTGCAGACGTGGACAGACAGATACCCGCTGGCCTGTCCGGAGGATGCCGGACATCATTCGATGCTGGGTTTCTCCAGCTTTCTTTTCAACTATTCACTCACAATTTCCCGTCAATGTCGACCCGAATGAATAACAGCTGATCGATGGTGTTGAGCCCAGATTACGCCAGGAATTACTTTCGAAGATGGTGGCACATCTACCGGGTTTGGAGTCATTTCCAGTCCCTTACCAGCATGTTGGTTTATTTAAGGACCTAAAATCGCAAGGCAGTCAAGGAACCGGTCATACAATCATGGAACTCAGCAAAAATGAGGGCAAACCAAACACCGAAGAAGAAGAAAAGAGATGGCAAAGCCACGCTCTGTTCAAGAGAGTCTCCGAGAACTGCCTCATCAACCAACAACAATCACGAGATCCATCAAGAGATAGCGAACTGCGGCGCTATCTTGATGTTTTGCAGGAAGCTATGCCAAAGCTCCCAGACGACGGTCTCCTTCCTAGTTCCGAGGAGCGTCGACTGCCGATGGGTAGTTGGCTTCGTCCTCGACTATCACGCCCGGTCATCATTCCTCAAGGGCAATTCAGAACATCGACAAGAGAGTTTTGCCAAACATATGCCCCAGTCTTGAGAGATTGTGGCATTGAAAAGAAGGAATTCCTTGGATTCATAGACGATCTGAACCGAGTAACCGAGCCCTCCACTAGGGACCATGCCATCAACATTGGCGGCTTCGCCAGCGCGGCGGCCCTCACCACGCAGGATCCCATGCTAATCTCGATGGCATATAGCCCGGGCTTCCATTCTACCGGGCTTTCATCGAGACACAGTACAACCAACGACCTATTGGAAAAGGCAAACATTGAGCTTTTCCGTCCACGAGGGCTCGTTTGTTTTCTTGTTATTTGCCACCGGAAAGCGCCAGAGGAGAGCAAAAGATTATTTCAGAAAGTACCCAGGTCATCAAAAACCAGCTTGGATCAAAGCCAGGAGGAGAAACGAAGAATGCAACCGAAGATGGTGGAGAGGGTGGGGGATGTGGACGGGACCGACTTTTCACAACTCGGATTCTACACCGGCAACGACTCATACCTGGAGTTGAGCAACAATCCGCGTCCTCGAAAGAGATCATATCGAACAAGAAAAAACGGCACCCAAATCGATGAACATCGGGGAAACCGGCCAATTTTCCCAGCGGCGAGAGCGTACTACAAAGGAGACAAAGGCTTCGAAGAGGCCCGAAAGCGACGGTCCACGTCGAGATACGCAAAATCAAGGCATCTAGCAGGCACAAAATACAACACAATACTTTTCGTAAGCGAAAAAATCACTAACGGGAAATTGGGACGCCGACAGTGTTCGAATCTTGACTTAACACCAGTCAAGGTTGGAGTTGGAAGGCTGCCCGCGGCGAACTCTGCGGACGAGACCGACGAAAAGATATTTCCGTCGCGAGGACCACCTGCGGACCCAGAGACAGAGTCCATCAGTAAAACTTTACACCGTCGAGTCCCCGGTAACGGAAAGACTGTGGATCCGGTAAGGAAACCGCTAGAAAAGCATCATGACACTCTCTGACAATTCATTGTAGGATGCAATGTTTCTCATGATTGTAAATGTTCCAGATGAAGTTGGGAACTTGGGATAGCTAATCAGGATGTCAAAATGCATCTCACGTAGCCAGATATCAATATTTACTCGAGGAATTTCTACACGATGGTCACAGCTTCCAATCTTGTTGAAGAGATCCGAGGTCATACCTCATAGTTGACCCAGCCACCTATCACTCTCTTGCTCAAGTGAAAAAAATCGCTGCCAGAAAGAGGCTGGTAGTTTCCCACATCTGAAGATATGATATCTGAAGATGGGGGTCAATCGAGTGTCTAAAGCGTCAAGCTAGGTGCTGCAAGAATGTCAAAGGGCCGAGCAGTACTTCAGAGATAGCTTCTGAAGAGAGTCGTAGAAAGCGATGGTGCCAATACTCTGTTGTCAGCACAGACGGTTCTTTGGATAGAGGATAAAGCAATAATACAATATTACGGAGCGCGATCGCGAAATCGGGAATAACCCATGACGTAAATTCCTAACCTAATCGCTGATTGGCCTTGAACAGACTACAATAGCACGGGAAGTAATAAGATTGGGCATTGCGTATGACAAGAGTGAGCCACAAGTCAAAATCAGCTGCTGCTTTTCCCAAACACTAGTTCAATCCTGGCGAGCTTCCTACTCGACGTTGAGCAAACTGGACCATTTGATTATATATCTTTATGAGGAACGAGCCAAAGGCTACATCTCTATGTGAAAACCATGAGACTTGGTGGCTGTCCAATGCTTTGGAAGTAGATAATGGGCCATCAAGTGATGTTATGGTGAGGTTGTTCGTCCATTGCATACCTACTTTTCCCTCACGGATTCCGAATTATCAGCGCCATTGAAGTCAAAATGATAATTTCAAGTCTAAACACTCTAGTTTGACTCTAAAGAGTAAATTAAAAAAATTGTGGATAAAATCAACCTTCTCTTGAACACCACCTCATGAACACCTAGCCTGCTCAGCTAGGTATTTAAGACCGCTAACCATTAGCCCGCCCCGGCTTCTGAATATTGTTCATCGGCACCAGATCCGCCTCATCGCTATCACTGTAGGAGACGGCAAATGTCTTTTGGAACTTGATCTGCCGATCCTGCGCGTCGTGAACAGAGCTGGACCGGTCCACGGTGACAACACCGACAGTACGAGCCTGGCTGCGCTCAGCGGCGTTCTTGGATCTGACGTCGCTGCCGTACTGCTTATAGTACTGCCGTCCTTTACTCCGCATCGTCGAGCCGGACATGGCGGGAAAGATCTTGACCAATATCATGCGCATGGAGGGCAGACACGCGCACATGATGCCTACGCAGATCTCGACCGTGCTCCACAAGCTCACGTCGAGAAAGTCCATGGTAGCGTTGGATCCCTTGGCGAAATTGACAAGAGATTGCAGGCGGATGATGCTCACGACGGTGACACTGATGCTACGTTAGTTTTGCCTGGGGAAAAAAAAAGAAAGAAAAAAAAAACACCGTGCAGTTTCACAAAGTTTGAGCCCCCGGTAACCAGGGGCCATAAGAGCACTGCGCGCGAGTCAAGGACTTACAATGTGCCCACGATGAACATCAACGCGACTCCAATCTTTTTCTTCCAATGCAGCTTCAAAGACCTCAATTGCCACAGCGGGATCGCGAGCATCCAAAGATCCAGCGCGATGCTGATGGCGGCGTTGGACCAGCTGATGGCGTTGGCGTCCGCGCAGCTCCCCTCGTGCATGCGATCCCACTTGACCCAAAAGTAGTGGATGGGCTTGCACTGGAAGACGGCCGTGATGACAAACGCGAATCCCCAGACGATGATGAAGAACGTCGTCGCCCACAACATGCGTTGGACCTCCCGGGCGGGGAAGATGCGCATGTAGAAGAAGATGATGGCCAGCTTGACGAGGGTCACCTGGAAGAAGTACAGCCAGGCCATGATGTAAAAGTAGAAGAGGACGTTTGTGATTTGCTGGGGCGTCAGCGTCCAAATGTCCCTCCCCAGGCCGTTGGCAGTGGTTCCGTGGACGGTGATGACGGCGCTCGGCATCGCTGCGATCAACGTCGCCATCACGAACCAGTCGTCCCAGCCAACGTCGAGTCCTGCGAAAAAGATTTTGTATCCGAACCGGCTCAGGACGCAGAACGCTGCCAGGATGGCCATGACATTGGAGAGGACGATATATTCTCCAGAGCGGTTGTGTACGGGAGCGCCGCAGTTTGTCAAGCTCGCATTTTTCGTGGCTGGGAGGGTTTTTTTTGGGTCAGCTTTTGACGATGATGATCAACAGAAGTAGATGAAGACATACCGAGGGCTTCTGGGATCGTGCAACTTGCCGAGACACACAGCGTGACGTTGAGTTGAAACTGCTCGCTCGTGCAGATGCAAGTCTGGTTTGTGGGGGCACAGTAGCCGCCATAGAAAGCGCTAGCTATGCATTTTGTCTGTGTGAAAAGCCCAGCCGTTAGCCACGTTTCTTCAACGGTCTTTCAATGGAGGTCCAAGATGTCAAGATTATTCAAGGGAGAGCCAAGCAGGGAGGAGTCGACTCACGGCGCATGCCGGGTAGCTGGGCTTGTTGGAGGGGGCCGTCGTGTCCTGCGCCTGTACGGCGACGAGAATGCCAAGGACCAACGCCAACGCGAGGCGGAGAAAGGATGCCATGTTGTTCCACGGGTAAGGGAACAGCAGCGGTTCCGCCTTGGGAGTTTCCCAGAGATCCGGAAAATCTCCTCTTCATAAATAAAATCGACGGGTTTCTGCATAGATTCCATTCCTGGTCCTCCATGTGGCAGTCGGCCACCTCCCACAGGTTGCCCTGGTTCATCGCCAAGTCGCCAAAATTGGCAGGGAATTCTTAAAGGCGTGATACAACACTAGTCGTCTCTCCCTTCGCTTCGAGTGGGACGATGATACGCTGTTCCTTTGGCCGAACACTTTTCTGCGACATAAGCGATGTGGCTACGTCGCAGGTTCTTGTCTATGAAGTCCTCCTTCGAGACTAGGGTACGTTGAGGAAGCGATGCCCCCTCCTTAGCTGGAACTTGTCCGAACGAGCCTTTTGGTTTCTCTGGTTGGACGGTTCTTGGCTCCCCCCAAATGGGAACCGACCCCGTCTTTCGCGCCACAGCCAAGCAGCCCCTGCAGGGGAGGGGGGGGGAAAAGTGTGCATCAATGCATCGAAACCACCGGCGGCACAGCAATGGCTGAGGTCTGGGCCTCGGAAATTAGTCCCCTACGAGATCTCGGTTGGGAATCGTTGGAGAAATATCCTTCAGTGGCGCATTTGGCTCGGCATTGGGACTGGGTAGGGGGTTGGTGGTCGACCTGATGTGAGAGACTCTGCTGAGTGTGGTGAGACCGTTTGAAGCCGCCGTTTTTAAGCTAGAATGGAGAAGTTCGGGTTGTCGTTTTAGTCTCTGCTAGTTCAACCTTAATCATTGGGACTCATTTAGATCCGTGGGCTGAGGCTCGGGGAATAAGAACCAGTCCGCCCCCACGACCAGAGTGATGCTGGGCTTGTCGGGGCCGTCTGGTGTCTCATCCGTTCATGTTCTCTCCCCCCCGTTTGTCTCCGGCCCCACCGTTACCCAGAAAGAATGCGGGTGCTCGTCGGATTCCACAAGCCTCAATAGGAAGTTTTGCGAAGAGGACCCTGAAAAAGCCTTGTCTCGGCCGACATGGATTCCTCCCGTCCGAGTACTCCAGACCCTCAGTCAGACCGGTTTGGGGCATTGCAGCCGTGATTCTATCGATATTGGACATGACCAACAACTTATATCGCAGTTGCCATATATCTCTTTGGATAACATTGTCGCATGTTACCAATATTGTCAAGTCAAAAGGAGGCGGAGCTCGGAACCATCTCGAAAAGCCGAGGCCCTCGTGCTTCCAGGGGTAAGTGGTTGGCATCACTTGGCATCACGCATGATGGATGCGAGGGATATATGAGTTCCAGATGTGATCACGCTTTTTGTGACTTGTTCCTAACTTGTCACCCACACCTCACTCTCTCTCTCCTCCTCTCCCATCTCTAGTCCTCTTTGGCTACTTGTCCAACTCAAGTCTTCAATATGAGGCTCTCTAATCTGGCCGTAGCCACCGCCTTGGCTACCATCACAACCGCTGCAGCAACCCCCAAGCAGCAATGTCATTGCCTGCCCGGAGACTCTTGTTGGCCCTCGGTCTCCACATGGAACCAACTCAACGCAACCGTAGGTGGCCGTCTGGTCGCCACCACGCCCATCGGATCACCCTGCCATGATCCTACGTACGATGCCGCGGCCTGCGCTGCTCTGCAGTCGTCCTGGACCAATCCCTTGACACAGTTCGTCCCGTCTCTTCCTCGCTTTGACCCCCATCAACAACCTGCCATCAAAATGGAATGTGCTGACTGGATGTTGTAGCATTCCCTCCTCGTCTTCTGTTATGCAATCTTTCTTCGCCAACCAGTCCTGCGACCCATTCACTGACAGAGCTGTTCCTTGCACGCTCGGCAACTATGTGAGCTACGCCGTCGACGTCCAATCCACCGCAGACGTGGGTTACGCTCTCAAGTTCGCCAAGGCCAACAACCTCCGAGTCGTTGTCCGTAACACGGGTCATGAGTGAGTGGCTTATCTTACTATGAGCTATAAGTTGAAATACACAGTAACTGACTACCTTGTTTCCGTAGCTTCCTGGGACGTTCTACTGGTGCCGGTGCTCTTGCAATCTGGACGAACCACTTGAAGACCATTGATTTCACAACCTGGTCTGACAATTACTACTCCGGCCCGGCCGTCAATGTCGGCGCTGGTGTTCTTGGTTACGAGATCCTTGAGGCCGCTCACGCCAAGGGTCTGACTGTCGTCTCCGGCGAATGCGCTACAGTCGGCCTTGCCGGAGGCTTCACGCAGGGAGGCGGCCACTCCGCGCTGTCAACACAGTTCGGTCTCGGAGCCGATCAGACCCTAGCCTTCCAAGTAGTCACTGCCGACGGCAACACTGTCGTCGCCTCGCCGTCCGAGAACGCCGACTTATACTGGGCCCTCAGCGGCGGCGGCGGCGGCACCTTTGGCGTCGTCACCGGCCTCACCGTCCGCGCCTACCAAGCCCAGACCGTCGGCGGCGCCGCCTTCCAGCTCCTCGCCGCGACGACGACGCCCGAAAAGTACAACGCCGCTGTTTCCAAGTTCCATGAGCTGCTCCCCGCCATGACCGACCAGGGCGCCTTTGCCGTCTTCCTCCACAACGCCCAGTACCTCGTCCTCCGCCCGCTGACGGTCTGGAACTCGACCGCAGCCCACGTCCGCGACGTCATCCTCGCGCCCTTTACAAAGGCCCTCGAGGAGGAGATTGGCATCACCCTGGCCGTCGCCTACAGCGAGCTGTCGTACCGCGACCACTACGACCGCTACATGGGACCGCTTCCCCAGGGCAACCTCGAGGTGACGCGGTACCAGTTCGGCGGACGTCTCATCCCCCGTGAGGCAATTGAGAACAACAACGACGAGTACCAAAAGGTCGTCCAGAACCTGACGGCCAACGGCGTCCTCCTCGCCGGCAGCGTCGGGCACTACGGCAAGCCCGCCGGCGCGCCCGAGAACTCGGTCCACCCGGCGTGGCGCAAGGCCGTCATGCAGCTGCAGCTCATCACCAACTGGGACAACGCGGCGCCGTGGGCTGACATGGAGGTTTCGCAGAAGCGCATGACGGAGGAGTTTATGCCATGGATCACGGCCGTCACGCCGGGTAGCGCTTCGTACATGAACGAGGCCGACTTTAGGCAGCCTGACTGGCAGGATGCCTTCTTTGGCGACAACTATGCCAAGTTGCTGGCGATCAAGAACAAGTGGGATCCCGAGTCGCTCTTCTACGTCCTCAAGGGCGTCGGCAGCGAGGCGTGGAATGTTGCGCCCAACGGACAGATGTGCCGGGCTTAAGTAGTATTACCATAAGTGACATAATCATATCAACACCTGCTTTTGCTGCACATGAGTCTTTAACGTGATATGGTTGAGTGGTAGCCCGCAGATGCTTGTGGACTTCATCATTCTTACTAATTAAAGATTTAGTACTTTAAAGGCGATGATAGTGTATGAAGAGAATGGAAGTAATCTATTTGTAGGCAGGACGCTCGCAGTTAACGACAACATCCCACATGTGACTGCGGCACATCTGACAAGAATCCCCTCCCGTTGCGTCACAGCCCTAGGAGATCAAATGAGCGTTAGCCCAAGGTGGTGGCTTAAGTTACCCGCTCACGTGCGTCGCGCTACAGAACTATTTCCTACTTACTAATGGCGCCTAGTCCACCGATCAACTTCTCTCGTGACCAAATCCGCAAGATTTCCGCTCGCCAGTTCAGGGTCGAGAACGGGAATATCAACGACTCTGTACTTGCCTCGAGGAGCGTACACACAGCTAACAAAACACCTCTGCGCTCTGAGACCATCGCGGGTTCCGCCGGTCGCATGAATCATGTCTCTCACAGATGCTATCTATCACCCACTGAGTCGCGAAACCAAATCGACCAGGCTTCTGCAATTTCAACACCAGCAAGAAAACGAATCCTTGCAATGTACCCTAACAACCCACTCACTCAACGACGCACCCCCATTCGTTGCTCTCTCCTATGTCTGGGGAGCACCTGAACCCGCATACGACATAAACATCAACGGGGCCGTGTTCCAGGTTCGAGAGAACCTATGGCACGCCCTTCACCAAATGGCACACATCGCCAATCACAAAGACAATTGCATCTCCCAACAGAAGAAGTCAGGCACGGTATTACCCAAATACTTCTGGGTCGACGCCATCTGCATCAACCAAGACGACAACTTGGAGCGCGGCCATCAAGTCGGCCTGATGAAGAACATCTTTTCCGCGGCCCACTTTGTCATATCGTGGGTCGGGCAGGAAGAGGGCGAGATCGCCGTCATGTTTGAATACCTACAGGGCCTCAAACACACCGCCCGACGCGAGAGAAACCACTACCTGCGCTCGCAGAAGCGCAAGTTCTCCTTCAAAGATGCAAAGTGGTTCGTCTCCCGGCCGTACTGGTCGCGGATATGGATCGTGCAGGAGTTCACCTTGGCCAGGGAGCTATGGGTGCTGTGCGGATCCGTCGCCATCTCGTGGACGTCATTACAGCAGTTTCGGCCGTTTGGCATATCCGACCAGACCAATCTCGGGTTTAAACACCTGTCAAAGTCGGAGAGTCACTACAGCATCGAGAGTCGCGTCGAAAGCTGCAGAGAATTGTCCAAGCTCCGGCGGTCGTGGCAGACGGACCCGAAACGACCCTCCTTCACGGACAAGGAACCCGGTTTCGGGGCGCGGCCGCGACTGACTCGCCTCTTGGCCTTTTCTAAAGACTACCACTGTACGGACCCTCGGGACCGGGTGTACGGCCTGTTGGGCTTGACGGAGGAGGAGGGTGTCCAAGACCGATTGCCGGCCGATTACGATATCACGCCTTTCCAACTTTATCATCGAGTGATTCATCATCTCAAAAGTCAGAAGCAGCCTTTCCTCCCGCCTCTGTTTCGTGATCGGCTGGCTCAGGGACTTCAGATATGCGACCATGATAGCCTTCCGGCGTCAACGTTTTTGTACGAAACTGTAGCCAGTCGGTGTGTGAAGAGGCTTATCACGACAGGAGCCGATATGTGGAGAGAACAATTCCTAAAGGAAGTAACAACCTTTTTGGATATTACAGAAGAATATTCTGATCCTCACGACTTGTGTTCTAGAATTCTTTTGGAATTTGAAAGTTTCCCTTCGAACGAAGATCCAACCACTTGGAAACAGTTTGAGGGAGCTCTCAAGAAGGCTTTGGGCATCGCTGACAAGAGAAAATGAGCCCTCTGCGATACTAAGCTTCGTTGCTGCCGACCAGCTGAACGATACATCTTTCATGAGCTTTATGTGTCTTTTCATCTAAGTTTGAACCAGATATTTAAGACGTGATGAATTAATGAAGTTAAGAGCGTGAGCCTGCAGTCGACAAATGTGCTTGGAGGATATATCCGAGGAATTCATTTGCCCGAATTGTGTTCACTTAGACTGAACTAATCACCTCGGCTCCTTGTCGATCCGTGTGATGAGCCTCTCTGACGTATGTGAGCCGATCAAACACATTCATGGAGATAGGCACATGCGTGTCATATTCCTACTTCAAGCTCATGTTTATGTTACTGGACCAGAAAGGAACATTCTTCATAAAATTGGCAGATTTGTTCTTTCGTCACGAAGTAAGTGATCATGCCCGAATCGGCTCATTCACTTTTTCAGTTCAGAGGTATTATTGTACCTTCGGTACTCCACGAGTCCTTTTGGTATACATCCTTGATCCTTCTTTGTCATATTATGCCACCCCTATTTTTGATGTTGCGGAGATGTAATCACACCCGGGGGGCACAACCAGCTAGACGCCGCCCTGACCCGTGGCTTGTCCAGTTTCTATTTTATTGCCACAGTTTTTGGCGTCTGGCATAGCCACCGCCAATTCCCTAGTCTCAGTCTACCACTCTGTGATGAAGTTGTAGATTCTTCGCGGGACTATGTTGTTAACTCTTCGCATTTTCAGACATGAGGTGAACCAAATACCAGTCGCAAGTTTTACAAGCAGTTTGGTCACTTTGCAGCGGTGGCGTGTCAATGTCGTGTATACTTTTGAGGAACAAAGGTCTTAAGATATTTTGATCGAGTACATTTGCACTCCGAATGACGTATTTACAACGAGTGGTTGGAGATGAGACTCAATGATGCGGAGCTGAGTACCAAAGGACAACCGATCGGACCAATTCATGCCCATCTACTCTCTTTCTTTTGGACTAGATCACGGAGACGACCTGTCCCGGCGACCTAGTATCATGCTCACACCCTCAATTCAATATCGACCGTCCGACAACACGATCGTCGTCGTGTCTTTGACTCTTGTGAGTTGCCCATGACTAGCCCCTTCATACCAGCGCTTTTTGAATCACACGCCGCGCGACATCACATTTATTGACTGATTGGTCCCCGCAATTGAGGACTCTTGTATGTTGTTAGAGGATTGGCGTGTCCTAAAGAGTAACGCGAGTTCCATCCGTTTCAGCTCATTCGTCGGCGGCTGGCTGAGCTCAGCTGAGTTTCCAGGTATGTGAGTGGGGACGGGAGGGCGAGAGGGCCGCGGGCGGGCCGAGAAGCCTTTGAGCCACACCCTCAAATGGTCATGACCGCAGCTTTCCCCTGCAGCCTGAATACACAACACCAAATGATAGGCGCAAAGGGCTCTGAATGATGTTGGTCGCAATTTCAAACCAGGCAGCCACATTGGTTCCCTCGAGACCTGTTTCCAAAGCCTCAGCGAATGAGACTTGGCCTTAGATGGGAAAAAGCTAAAGTCAAAGGTTCTGGGCAATATTGAGTGTGATCAATAAACACGATAATCGAAAGTGGCCGTCATCCTTGATCACCAACTAAGTCCCGAGTTGATTTTCCCAGCGTCAGCCTCCTGAGGAGATGAGCAACATGCCTCGCATACCGGATTGAACCTAGCTCCCGGGGCGTGGCCACGGACCAAATACTATAAACTGACATCGAGCTCGGCCAGATGGCCACAACCAAACCACAAATCCAACACCCAGTTGAGACGTAGTAAGTACATGTAGGTAGGTCTGGTTGGAGTTCAAGAGTTACACGGGCATTCTTGGCCCTTGTGAATAATTCAGGGGCTGTGATGATTCTCAGCCAGCCTCTTGAACGTCCCTCCCAAGGTGTGAACTTGAGCGCGGATAGCTGCAGTGTGGCGTTAGACGGATCATGTACTCAGGCATATGTGTATATCTGTGATATGTAATTGTCGTGTCCTTTTTATGGCTTTTGAATAGTGGCAAGTCTCATCTTCCCTGCGAATTCCTGTAAATGCTCAAATGATGTGCTTGGCATCTATCAGATGATCTTCGTTGATTTCATCTGGTAGAGATCATGACGACTCTCTAAGCCATCCGAGAAAAGCCTTGGCCGGAACGGGAACAAAAGCAACCTCAGTCAAGTTCCATCGACGTCGCCTCAACTGCAGTTGGCATGTAATTCGTGATGTGGAGACGAGTCAAGGGTGGAAGGGCTCACGATCACCTCAAATCCCTCCAGGATCGGAAGGAGTTACCTCCTGTATCACGAAGAGGCTGGCTGAAATTCTCTTCTCCCTTCTTGATCACACAGCTAGTCCAGACACGGGTGTGATACTACGACGACTGGGTGATATGGCAGGCTGATCATGGAAGTTCAAGTCTGTTGAGACCCGACACGGTCATGGAAGCATGTTCTCAAACTATATAAGGTCGATCCCATCCTCTCAACTCTTCCTCTCCATCATCAGCTTTCAATCAGTATCACTCCGCATACCTTCTTGCAAGCATCCCCATCTTACACCTCTCAATTCCATTGACCATTCGGTTTCTTGAAATTCTTCTCGCTTTTAGCAACCTTTGCCCTGCAAAACCCAAAAAAATACCCATTCACGCCGAAGCAATGTCCCACAACGCCCCTGCCTCAGTTCCTCGCGCCGCCGTCTGGAGCTTGAAGTCCTCCAACCCCGACCTCCCTGCGGAATCGGCCATCTTGCCCGATGACGGCAGCAACGGCACTGAGTCCGTCTTTGACGATGACAAGCGCCGTCGCGTCGAACCTCAGAACTTTGCCGACGGTGGCAAATTCCGATGTAAGGTCTACCCCTTTGTCTACACTTTAGCCCCTGAATCCATCAAACCCCCTTGACTTTTGAACTCAACTGACAAACCATTAGCTGTTGTCAAGATCCAGGCTTGCTTCAACAAGGGCAGTGGAGGCATCGTCTGGATGATGGGGTCCGGTTGGCTCATTAGCCCGGACACCGTTGTCACCGCCGGGCATGTGGTCTACGACTGGGGTCACCGCCTCCAGAGCGCCATCGAGATCAAGTGCTACATTGGCTACTCCGGTCGGGCTTCTGTCGGTACTCCAAACGTCCAGGCTCGCTTTGGTGAGCGCATCATCACCACTGCTGAGTGGATCGAGGCGGCTGGCAACCGCACTCACGATGTTGCCTTCATCAAGCTCAACCGTCCGTTCACCGGCAACCTGAGAAACATTCCCTTCAAGGACACTCCTCTCTTCGCCAAGGGAGCCAACATTGGTGTTGTCGGATACCCCGGAGACAAGTATCTCGAGGGCCAGAACGGACAGAACGGAGAGAAGGGTGCCCAGATGTACGAGGAATTCGCGCCCACTGACTACAACATTGAGAAGAGTGAGCGCCACATGATTGAGTACCAGGTCTCTACCTTTGCCGGTAAGTTGACGAAGATTTTCATCTGCTTTTCGCAACATTTTGCTAATGACGACATGGAAACAGGCCAATCTGGAGCCCCTATCTTCCAGCTTGAGAACAGCGGGTTGGTATCCATCGGCACTCACTGCTACGGTGGCGGTGGCGACGAGAGCAACTCTGGCAACTCCATTGGCGGTCCCTATGGTAACAATTACCATGCCTTCCTCGCCCTCTTTGAAAGCAACCAGTTCCCCCAGGCCCAGCGTCAAGGCATCAAGGTTCTCAATGCCGATACCAATGCTCGTCCTCGCAGCGACGTCAACGGCTCCAACGGCATCTCTAAGAGCAACGTCACCTCCCTTGCCAATGGATACGGTAACGGCACCGCCAACGGCAACAGCAACGATTACAACGGCAACAACGGCTTTCGCGCGGAGAAGGTGGCTTCGTCCGCGGGACAGACCCAGTACAACACGGGCACGGGTCTTTCGGAAAGTTCAGATGAGGAGGGCTTCTTCGACATCATCAGATCGATCGCCAAAGTCGCAGGGCCTGCCGTCAAGACTGTCTCTCCTTTCCTTGGGCCCATCGGCGGGCCCATCGGCGCCATCGCGGGCGGCATCCTCTCGACGGTCGGAGGGGCGGAGAGCGCCATCGTCGATGGCAACGCGTCCGGCGCGGTCGAGAACGCGATCAAATCGGGCGCGACCGAGCGCGCCGTGCTCGCCGAGGCGTCGCTTCAGGCTCTCCTGAAGCTCGAAGACACCCCTGAGACCGCCGAGCTCCTCCACACCATCAACTCCAAGTACAGCGCCTTCCGACCCAAGCTGGACGCCATCGCCAAGGTCGCCCAGCCCCAGCTCACCGAGTGCGGACTTCACCTGGCTCACCGCCAGATGGCAAAGATTCAAGAGCAAGGGGCGGCCGGGCTGCAGGAGTCGGAGATTGAGCTCCCTCGTGAGCAGCTCAGGGGCGTCCAGCTGCCTTCCTACACCCAGCAGGGTTCTCAGGGGGCCTTTGTCCAAGGCCTCCTTGCCCCCACGCGTCCGGTCTCGGGCGAGGAGGGCTTCTTTGACTTCCTCGGCCCCGTTCTCACCAAGGGCATCGGCTTCGCCAAGCCCTTCATCACGAGTGCCGCCCAGGGAGCACTCAACGGCGTCATTGGTCGCCTCGGCGGTGGTGCAGAGTCCTCCCTCGACACCCCCGCCGTTGGCACCCACGAGCACGCCACATGCCTCGCGTTCAAGCGTGCCGCTGCCGCCGAGGCCGCCCTGCAGACTCTCATGGCGCTCCCCAAGGAGAAGCTCGACCGTCTTCGCATCAGCGAGCCTCAGAACGGCGAGGAGGGCTTCTTCGACGTGATCAAGGCCGGCGTGCAAAAGATTGCGCCCGCCGTGCTGGACATTGCCAAGACGGCCATGCGCAAGGTCGTCCCCGTCATCGTCGACGCCGCGTCCCAGAAGATCAAGAACGCCGTCGGGCCGGAGAGCGCTCCCGCGGCGCCCCGGAACAACGTCCCCAGCGAGGCCAACTACGGCAGTGCGACGTCGACGACCACCCGCACTACGAGCGTCATTCGGTCCAAGCCGTCCGTCGCAGACATGCTCGCCGCGTCGGCTCAGGCCTACAAGGGCGCGAAGGTGAGCAACAACCCCGATGATTCCGACGCCGTGAACGTGGACGAGGACAACGCAGGCCGTGCCGCCAACGCGACCCTCGAGGACCTCCTCAAGTCTCGTGAGAGTACATGGGTGCCTTCGCTCCATAGGCACAGGTCCTGGGACTCAAACGACGACGGTCTCTGCATGATGGACGAGCAAGACTTTTGATTGATGCGGCCCAAGATTCATGTTGGATATAATGTGCTAATTCGCTTTTTACTTCCTGGCAGGTCATTTCCACGTATTGATGAGGAGGAGATGCGGCATTCTGTACCGCCCGTGCCAGAGTGCCCAGCTGATGAAGCAGCCCAAGAAGGAGGCTGGGAATCTTGCCATCGGTGGCTTTTCGATTCGACTTCGCGAGTTTGGAACATTTACAGTCACGCCAGACTGTAATGTGCAGCTCGATTTGATTGATTTTACTTTTTTGTATGCTTACTTTTGTATTTCCTCTTCGGGGCTCGTCGCTCGTTTGCAGAATTGGGAGCTTTGCACTCGGGCTTTGCGTGCGCTTGTCGCGCTCAAGGTCTTTGGTTCAACCTCGATTCAGCCTAATATAATCATTTGCCCCTAATATTACACCTTTCCGGTACCCACTTTGAATGAGATTGCTTCTCAGCCTTTGTCAAAGACGATGGCCTCGGTCTCTACAGACTTATACATGTATGTCCGACGTCAGGTTTGGTCGAAGGAGCAATGATGCGGCCGCCCTCTACGAGGATGAGTTCCTCAAATCGATCATTGGAGTACTCGATACGCTTCCAGGTCTTCAAGTCGTTTTTTTTCGTGTCGATTTCCCAAACGCGTGTCCGTCTGTAGTATCGATTCTCGTCGTAGGAACAATAACCCCCGAATCCGCTCCCACCATTGTAACATAGCCAAGGGCCAAGCTTTCCGGATTGGTCGCCGTTTTCAGCCGACAGGCCTTGTTGGGTATCTGGCAACAATGCGCAAAAGTCGTTGACATGGTCGTGTCCACAGCCCACCGCGGCCACCTCTTCCTGTACCAAGGCATCGTAGAAATGGGTGTTGGAGCTTGGGCCCTCGGTTGGTTCTCTCCGCTTGCCGCCACTGATCAAGAGCTCATTTCTTGCGTATTCAGGAAAAGGGATATGCATGAAAGCCAGAGAAAGATGAGGAAAGTCTCCTCCATCCTCTGCGATACGGCTCTTTCTCAGATCTTGCGAAATGGAGGTGAACCAATTAATTTGGCTCTGCTGGATTGGGTCGTAGTCGGGATTCTTGATTTTGCTGGAGATTTGTCCATGTGAGTCGAGAAAGAACAATGTTGCTACTGGAACTTCACTTTTGTCATGGGAGAAAACCTGGAGATGGTAATTCCCGACGCCATCAATAGACTCGGGACCTGGTTGTGCGAGACAGAATGGAAGATCTTGCAATATCGACATTTGTTTTTTCCCTGGATCAATACTTGTAAGCAGGCATTAAGAACTGCCAACTCCAGACAGATGAAGCTCGACAAACGAGATTTCAAGACTTACGTGATAATGCGTGGGTGCCCTCGTCATCATGGTTGCCAAAAACAGCCGCAAAAGGAATCGAGCGACTGATCAAAGGTGACACGACCTTGAAGAGGGGGGACTGGGTGTCGGGAACATCGTGGTGGACTTGATCTCCACTGAGAATGACAAGGTTAGGCTTCTCAAGGTCCAAAATTGCGCCGAGGAACTCGACCGTGTGCGGATCAGCCTCCATGCTAGGCAAAGGTTGACCGTCTGCATCAATAGCATCGTTGCAAACACCGGGGCCGGTGACCATATGCGTATCAGAAATCTGGACAATCTTGAAGGTTCCGTCCCCGTTGACACTCAACGGCGTGCTTGCGTCATCTGGCCGGGATTTTGGCCGACCAAATCGCACAGAGAGCCTTGGTGCAGGAACATCTGGCTGATCCTCAAGCTGGAGAGATGTGGGCAGAAGCATCCAGCCTGGTCGTGGTTCGACCGCATCCGTGCCGAAAAGCACGTCAATGGCTGTCAGAATCCGAAAACCATCATCGGAATAAGAAGTTCTGAGGACCCAAATGCCGCACGTTCGATGCTCCCAATTGTCTTCGAGGCCACCATCGGGCTTTGCTTGGCCAACATGGATATCCGTGATGACCAGACTGTCATTGGTGATGTCAGCCTCATTTGTTTCTTCTAGGTATATCCAGGCGTTCTGTTCGCTAGCGTGAAGGTAAAGATCCTTGTCGATGCGATTCCATGTTTGTTGCTTCAGGGAACATTTGGCAAGGGCGCCAGGTGAAGAGCAGAAAGTGACTGAAAGATCGGTAATTACCGTGTTGATGTGCTTCATTCCGAGATGGTTGGATGATGCCAAGGCTCGACCGAACGCCTCGCCGTTCCATTGAGCTTCGAACTAAACGTGCAGAGGGAACAAAAGAGTGCGGGGCTGACAAGTGTCATCAAGGTGATTGCCTGGTTCCGATATCATGTGACATGCGCAACTCACTCAAAATGTTGAATTCCAAGACGTGAGAGTTGTTGTCACGGGAGAGCAACATAATGCGCGTGAGGAACCCGTGGGGGCCAGTCTTTCATGCACGTAAGAACATCCGTACCCCGAACCCATATTCGATTGATGGACCAGGCTAATCGCTATTGAAATCTGTATTTCCGCCAGAATCCACCAACCCACCAAGTCTGCCGATTGTGAGTCTTTCCAGATCGCGCTATTAATCAATCAGTGGCTGTTGCGGTGGATGGGCCGCGACCAAAGGCGGGCGCTTTGACTGTTTGCGGGCGATGAGCTGGTGGGCAAAAGACACCTCAGGTAGGACAGTTGAACATATTGATTTCAATCGCGAATCTGGAGTCATCAATGGCAGGCTTTTCTCCACGGGTTCGGTGAGTCGAATTTCTGTTCCTTCAAGTCTTCTTTTGATGCTAACAACCTCATTGACTTATGGAGTGTCATTGACTTGCAACTCGGTCCTATTATTGTCTGTTTACCGCCTCTACGGCCATGCCTTTCCTACAGTTGGGGGATCTGCTCTTTCCCATCAGCAAAACAAGCCCCCAAATAATCTAGCAATCGTGCTGAGCTTTCTGAGCTTTCTCGAAAAATAAGCAGCCAATGTCACAGGTTGAAGAACGCAACGTAATAGGCTGGGCTTGATCCATACTGTTAAAACTGTTGCAGCCAAGGGTAGAACAGTATGACCATGTTATCATCCGCGGCAAGTCCAGTGTCGGTGCTTTTAGGTAACCATCAACCAAGTTTTTAATCTGAAATGAGATGGACGTCCCAAATGAATAAACTCCGCTTCACTACATGTACATAAAAGATTTGATGAATTCCAGGTTGACTGTCGTTTTTGGAGCTCGATTCCACATGTACCAAGGAACTTTCCATTTCATGAACGGGATGGATCATTTTGAGAAGTTAGGACGAGTTCCAGTAAGTCATATCAACCCAAGAAGTCCAGCCAGGAATAATATTGTCAATGGATACTGCACTCGACAACTGCTTCGCGAAGGCCACACGCTTGCCGCTGGCACCAGGTCCAGTGTTGCCGTACTCAGCAAAATAGGCATTGCTGGGCGGTTTGGAGTTCCAAGCAGACCACCCGTCGGGCTTGATAACATCGCCCAGATCCGAGTTTTGGACAACGACGCGTGCGAAGTCCCTCCACGGCCTACCCAGCGTCGTCGACGCCTTGAGGTCGCCGGCACCTGGCTGGGCCGCAATCTTGGCCTTGTTGATGACATACCAGTTAGCGTCGGCGCTGCTGCGACCGCTCGCGGTGACGAATCCTGGGCCAACAATGTCGATGATGCACTGCTGGAACCAAGAGTTGCCGTTATGGCCGAAGATGATGTCCGTCGCACCCACAATGTGGCAGTTCTTGAAGACTTGGTTGGGCTTGTTGGTGTAAACGGTGTCTTGGTATCCGACGAAGCTGCAGGCGTAGAATGCCTGGAATTCGCCGTTTGCAGAGATGGCCAACGCCTGAGAGCCCTCTTGAGTGCCCTTTCCGTACCCATTGATCACGTTGACGTTGTAAAGGCTGAAGTGGTTCGTGGCAACGCGCAAGGTTGCGGATTTATCGTTGTTTCCAGCAGAACTAGCCGCGAGGGTATTGGTCAAGATGACTTCGTTCTTGGTGTAGTCCTGGTCATTGGTGGTGTAGCCGTAGATGACGAGTTTTCCCTTCAGGACAGGAATAGAAACTTGTCCAGAGTATGTGCCTGACTGGATAAAAATTGTCGTGCTTGCAGTGGAGTCTGCCGAAATGGAGTCGATAGCCGCTTGCAGCTGGTGGTCTTTGTATCAGCAACAGGAAATGGCACTTAATTGATGCATAGCACTACCTTGAAGCCCAGGCTTCAAAGTCATCGATTTTGGAATACTCACATTGGTGTATTTGCCGCCAGACTTGCCAACAACGATGGCGCCGGAAGGCGGCGATGTTCGCGAGGCAGCAATAGCACTACCTGCGAGAATCGCCAAGGACGAGAGCACATCGATGAACTTCATTTTTTCTTCAAGCCTATCAGTGATTTACGTGAATTCTGAGACATGAGTTGAGGTCTAGAAGGATGGCGTCCTGGATTTCAGAGCCTCCCTTAAATACAATGCCTGGTCAAAAGTGTGGCAACAGCATTCAACCCCTCACCTACCACCCCCTACTATTATCTAACCCTTTTTTGGCATGGCGGAAACATGGGCAGTATTATTATTAAACCATAGCAGAAACCTTATAGATTTAATCACTGATCGCATTGCAGCCTGTATCTCTACGGAGGCTGAGGCCAAAGTAAATTCGCATCTAGAACCCTGGACACCGTGTGAGGATTGTCACACGGCGCGCGGGATCCCTGTGTGCGAACTTTCTTTTGGCTTCAGCCTCCGTAGCTGAGGTTAATATATTGACTAGTAAAATGCTGCTTTTATTAATGACTTTAGTATAAAAATTATTTTATTTAAGCGATAAATGCAATTATTATAGGTGGTTGGTGGTACACTGTCAATCTCCCGATAGTGAGATGCTTGGCTGCATGGAACAATACCCGAGCCGCCTCCCGCCCGACCTCGCCACGGATGATGGCTTCTGTAGGATGGCACCGTGATCTACACGACGTGGGACACGGAGGTGAGGAAATAAGTGGACTGAAATTCTCCGCTCACCTACCACCATTGCCTGGATGTTTGCCTCCCCCGCGCTGCTAGTTCCTCCGAAAATGATACTGGCCGTCACGTAGAATTCCCGTCCACAAGATCAAACATTAAGCTCCCCGTATTCTCATGAACCTTAATTGAACGTTGTGATTACGGGGTCCGTGGCGTCCATGATAATAACTCACACCGGTCAACCCGGAAATATGCCTGAGCAGCAAATCGCTTTCTGATCCTGGCTGTAGGTCAGTTCTCACCTCAACAACTTTGACAAGCTTTGGCCAGGCCAAGAATCGGTTCTGCCCAAGACGTGTGCGCCATTTCCCACAAACACGACTGACCGGTATTTGAAAATTTGCACCTGATAAGAGCAATCGGCGGTCAAGTTTGATGTTCATCGATGACACGGGGTTGGTCTTTCCAAAAGCCTGGACCAACATGCATTGTGATAAAGAACGTCACACGTATCAAAGTCTTTCAATTAAATCGTGTAGACACATGACTTGTAGTCTTCCCAACATTGTCCTTAGATCTCAATATTTCGGTTTTCAAACTTGCTGATTTAAGAGCAAACGGAAGCCCTCGGGCCAGCATTGGCTCTCACGTATGCAGGGACGTCCGCTGTTGCTGTGAGAGTGTATGAATATAGACTTTTTGGGTCAAAGGAGACTCCCGAATTTGTAGCCGTGGTGCCGGTGCAGCTCTTGTAAGTGTTGTTAGAAGCATTGAGCACGGCGCCCGAGTCTTTGGTCAATGGGTTCTTGGTGTTTTCGAAAAAGACATTCTCGACACGTCCATTCGTGCTACCACGGATAAAGTGGCCGTATGAGGTGACACCATACAGGTAATTATTGAAGAGATGCGCTTGTGCTAAGTTGTCGGCGCTCGGGTTTCTTTGGTTCGTTCCATCGAACCAGTTGTGGTTGATGGTTCCACGGGCCGTGACGTTCTCGGTCCAGCCAATGCCAAAGGTCTTGTCGTGGTTCCGGAATATGTTGTTGGAGACGGTGAAGTAAGTGGTGTCCTTTCGAAGATCAAGCAGACCGTCGCCGCCATCTTCAAAAAGACAGTGATCGATCCAGATGTTGCTCACGGTATCGGCTTGGATGCCGTCGCGGTCGTTCTCCACGCCATCGTTCAGACTAGTGTGGCCGATCTTGAGGTTGCGAATGATGACATTCTTGGCTCCGTTCAAGCCCAGGCCACCTTTTGACGTTAAGCAAGCATTCCATGTAGGAAAAACAGACGCGAAATGGAATTTTTACCTTGATAAAGCTCGCCTGAAGTGCTCAGCCCGATGACAGTCTTGTCACTAGCTACCTTGATTTCCTTGCCGAGAGGGCTGATGGTGATGCGACCACTGACTTTGATCACGTACTTGTCTGAGGCGCTGGCATACTCCTCAAGGTCGGCTTGAGTGGTCACCGTCACCTCTGTTCCCCCTGAGCCGCCTGTCGTTCCACCGTTTAAAGAGGCGAACCCAGGGGCAGCGGCGAGACATCCGTCAGACTGTCTTTCGGTTACAACGCCCTGGGCAGTGAAAATGCCTTGTAGAAAAACGATAATAGAAACGGGCTTCATGGTTGACAAACTTTTCTTAACGAAAGAAGAGTTCGCTGTCTCAAGTAAGTAAGCATGTGCTGCCGAGATTGAGGTGATTCTCTGTGTTGAAACCAGATCATTGGTGACATGAGAGGGCAACTTATAGCTGTCATATTCCGTGGTAGCCTTGGGTACATTCTCCTCTGAGCGCGTAATACCAATTGCAAGCTCGACTCGTCCGGCTCGTCTTTCTACATTCAACTTCACAAAGATCTGCGTCCTGAGTTCGGGACTTGAACAATGCGAGCCATTCCTATCGCCGGGGAACACGACTGTCCGGGCAGGTTACACTGGCTTCCTAGTTCAAAGAGAATAGACCCGTAGATAGCACCGATTGTAAGAAAATTTGTAAGTATCTCATTAAGGTAGGCAGTGATGGGCGCTTCGAGGCTTGCCAAGGAATTATAATCCAGGAGGGGTCGAATGTCGCATTGTGCCAAGCAATTCAAAGTCAGCGATTAAACCCACCAGTAGTATGAAGCTGGTTCCCCGCATGATGGGGTGTCATTGAGTATCCAAAGTCCCGCCAATAAGTGCTTTCTTGTCGAAGACCCTTATCCTTTTGGGGGATACCGATTGTCATTTCTCAAGTCTTCCTGGTGTATCTGTTCCTAGTTGATTGGACTGGATATACCAGCGTGAGTACCGGATATCACATTGTGATACAGGTTGCAGCTTCAGAAGCACGATAATGTACGTCATGGTGGATGCAGTCCTTCAAGGTTGGATGTTCATTACTCATTATCTCGGCGCTGTCTATCTTCTACTCCTTCTATATCATCTATCTCGTATCAAGTAATTAACCGAATGTCAATATTTTAGTAGGCGATCGGCCATTACTTCGCACAATTCCGACAGAACACTGCTATGTTTTCAGTTGTCCAAAGATTCCTATCTTCGAGTCATCGCCGTAGTCTACTTCCTGCCCGCAAATCGAATACCCAAAACACATGCGAAGCCTGCTAACGCCATTGCTCCGGCATAGTACGCGGCAGGTCGAAATTTCTCCAGACCATCATGGACACCGGAAATGGAGTAAAGGCCAGAAGCAATGGGGGTACCCTACACTTTCGTAAGCGAGATTCAAAAAGAAATGATCAAGTCGGGGCGACTTACAAAGAAGAACCCGAAAAACCACGTTGTCCAGACGACAGGGATGATGCTGAGGGTATTCTCTCCACCAAAGGTGGCGCTGACGGCGATGGGCGTGAGGCTGAAGAATGCGCCGCATCCAATGCCGTTGAAGATGAGATAGACAGAGAAGATCCCGATTGATGATGAGAGGGGCCAAACGATGAGAGAGCTCAAGCTCATGAAGAGCATGCATATTGCCAGGCTCTCAACAGGGCCTAGAAGAGTGTCTGCGACCCATCCAGCAACAATGCGGCCCAAGGTAGACGCCAAGTTCCAGCAGGCGAGGATGACGATGCCGATCTCCTTGGAGTACCCCATCGACCTTGAAAAGATGGGAATAAAGTAGGGTGGGATGAAGAGCGGGAAACAAGAGAGGACCGTGCCGCCAACGAGCAAGAGGAAGCGAGGTTCCTTGAAGCGGTACCTATAACTTGTCAGTATTGTGTTCTCGGTGTAAAATTATCTAGAAACTTACCATTGCAGTTGACGGGAGGCCTTCTTTCCCGACGTCGTTTTCCTTGGCAAGAAATATGACGCAGGGATGGAGACGCCCCAGAGAATGAAGCCGAGAATGCGGAACGTCCAGGAGACACCCAAGTCCTTGACAAGGTAGTTGGTCACAACACTCATGATGGCAGAGCCCAAGCTACCACCACCAAAAACGAACCCCATAGCCAAGGCCTTACGCTTCTTGAAAAGTCCCATCGGAGCGGTCGAGGCAGACTTGTAGGTGTTAGCTGAAGTGTTCTGTGCCAATAGTAGCCTAAGAGACCCAGTCAAAAGTTTGCTGCACTCACAAAAACACACAAGCCACCACCAAGTCCAAAGACGAGGCCATGTAGGAAGAACAAGGCGACAACATGGTGAGTAGTAAAGCTCGCGAGGACTTCACCCAGCCCCATGAAGAATCCCCCAATCAGTGCGGCCAGGCGGTATCCAATCCTGCAGATGATCTTGTCGGAGGCAATACTGAAACAAATCATGAATGAGGTCGCCAACGAGCCAACAAAGGTCAAGGTCGTTAGGCTCGAGCCAGTCGTCTCGACCAGCTTGACTTGCATGATGCCCCAGGAGTATATGACGCCGAGATAGACGAACATGGTCAAAGACGAGGCAGCAACCGTGATCCAGGCCTTTCGGTCATCGTATGTCTGTTCCTCTGCTTTCGGAACTGGGCTTGTTACGATGCCTTCGCTCGAATGGTCGGTGTCGTGACCATCTTGGCTTGGGATGAATTGTTGGACGGGGTAGGCGACATCCGCGGCGGCTTTTTCGGCATCCATCTTGGCAAAGTCTAATGAGTTCAGCAAAAATCTCAGGACATGCTTTCCAAACTGAATCTTTCAACCTCTGCTGGGAGCAGCTTCGAGCTTATCATATTCTCTGGAGAGGGGGGAATCTATTGTAAGTCGGTTTTCGGATCTCGGCTTTGCTTCATAACCGATATCAGATTTTCTCGCGCAATTCCCTGCTTATCCTCACCTGCGTCTTTTATGGAGACGTCTCTGGTGGAGCTCTTTTTTTTTCTTTTGCAATTCCTCCGATCATTTTGACGCAGGCCCACCGTTGAAGGCCCGGTCGAGCTCCGTTTACACGGAGCTGCTGGCCTATCGATCCCGATTCTTCTCGGATTTCATCACTAGCGCCGAATAAGAGGCTCTATAGTAGAATAAAAAGACTTGTTTTCTCTTTTCTCTGACTCCTTTCCCGTCATCAATACAACTTACAGACACATTTTACAGAAATTTCATCTCCATCTCATTCATCTCAAGTCTATAATCTTCATCCTTTGCTATGGCTCCCGCAAGAGACGATGAGCTGTTTACAGCAGCCAACGCTACACTCCCGACTGTTGAGAGCAAAACCCTGGGTGGAGAGGGTCGTCTCATGCACCGCTCTTTGGTCCAACACCCGTTCATGGTCGAATCAGCCAGCGGCATCCACCTGAATCTCGCCAACGGCAAAAGTGTCATTGACGCATGCGGCGGCGCTGCGGTAGCCCTGATTGGCCATGCCAACGAGGAAGTCATCCGAGCCATCTCGGACCAAGCCCGAAAGGTGAGCTACGTCCACACGCAAGCCTACACCACGCAGCCGGCCGAAGAGCTCGCCGACCTCATACTCGATGGCAACCCGCATGGTCTTGAAAAGGCCTTCTTCGTCTGCAGTGGAAGCGAGGCAGTCGAGTCGGCGCTGAAGCTGGCGCGTCAGTATCACTTCGAGAACGGTCAGCCGCAGAGGAAGCATTTCATTGGCAGGCGACAGGCTTACCACGGCAACACCATGGCGACCATGTCGATTTCTTCAGTTGCGTCGCGAAAGGTTCCCTATGAAGGCTTCTGTTACCCCCACGTCTCTTATGTTTCACCGGCATATCCGTACCAATATCAAAAGGGAGGAGAAACCGAGGATGAATTCACTGCCAGACTACTCGCCGAGATTGAAGATGAGTTTCAACGGGTCGGCACGGAAAACGTCATTGCGTTTGTTGCCGAGACAGTAGTAGGCGCTACGGCGGGATGTGTAGCACCTCCTGTCGGCTACCTCGCCGGCGTCCGTCAAATCTGCAATACGCATGGCGCACTTCTCATCCTTGACGAAGTCATGTGCGGCACTGGACGCACTGGAACCTACTTTGCCTTTGAGCAAGAAGGCGTGATTCCCGACATTGTCACAGTAGCCAAGGGCCTCGGTGGAGGCTACGGTCCCATTGCTGGCGTCCTCATGCACGAAAAGGTCGTGTCTATGCTGAGACAGGGATCCAACGCCTTCAACCACGGGCATACCTACCAAGCCCACCCCATCGCCTGCGCAGCTGCGCTGGCTGTTCAAAAGATTGTCAAGAGAGACGATCTCGTGTCTCGCTGCGCTCAGCTTGGGAAGCAGCTAGAGGTGCTGCTGCGCATTGATCTCATTAATTGCAAGTCGGTTGGCGAAATCAGGGGAAGGGGTTTGTTCTGGGCTGTCGAGTTTGTCAAGGATCGACAGACAAAGGAGACGTTCGATCCCAAGCTGCGATTCGGACTCCGAGTTCAAGAGCGGGCCTTTGAGAAGGGCGTCGCTCTCTACCCCGGCGCTGGTACCGTGGATGGCTCGCGTGGAGATCACGTCCTGCTTGCTCCTCCGTTTACCACAACAGAAGAGGAGCTACGAAGGATTTGTAGCGTTTTCAGGGAAGCACTCGAAGAGATCGAAGCGGAAATCTTGTGAGGGACACTCACGAAAGAAGTCATCAGATTCGCGTCTGCACCTGTGCTGCCTGTTTTTGTTTACTTTTTGCACATAGTGAATTCAACTATACCCATTCTTGGACGTCAACCAATCAATCAATCAATTTCAAACTTGCTAGCTCATTGTGAATATCTCTGAAGCATCCACGTCTTCTAGCATGGACCACCAATTTGGCCAAAGACCTTGATCATCCATGCTGCCAGCAGCATCTATCAGTGCGTGCGGATTCAACCCAGTGATACTTTGAATTGGCTTGTCGCCTGAGCCGTTAGTACATTCCGTTGCAGTGACAGTGCTTCGTTCAGCATTGTTGATTTCCTCTAGATGTTGGGCAGACCTATCAACGATCCGAAACTCGTGCACAGACTGATGTAATACACTGAAGTCGAAGCGAGATCGACCGCGATATCTCTGAGCATCGGATGTCGCTCTTTGATACATCAGCGACCCGTTTTGGATCGTCTTGAGCTATTGTGTGTCAGCGATCTGAAGGGGCTACGTCTGGCTACAGCGTCAGCGACTTACCCATCCGTCGCCGAGGTCCCAGACCTCGCGGAACTTATTGAGATATTCTATACTCGAGTTCATCAACTCTTCCGTCTTCGTGCCATACCCAGCAGTTATTCGCGGGAACATGAAACCATAAAGGTTAATGTAGCAAGACGAGAAGGCGCAGAAACCGGCGAATGGCGTCATGACTGCCACACCGCATTCTGAAGCTTCTTGGAGAACGCTTGATAGGTGAGCCGCCGCCTCAAACAGCTCTTTTGCACTCTGCTCCCACCATCCTGGGGGAGCCTCAGCCTCAAGTGTTGGCGGGTCAATAGGTCCGCAAGGAGTCATGTCTGTAGTTGGCAAGAATGGAAAGTACTCTCTCTGTAGCATGACGATGCTGCAATCAGTTCGACTTAGCCTCAACTCCTTCTTTCACTTGGGGCAAGACTTGACCAACCTTTGGTAATATAGTAAATTCAAGTAAACGAAGGATTCCCCATAGCCCAGGGTGGCGTATGCCGCGACACTATTATTGGGATAGTGTAGCCTATGGTGTTGTTTCGATCTCCATTCTTCGAGCCTTCGACGCCAACACGCCACAGGAGAGGTAGAAATCCACGGGCAATTCTCAGGCAAGCACATGCCCGGGGCTTTGCGTCCGTCGTTGAATACGAAGGCCATGATGTCGGAGTAGATGTCGAATCCATCAGCCATGACCCCGAAACTCTGGTCCAGATCAAGATATACCGAAGTCGCAGTTCCGCTTGATGTGAAATCCTCCCCCGCGCCTTCTGGTTGCGCTGATGACCCTGGTCCGAGAGCAAACTCCGAAGAGGTAGGCGGGCGCGGCACGTTGAGCTTAGCCATCTCCTGCTTGGGAAGAACCCGTGGATTGTAGGTTCCCGAGCTCACCATACAATCCATGATGAAACAGGCCCAGAATGTCCTGGTTTCGATGGCGGGAGTCAGGCTATTCGGCTCGCTGCGGCGTGGGATCTCGAGTGGGAAGGGCGCTACTCGCGAGCTGTGAAGTAGCTGCATCATTCGAATCGCGATTCCTGCTTTGTGTCAGACATAGTGGCGGGTCAGTCTCCGGAAAATCGGCTCACCACAATGCATCCAGGCCTTGTGAAAATCTCGCGTGCCCCATTCATACAATGTTAGGATGAGCAGGGCCTGGATAACCTTGACGTCTGGCGGCTGTAGTATGCATGCTGCCAACACATCGCTCGCATAGGACGCATATCTTTCGCTCGGATAGAGGATCTGCGATCGCAGACGATCCGAATCCGGCTTCTGGGTCTTGGTCATGGCAAGAACTGTTGCCAACAAAGCCTTGCTCTCTCTCGGGCGATTGGACCCAAACGAGCTCATGAACGACGACGGGTGTATGACGCGAAGCTCGGGGAACTTGCGCCAGAAGGCCTCAAGAGCGATATACACAACGTCTTTGGGCACTTGCTCGAGATGGTGGTCCGTTTCCTGCCTGCCATCTCGATACTCAAGGCCCGATGAGGGCGTCGCTGGGCCCCTCGAATGGGGTGCGGAGAGAAGTTGCCGCTGCGACTCGGCATCGTGATCATGCGATGCAGACGAAGCCTCTTCCGTCGCCTTCCGAGCCCTCTTCGCCGCCCGTCCGTTCGGTGCGACGTGGGGTCTGGTCAGTACGCAGTCCGATCTGCCCGACTTCTCACATTTGGAGCAGGGCGGGCTTCCGCTGTTGACGCACTTGATCTTGGACCGCCTGCGGGGTCAAAAAACGGGGTCAGCGGCCGTTACATCGGATCCGATCCATCGCCGGTGCAAGAGCCGAGACCGATAGGGAGGAGGGGTTTTGCTCACCGGCAGAATTCGCAAGAGAGACTTGAGCGCATGCTTTCCCGGTATCGCGTTTCGCTCTGTCGGTTTTGGTTCGAGAACCGAAGAGACGGGAATGAAGATTCGGATTACGGTTTTTTGAACGGGCGCGCCGGGGCCGGCTTTGTCATTGTGGATCTGGAACCGGTGGATCCCAGATTCCTGGCATTCTATTAAGGTTGGTTCTACTATAGTAGTGTCCGATTCCCTCCGATGAATCGACACCTTTGCGCACAGGAATCACAAAGACGTTGATTACAACCGATAACAACGGACCCAGTTCCGAACTCGAGGTTTCCCATCACCATCATCGCACCCTTTCATCAAGGTAAAAGCAAGATGGAAGTATAGAAAACGGCCTGTATGTAACGTGGAAGACTCCCTGAGCGGCCAGGATACTGCTCCCCGTCATGGACATGGCCGACGCTTGTTGCGAAACCAACCTATTGCACCTATTGGAAGACAGAGCAACAGCTCAATTTAGCGTGATGCCGGCTAAGCCATCGAGACTTGACTCTAATATCTGCTATCAAGCATTACCGGTACCAGGTGTATCCAATCTTCTCATCTCTAGTGGGGCGTCTCCGCAGGGTTCGACGGGTCTCTCAAGTCGAAGAAAATCAAGCCGCCGAAGCAACCACCGTCGCGCGGAGCTGCGCCGACAGCAACATCATCGCTGGCTTCCTCATTGATCACGACATTGCGCGCGCGGTCGAGGGAGAGACCAGAAAAATGACCTGTCAGGTTCTTTTCCTTGTCGGGAACGACGGGGGATCTGCCTCCTCAATGTCAAGATGCTGCCCCTAATCAATCTCACTTCAAGTAGCACGGATTAAGAAAGTGAGCGGCACCTTCTTCATGTAGAAGATCTGAAGTCCTTCTGGCAGGATTTCGATGAACAAAGTTTCGACGTGCAATCCGGAGGCTTGGAGTCTCAGCGAATGGTACAGCTCATGATAGAACAAAGGTGTCAAACATACCAACGAAGTCCTGCCAAGGTCCGTATCAGTCCATCCCAAGACAGTACTCTTGGTTCTTTCAGAAGCATTCTATTGCGGAGCACCGAGCCTAATGTAGTTTGATGAAATTGTGAAAATTAATCTTGCACCGTCTTAGCGAGCTACGTCTCACATGGCGGATCGTCACCTAAACTTACGCAACGGGTCACCGGGAATGATCTCAGCAAAGCCGTCGACACACTTGGAGTAGTTCAAACTTGGCCATGAGGAAGAGTCCATAGGACAGGCTTCAAGCTCTGTCTCCCATTGGGTCATTGGAATGCCAAGCAACGCTGTCTTTTACGTCGCACGTCGTGTGTTGGACTACATTGGGGAAGTGACAATGCTGGCCGATATCAACTTCTCGTGTATGATGTTGGACTTGTAGACTGCTGTCTTATATCAACGTTGAGCTTGTGTAAGCATGAAACAAAACCACCAGACTCACCTGGTGCGACTTCTTCATTTTTGGGGCGCTCTTTGGAGAGAATAGCCATCGCGCAGACCACTGCGTTTGAGAGAATTGACAAGTGCATTTTGAAAGGACCACAGAGGCTGCATGTGAGTAATGTTTGGGACGGAATCATTCTGGAAAACACTGCTACCCATACCGGAGCATTGTTCAAACAAAGCCCGGTAGATGTCCAGTATATATACCGCCCAACAATTGGGTGTGCGTTCTCACCCGCCAGTCCCGCTCCTACTGGCTTGATGCATCATCCTGGGACTTTTGTGCTGTGGTCTGGTGCAAACAAAGTGCATCCTCGCGATCAACTGAGTAAGATAAAACCTTGGCAAAAACCCTTTGAAAGGGAAGATCCAGCGGCACAGCGAGTTGGGTGCCTCGGTCCCTGCAGGAGACGTCACCCGAGATTGACTTCATGTGCCAAAAGTTCAATTGGGAACCAATGTGTGGAGTGAATAAGCACTGAGGCGACCGCTGCCAAGAAGCTTAGATGCAGAGGAGCAAGGTCCTGCTGAGAGCTCGCCAAGAGGCTATATATGCCATGTAACCTCGCCTTGGACTGCATGTCTCTGTGTTGACTGCCAATTGGGTACAAACAGTGGTCTGGACGTGGCACTGATAGCACTGATACCAAAGTTCTTTTTTGTGATATATGTTTACCTCATGATTGCATTGTCAAATGTAGTCAACGTACATAGCATTTTCTGATCAATCCGAATCTTGAGAAGTACGACTCTTGTTTGACGGCTGACGCAAAGGGACTTGAATACTTGTCGGAATAGGTTTGTCATAGGTCTAGGTAGATCAAGCTTTGGGCTGTGGCATGCGATGAAGTTCAGATTGTAGTCAGCGACTGGAGGGCAACTCAGATTCAAATGCGCTTCAAAGGGCCTGGATCCTCAACTCTGTAGCCAAAGACTTGCGCAACGTTCCTCATGTGCGATCGGCTTACATACAGAACAATCTCAAACACATCAATCAACGAACGAGAACCTCCGTACCCCTCATACGTCCGACATCCAAAGTCACCATGAAACATCTCAACTCGAGCCACCTCAGAAAGGCAGCCCGGTTGCATTCGTGATATAATTAACAAGCAGAAGTGACGCTGGTTGCAACGCAGTAAGTGCCGTCAGGGCCACTGCCAATCTTGGGGGGCTCATCGCCGTTGTTATTTCCCTTGTACTGCACATCATGGTCAGCTTCTCTGCTTATTCATTTAGTAGAATTCTGCGCTGATTTCAACGTACCCGATCGCAAATCTTGTTGTCATCTTGGCATGAGCTGGTGACCTTGCAGGTGTCGCCGTAATTAGTGTTGATTCCGCAGAGGACTCCCCCGTCCTTGGCAATCACATTCTTCAGAATGATGTTGCGTGCGCCTCCGTTGCCACTGCAGTTGCCACAGCTTCGGGCGAGCTTTCCGTAGCTATTCATTCTTAACAACTTGCGACATGATCAAAGTATACATGTATAGGTTAGCTTACTCATTGGCATAGAAGTTCTCCACCGACACCGTTCCGAAGCCGTTGAATTGGATAATCTTATCCGCGGCCTTGAAGGCACCGCCGCCGATGACGTAAGAAGTTCCGCTAGGTTGCTCTAGTGTGCTATAGACTCGAGTTTAGTGACAAGCAATTACATCAGTGGAACGAATCGACTCACAGAGCATCCTCGCAGACATCTGCCCACCAGACGTTGTTACTGGCGAATGTTAGTCAGCTGTGCCTTGAGGGTTTTTCTGCAGGACGCTTCCTACAGTGTGCTGCGGTCAATTAGCATTGAATAAACTTGTCGGATTTAAGGGATAATGCTCACCAGGTACCCTTGCAATGAACACCTTCTGCCTGATCAGGGCCAATGATGACGTTGGAGAGAGTGGCACCAGCTTCAAGAACGAACATGGCATCAGCTTCACCAGTCTCTTTCTGCTCGGCGCAAACTCTGGCTACTCTAGTGTTAGCACCCAATCATCTGTCATTCGTCTGGTTTTTTGACAACTCACGGCTTCGGTCAAACTTCTTCATGCCACCATCGTAAGACTGTCCAGCTGAGACAGTGATTGCCGCGCTGGTAGAAGTAGCCCCAGCCGACTGTGGAAGAGTGGTGGTAACTCCGGTGGGCGCTGGGCCTCCTGCGACTGTAGTAGTCTTCAATGTGGTAGTCGGGGCGCTACCACCAGCACTGCTATAGGCGCAAGAACATTCAGAAGAGATGAGACTTGGCTTCTTTGAGCAGTTGGTAGCCCAGGTGGGAAGAGCAGTGGTGGCAGTGATGGTGCTCTTGGTGAAGGTGGCGCAGAAGGTCGAGGCGGCGGCGTTGGACTTGATGTAGCTGGCACACGCGTTCGTGTCGGCGTTCAGGCAACCCAGGGCAGCTGGAAGGAGAGCAAGGAGGTAGTATTGGTGCATCTTGGCGCGGTACGGGAGCAGGGTGTTGTAAATCTTGGCTCTGTCTTGGCTCTGAAGATCAGGGGTGGCGCTTGATGATTTTGGTTGAGCCAAGGTTACAACGTTGTACTTATAGATGTTCGGTCGTTGACCGTTTTGATACTCAATCTGGTTTGCGTTCTTTTACCATGCTGAGGACACTAGCTGTCATCCCTCAGATCATCCGCTATCTCCCGCCTCATACATGATTAATGAAGGATTCAAGGAATAGAATTTCCCGCTCAAAATTCCACCAGTAGTGAGTGATCGATGGTTAATCAGATCAACCAGTCTGGATTGACTCCATGGCTTACATACAAACATATCGCCTTCCCCTTTCCGAACATCCTTATATCGTATAAGCTTAGCTTGAGGCAGGGGTTCGTCACCGGGACGCATCCGAGTCTACCCCACAAACCCGGATGTACCGCGCGGACTAGGAATGCTGCGTAGGATTTCGCATGTACCTTTTAATCTGTGTGTTTGGTTTCCACGTGGACATAATCAAAGAAGAGTTTCCCATTTGTGGAGAAAAAAGCACAATAATCAAAGGCAACCCAAACAGGAAAAACACCTTCCGCATACATGTGCGCAAGGTGTAGCATCCCGTCTGACCTGATTCTTGTCTTAACAACACATAGAGATAGAAAGCATTGTCAATTTCAATTACCAAGCTCATCACCCCATAAAAGGAGTTCTAAACAACTAAATTTTATATACCTCTGGGCTTCAGGCGTTCATTGTTGCGATGAACAGTCTGCGATGTCGCCTTGTTGTGGCCAAAGGTGTCTGAGAGTCGTCTCTTTGCCTCATACTTATGTTGTAGCTTCACCATGGCCGTTCTCGGGCTGCTGGATAATGTGACATTTGATGATTCGGAGGATGGGATTTATCTGTCGATGGTACGGTACATAAGCATAAAAAAAGCCACCAGTGATGATGGCGGGCTCAGCCGGGGATCCAAGCCACATTCATGGAATGCCCGCCATAACAAGCACTTTAGACGCGGTGTGCAGACTTCCGAACCAGGTAAGACAGATAGTAGGGTTACATTTGAAGACATTTTGTTTCATTGCGCGTTGCCTGACCTGTTTTTTAGTGGTCGCCTAACTAGCTGAACGCAACCAGTATGCGGTGATGCTTTCAATGGTGCGTTGCCAACTTGTCATCTTGAAATCCCGTTTTATTTAAATTTTCCGGGCCTTTGATAGCTCAAATGAACCCTCGAAGCACATGTATTTTGATTTGCATGATCTTTATTCAGGAGATACTGCGGGAATTGTGTTATCGTTCTCGCTTTGTAATCATGCAAATTACAAGCTGCAAACGTCCTGCAATTACCGCGAATTTGGGAATATTCCAGTTGGTTCGTTCCACGGAGTCGCGCTTTCGAGCACAGAAAAGCGGAAAATTTTATAGTATTATGAGCTTATGGGCTTATCAGCTAGACTTATGTGTTCTGCCGAAAGCGCATGATACAGCCCAGGGTTTCGAGGCGATAGAAATCATATTCGCTATTCTCGATTCTCTCCATGTCCAGGTCCGCGTTGTCCTATACTAGCAGTCATTACATGCCTAGTGTCGGATTGGAAGCCCAATTCGACCTCGAGTCAGCGCCAGCGCAGGGGCCATCTGAGGGTCTCTATATCAGCGTTTGACCGGCGATCCAACCAACGGTTAGAACCTCTCTTTTCCACTTCACGCAGAGATCAATACAAGAGTAATTGACCCTTCGTCACCACGGTTCGATCGAACAAATCACCCTGTGATTACGTAAACCAACACCTAGTGACGTCTCGCTATACAAATGTGTAGTTCAGCGTCCTCTTAACTCTTCTGAAACTAATGGAGCTATGGAACGCAGCTGTGGGTGAGGATTCAGTATTCCGGGATGAACTCAGGGACATCCTGCGAGAATTGATTGGGTCACGCCCTTGAATCTAGGCTGGGATCTGAAGTACAGTCGGTCTTGAACTATGAGCAATTTCCTCCCATTCCTGAGAATGAGATATCAAATTGTGGGCCCTACCTCAGCGTGCGGTATCTTTTCATTATCAAAAACTTCAAAGCCTTAACTACTTTTCGAAAGGACATATCGCTCAACAGCCATAGACTCCCAATCACCTTGACACTCTTCAATCAGACCCCAAGGATACTGTCCTCACTGCCTGATTTACTTGACGTGTCCTGTGACACCGTCGTTGGGTTTCCTTGGCCACCCGCTCTGTCTAAGCTGCAGGGGGTTTGTGTTCGGCCTTTCGACCTGTAATCATTCAAATGAGTCCCTGATCGTTTCTGTCCATGATGCTGATATCCCCCTGGTTTGTTTCGGCCTGCTGCTTCTCGCAGGGCACGAGGAGTAAAAAGGGGCTTCAGCGCGGGAACGCTAGCGCATATTATGCCAATGTTGATCTCTAGCATGGACCAGATGTTGATCAGGATGCTCTGCTGGAAAGGATCCTTTGCGAGGGTATAGGTGTAGATGGTATATAGTCGTACGATGGATGTTATAGTTGCGAACACGCCGACGCCGAATATGATGCCCAGGGCAATCTTTTCCCTTCTAGGCCGTAGGATGCCCATGAGAGTCTTAATCGGAAGGATGAGAATCCAGATATCGGTCACGATGTTGAATCCGGATGAGACTGCTTAAGAAATTAGCGGGAACTTGTACATGCATGTACCACAGGGAAGGTATGGGTAAATCGCTTACAGTAGAAAAAGGCGGTGGTATTGATACACACTCCATCGACGGTCCCAGTCAGGTCCCACATGTCATAAAGTGGTTGACATTGAGATAGAGTGACTCCAACACATATGACAAAGAATAATAGGTGAAACGCAATGGTGCATATGCAGAGAATGTTGAGAGATCTGACGCCAGCTACCCCAGAGTTAGCGCGAGATATTTCCACCATTATGATACCAAAACATACCAAATCTGAGATACATGCACAAGATAGATATCTTGATTGCAGATATGCAAACGTAGTACGTGACTTGAATTGCGAGGGTGTCCTTGAGAAGATTTGTCATATTGTCAAGGCTCAGATCTTTGGAGGGAAAGCCAATATGATTCGCCTTGCCGACGAAGATCTCTGCGAGATAGGCGAGAGTGAATACCATTCCAATGATCATGCAATAGTCATCGAGGCCGGCTTTGCGAATAAGAACAGCCCGAATAAACATACGCGCAATCACAACCATGGCTACACCAGACCAGTCAGTTTTTGGTTCATTCGAGACCCAACGGAATGACTTACTAGAAATTGCTGTGAAGAAACATGATGTGATGATAAGGCTGTTCTGCCTCACTTGGTCGGACGCCATACTGCTGTGGACCAGCGGGATACCTCCCTACAAGATCCTGGTTATCATCAAAGACAACCCTTCGTCTAAATATCAAACGTCGTCGTCCTCTGTTATACGTAGATGCTCGATGGCGCTCTGGTGTGGCATAAAATAGGGGGGGGGCTAGCGGTATTTCCTTCATACAATAGGGCTGAATATGGAGAGCATAGCCGAGCGGCATACAGTGGAAGAAAGATGGCGAACTCTCTTTCCAGACACCATCGAGAAGCATGGAGACCAGATGAGAAGAGAAGTGGAACCTCAAAGGGCCCCGCCGCCCCAGGCGGCTTGCGACGCTGGAGGGATGGACGGGGCCACGATGCATGTCGCACAGACAACAAGCCACATCCAGGGCGGAAACGAGGATCGGATCGGTTATTGAATGACGGCATCTCAATCTCCTCACAATTTACGTAGGCCTCGACGGTCTCCCTCGCGAGCATATTGCGTGGGTAGGTACTACGTCCTTGTCAGGCTTGTCAAGGGGTGCAAGCGTTTCGATCCCGCCTAGGTGCTGCATGCTTCAGCCGCAATGATGGGCTCCGAAAGGCTTGCAGATCTAGCGTGCACGTCGAGATTTTGCGAGCTTTGCAACACAGGTGAAGGACCGCTGCTAAAGCTTTTCCGGGATGGAGGACTCTGCACCGAGGCTAGTGCCCAGGGACCTGTAGCAGTTCAAGGAGGTTTAACCAAGGCCGGACATGGTCTGACAGGAAACGGCCTAATGGCGCTGAGAAAATGAAACTAGTCGGTACCCGTTGGTTCGCAGTTCTGCACAGGTGTTGGCTGATTCTTGAACCCCCTTCTTCGCCTGTTCCATTTCGTGTTCCAAACGGACGCCGAGATAGTATGGCTTGTTGGAGAGGGATAAAGGAATGGGACCAGGCAACGGCGTGCTCAACACGGCAGAGCGGGTTGAGATGGTGTGGTGAGTGTTCATCTTGCCTTTGGTACGGCCCGAGCTTCGGGTTGTTTGTTATGGTGGCCGGGTCGAACTCTATCGGCCTTGGCTTGACGGTAGACAAACTTTCTGACGGCCTGGTTATACCGAATAGAGATAGGCTCGAGAGAATTGGGGCGGTTTTGGATTATAAGTGAAAAGGCGGCAAATGAAGATCAAGCCACATCACCACTCCAAATGTCCAGCACTCTCCCCACCTTCAATCACCACATTGCGGCTATCCAAATCCTTGGGTGTATTCCGCTGTGGCTGGAGCGGAAGGTAGCCTTGGCTTTGACTAAGGTAGGTAGGTTCTTGCCCCGAGAGATCTGGTATGTTCCGTCTTCAGGTTCAGCGGCAACAGGGGTTTCCAAGGACAAGTATTCCGGTTTCTTCGGGTTATCAGTTCCTGCTGCCGAGCAGCTTTAGGTTTTCCCCCGGCCACGACAACAGAGTTTTGTTCGTCGCCGAGAGGCAGCCGATCGCAACGTCACTAAAATGATATCCACCATTGCACGAAAGAGAAGTGGCTTGTCCTCTAAACTAGTGCGGCTGGACACCTCAATCTTGCAGGTGGACATCTCAATCTTGCGGGATAGTGAACCCCGATCACGATCCGATGTGAAGTGGATAAAGCGGACCAAACAGGTCTTCTCAAACGGTGCAGAGTGATGATGGGCGATGAACGGTCGCAATGCTAAGCGGCGAGCAATCAGGCTGAACAAAATTCAAGGCCTCGATGACAACTCGGTTGTCAAGGTGTTGGTGAGCCAGCAATCTTGGTTCCACATGGCGCAAGGACAGGCACTCTTCGCCTGCCTCCCCCCTTTCCGAAGCTCTCCCTGTAATTGCATGATGTGCGGCAAGTCCTCAATCACCCTCCATTTCCTGGTAGAATTTCTCCCTTCCCTCCCGTGCCTCCCAACATTAAACTTGAATGATCAAAGGGCCTAGTTATTGCCTGGGACTCCAAGTGCAACAAAAGGGCGCGCAGCCTGTGAGCCCTCTCGTCACCGGATGTCCACGCTTCTCGGTTTGTGATAGCGCGGCAGTGTGTGGAAGAACTCAGACCCTGATCAACAGTGGCAGATTGGTAGCAACAGAACACGCTCGGTGACGCTCGCGATCATCAGTCCGACCAGCCTCTCTTGAATGATGCAAACCGATTGACGCAGGGCTTTCGGCCAGTTGAGACATGACCACACAACTGAAGCTGTGGCTACTTGTGGCTACTTCCGCCGGTCGGGCGTTTGATGTAGGTAGCGTGGCCCAGCGCAGTCTCTCGACTATCTGTACCTTACTGGGGCCTACGAGGAAACGATTGTGAACGCGAGTCATAACCAACACCTGTCACAGCCCTACGGAGCCGCATTGAGTTAAACACCAAGACATTAATCACATCTGCAGGTCCATTCGGGTGCAGTCAAAGCACCCAAAACATCAGCCGTGCTCCCTCGTCACAACGGCGAAGCCAAACCTGCTGGTCGTTAGAGGGTAAAACTCTAAGCTTTTGCTGCGTTGCAATGGTGCGCGCACACTCTCTTTCAACAACCATCGTCACAGCCTCATCCCACTTGATGGTTGACGCATTCGGATTCTCCGCTACTTCCGGTGATGGTTTCCCATTGATACTTATCTTTCTATCTGGCGGAGAAAGACACAGGTCCAGCCAGAAAGTCCTCTCACATGCAAGCCTCACAGCCGCACTTTCAACAACTCTCATCTTGACCCCGAAGCCCCTCGTGTGGCTGTTCTTTTATCTTGTTTGCGCCCCGACTTGCCACCAGGTCGTTGTCTCAAGTTTCAATTATTTGCGACAGGAACTGATCGCCATCCCCCTCCGCTACAGCAGCTGCAGCCCATTGACGCCGATCCACCCTCGCCCACATGCCGGTCCACTTCCCGCTCGTCGCTGGTATCTCAGGTGGCCCAGCAGAGATCATTCGCCGGTAGCCAGACAGCTCTGGGTAAGGTACACCATGTCTCAATATCGAGCCATACCAGAGAACCAAGTCGACATTTTTGTAGATGATCCGATGCAATTCTTGGTAGACCACCTCAGGTTATCGTCTTCCTGCTTCGCTGCTCTCGTTTGCCACGTGGCTTGGGTGGCATTCCTTTGGCAGGATGCCAAGGTTGAATATGAGTCAGCTCTGAAAACGCAAACCAATTCAGACATCCCCTGTTGAAGAATTTTCAATAAACAAGGAATCTTCACCATACCTATAGATGCATGTGCGCAAAGATGGCTTGGTTCGGGGCCTGGCTCATCGTACGCGGACCGAGAACGTCCTGGGACCTTCCTCATCCTTTCTTCTGAGTCTACCACCTTCTTAACATACAGCCTCATCTAATAGAGACAGAGAATTCGACCTGCTTCAATAATAGTGGCATTTAATTGGGATGACTCAGGAGCTCGGCTGGTTTTACTAGTCTTGTAATGAAGACAGTTTTACGGAGTTGAAGAAGACGTGATCTGCTCCTCTGATATGATTCCGATCATCCAAATGTTAATGACGTCTTCTCATGCCTTTGTTTTTGTCATCACTTCCCAAAAGTCTCCAACCAAATCAAAACGCTGATTCGCGGAGGCATTGGGAATCCACTCTATACTCGGGTCTCAGGCTCGCCCTTCAGCCTCCGAATTTCGACAGTGAAACGCATTCGCCAGTTATTGGCATATCTCTCTGAGCTGAGAATACCTTTTCTTTCTTTCTCAACCATCCCCACGATAGTCAGAGAAATGAGACATCTCGGCAGTGATGTCAGTCAAGCTAAGTCCCTGGGAAATTGAATCAAACACCCAGACCGCTGATCACAAAAGAAGTATGAAACACAGGATGACCATGTACTGATCTCTACAGGAGCTGTTTCTATTTCAAAACGAATCTCTGATAGAAATTATTGTTCCCGAAAATGACGGAAATTTGCCGTCATCGCCAGATCTCAATCGCGTTTGGACCGGTTCAAGCCCTTTAACCCCTCCCGTGCCGGAAACAATGCATTTCTTATTTTGATATCAGACATCATTTACTCAGGCTTTAACCAGTCCAATCTATACCCGGTAAAACCCCTGAAGGGTCTCAAAGATCAGCGTTTCAGGCAGTATTCTGTATATCGAGACATGCTTGATTAAAAATATATTTGCAGCTTGTGTCTCGTATTTTCGGAGGTTCATCGAACACGAATCAGCAAACTGGTAAATACTTAGGACGCTGTGGCTACAAACGCTCTTGCATCCTTCAGGGGCAACTATTATCTAATGCAATCAAAGGGTTTATGTGGTCAAGAGAATACAACGAGCTACTAGTGACAGCGGTGAGCATGAACACGATATGAACGCTCAGCTTAAGCAATAAACGCGATTTATATTGCACGTTGGAGTGGACATTGAGTTCTTGATGATAGTAATATTGCATCATTTGCAATATTGCCAGAAATACTACAAGTGCACAGTTGCCAATCTTCGCAGGCCTGGATTAACAAAATGAGGTACTCCAACATTGCCTCTCAAACATGGGTCTCCTATCATAGATTTGACTGTGTAGAACATGTCTTCAAGCTTTTCTGTAAGTTATTGTTGAAAGGATATATTCAAACGCCTCAGAAGCAACAATAAATCACCTCAAGATGTTTTCCCAGTCTCTTTCCCTCACTCATACTAAATCGATGTTGTGAGAGCGTTCTCAGAACATCTTTGCAGTTCCTTGCATTGGGTATCTATTCAGGCAGTGGTTCAATCACTCCAATCCGTCTCCAATTCCTCAGTCAATTTCCGAGACTGAACATTGACACCTTGGACAGCCTGGCATTCGCCGACAGGAACTCCCAAAACCCTAGTCAACCCAAAAAGCCTGCCCATATTCTCCTTGGCACCGACTCTCAGCTCCTTTTTTACTGCACTTCTCAACGATCCCTTCCAACCAAACATGACCTCAGCGGCTGTCGGCGCCCAACCGCGAGACAATTCGGCCTGCGCGGGTTGCATCGTCATCCACGGCGTCTTCTCACCGACCAGTTGGGGCGGGTACACAGCCGAGAGCTGCCAGATCTGCGCCGCTGAGGCCGGCGTCGGCGCCCGGGCGACCACCCAATAGAATCTGCTCAGGGTGTCGACGCCCCCGAGCAAAGCCTCGTCAAAGTCGTCGGAATCCCCGCTCGAGACGCGGAGGAATTGGAAATACACCTTTGTCAGGCGCAGCGCATCGTTGGCGCGGCAGTCGCGCAGCTGAGACGTGTCCGCGGTCCACAGAGGCGTATAGTGATACGGGTGATCGGGCTCGCGGGCGTTGCCGAGGTCGCCGAGTTTCCACATTCTGGGGTCGTGGTCGGACGCGACAAAGATGTTGTCTAGCTTGACGTCGTCGTGGCAGAGGTCGTGAGCCATGTGTAAGTTGTCGAGCGCCGCGAGGAGAGACTCGAAGGATGGTCTGAACATCTGGTCGAGCTCGCGATACGAGGGCGCGCTGTCGGAGGCGTGCAGCTTCCTGGCCAGGTGCTTCAAAGTGCCTGACTTGAGGGACGGGGAGACGAGATGCCATCTCGGGGGTTCCAATGGTTCCGTGGCGGCCAAGAAGTAGTCTTTGACGGGGACGAAGAGCTCCTTGTCTCGGTCGTCGTTGAGCAGTGTCTGGCCGTCGTCTTGTCCGCCCATGATAAGACTGGCAGGGATCTCTGTGGGCCATCTTCTCACGGATCCATCTTTTCCTTGGATACAATTACGAAACGGGCTCGTCTCCTCGTTGTAGACCTTGATGACTGTATTATTGAACGTGAATGTCTCACCCTCCCGTCCTTTTCCAAGCTTCTTCCACTGGTGTTTGTTGTCAATGAGGATCCTGCGTTCATCGTTTGCCGTGTCGGAAGCAACTTCCCAGCCAGTGCTGGAGAGAACTGCCTCTTCGTAATCCGAGAGAGAGTCGAACTGAGTCGGTAGATACTTGGCTCTCATGGCCTCCCGATATCGAAAATGCAGATCCAACAAGTGGTACATGACGACAAGCGAAGCAATCGCAAGGGCCCGAAGTGTCATCCGCGCGGTGAACGACTTCAGCCCCCTCCGACGAGCCCCAACGGGACTCCAACTGCGACCTTTCATCGACGAGTGTCACACCAGTATGCTGTTATGGATGAATCTGGTGATTTTTGTGGGAAAATCCATCAATGGTAAGTTAGCAGCAGCCCCTCCCATATAATAAAGAAGGCCGTCAAGCGGCCGAGCGCCGTCAGAGGCAAACAGCTCATCCATGGCGTTTGCGTGAACGAACTTACAAGAATAACAGGGAGGGGGGCAGAATCCGAATTAAGCTACGCGGCCACGACTGTTGTCATACCGCCAAGTGGTTGCCACATCGTCTCGCTATCCCCGTCAAGGAACGCCGCCACCCAACGCCCAGGTTTATGACAGCCCAGGTCTTTCTCAACTCAAACGCTGAAACGGTCCTTCATGGTGGCTGCATCGAAAACCTTTCTCTGTTCTTGCGAACCTCACAAACAAGGTGGAACCCGGGCCAGTTCAAGTCATGGCAAACATGCGCCCCAAGCTTAGCGATGCCTGTTATGCCTCTTTGCCGACCGCCAGAGTAGGGCACCTCCGCCAAGGAATGAACCTCTGAAATGAGTACCGTCCTCTCATTCAATGCTATATCAATCCCGCCGGGGGGGGGGGAGGTGTTTTCGGCGAAGAATGCGTTGGAAGCCAATCAGATCATCAAGAGCGGATGCTACTTCGGAAGGGGGTAGATTGCAAGCGAAGACGGCACTTGAAGCACACAACTTGCCTATAACCTGGTCTCAGAACCTGGTCCTAGCCGGAGATTCGAAATACGGGAGACCATGGGATGACCCCGTTCTCTTATCGAAGGTGGAAGACCACCTTGGATGCCATGGCATTGGTGGGAGGGCGAAGTCAGAATAAGGTCAATTTGAGGTTTGAGACGGGGCGGGACAACCTTCCCACAACCCTCCCACATCCCTCTCACTCCAACATGAACCACAAATCAACCTTCTCAGATGGGTTGTGGGGGCTGATGTCATGGATTCCCCAGCCAGCGCCCAGCCCATCACTTCATCCGTGGATATGCCATTCTGCGCTACTAACTAGCCTTCCCCGGCCTGCCCTGGCGCCACGCCGTTGTTCTCAACGGCCTCTTTTGGGTGTCTGCCGAACTTTCGACGGAAATTGGCGCCCGACCCGGAAACAAGTCCCGGGCTTCTTCAGCTGCTGTTAGGTGCTTCGAGTTCCATCGGAATCTCTGTCCACTCGGTTTCTTTTCCTCTCCCTCTCAAGCTAAGTTTTCTCAGGCTGGCACCGGAGTCCGCAATTTAATGGACCGCATGAAATCCAGAAATATGCCGTCGTCCGATGAGTGGTTGAGTCGACGGATCGCCGTGCCGTCAAGCATTCAGCGGAATGTAGCGCTTTGACCGGTGTAATCAGGCGTGACTAGCAACACCTACCTCACCAATGTCGGCATTTATGCATAATTAGTTTAGTCATTTTCTCAACTGGTACTCTCCCTAGAAATTGCCTGAACAACATCATCATTAGACTCCCTCCAAAGAGGGGCAACACTGCGATCCATAAGGTTGGGGTGTGTCAGCTGAAAAGGCAAATTCCGCCTCGTCCGTTAAAACCCACAGACAGCCGCACAGCGCATGCCAAGAAACTCAATGGGGACTTGTGCAGCGGAACAGAATTGCTAGGGTGTTTGACCTGCTCTATGCAAAGAGTCCCAAGCTCGACATTTTGGTTATCGTCATCCAGAAGCGGGAAAGGGAAGCCACATATGCATAGAGTATACAACCAAGCTTTCCCCCGAAAAGCTAAAGCCGTTTCTGAATCCCAGCTTTTAGCTGACTCATCTTGATGCTCAGACTACGGCACTTTTATGATCTGTCCGACAGCTAATCACTCAATATCGTTAGTGACGGTCAAAAGTTTCATTAGTCGGGAAACCATGCGCAGGTTCTCGATAGCATTTAAAGAAACTTCAAACTTCGCAGAGTCCCTTACCGATGTAGGATTTCGTAATATCTATGATTCATGTATCAATTGAAATTACTGGCTGTCAAAAGGGGACTTGGTTCTCATCTAGAAAAGTAATAACCGAAATGTGTCTTGAAGCTGTACGGTGTACGATTCGCAGAGTTCTCGATGGTAGTACAGGGATTGGCAACTTCCACTGCGATCTTCCGTCCAGTTGCATAGCCATCGTGCCAAATACACTCACCATTCCTTGTATGCCTGCTCTGGTACTTTTCATATCATTGAAAATGCCGAGAGCGTCACAGACTTGGCCCATGCTGCACCCACCACTTCTTAATCCTATTGCCCTCTCTCCTCCAAATACACGATCCTTGACAGGACTCATCATCTCTACAAACACCTGCACGCCAGTGCCTCTCCTCAAATTCTTCCCTTTTGGACAAAGTAGAATTTAAATGTACACTATCACCATCCGCCCGACAAAGCTCCTGCTTCGTCAGATTAGCCCACTCTGTCTGCAGTACACTCAACCCCGCCGCGGTCCTCCGGCGTTCCTCGTAGAGATATTCAACCATGCTTCGCGGTAGCACGTGAACGATCCTTGTCTCCGGGATCCTCCAACACCCCGTAGTGTCATCGTTCGCCGCCTGTGCCTCCCCGTCGCCTTCGCCACGCGTAACAAGTACGGCCCTCTGCCGCTCGAGCAAGTCCCGCCGGAGCCGGCACAGGTACTCGGCATACAAGGACGCCGCCGCGGCACCAGCACCGATTCCGACTCCGCCGCGATTCTCCATGAAGTCCACAAACTGCGACGCCCCGAACCCGGATCGGAGACCATGGAACCCAAAAGCATCTTCATACCCGCCACCCAACCCGGCCACATCAACAAGCTCAACATCCACAGCCAACAAATCACCACTCCCCCTCGCCGCATCAACAACGCTGGCCCCCACGACCGCCGGCATAACCCGTCTACCGCTACGCCACCGCGGTGGCGGAAAGCAAGGCGGAAAGCCGGGCCAATCCTCCACATCACCCAGCGTCCACTCCACAAACCAAAGCTCCTCAACAGCCCCCAGCAACCTCAGCAATAAAGAGACAATCAACGGCACGGCCGCCGGCCTGTTCTGCCCGGGAGGTACCGCACCCGCGTCGTACAGCACACACGCCGAACGCTCCAGCGCAAGCCTCCGCACCCGTCGCAGATCCGCCGCCGCGAACTGGCCCACATCCCACGGGCCCCCGCTCAACAGCCTGGGCCGTTGTTCTTTTTCGTAGTCGTCATGAGAGAGGAAGAGAGTGTCCCGGTCGAAATGAAACCACGTCCGCGGCTCGGCCGTCCGCGTCGCAAAGGCGAGGTTGTATCCGCCGCGCACTAGCTCCCTGCGCGACTCGACGCACGTGTGCAAGAGCGTCGGTATCGGGGCCTTGCTATATAAGTAGCCCTCCCTGACGAGCTCCCACGCGACCTCTGGGTTGTCGGATAGCCATGCCAGGGGTGTTTCTGGACACTGGGCGGACGGAGTCCAGGGCTGTGGGATGGGCTTGCCGCCTGTGATGCCGTGCTCCTCGAGCGTCGTTTGGCGGGAGTTTCTCCCGTTCCGCATGCGCTTCCTAATCTCGCTGGCGCAGTTGACACTGAAGAATTCAATGTCAGGGTGGATTTGAAGCTGGGCCGGATGTGTGCGAAGGGTCTCCATGAAATCCTCGCACTCGACAGCCGTCTTTTCCTTGACCCTTACGATGCGTGGCGGGGTGGCCAGCCAGTAGATTTCTCGTCGAATCTCATACGGAAGGGTCAAGAAGCAATGAAAAGTCTTTGGAGCCATGGTGTCCTGTACCGTACTCATCAATACATGAGTAGACGTGAACAGACCATCTAAGCACAAGTTGTGTTCTGCGTACCATCAGTCGTGTATAGCGGGGTTAGGCTCATCTAGGCAGCAAGCATCGGGATAAAAACTCACCGTGCCGTCTGTGGCAGGGATAACACCTGAGGCAAGACTGCACGTGCGGGTAAGTAAGCTGTTCGTAGATCGATTAGTACTCTATCAACAATAGACTTCTACTTAGGGTTGATTGACAAATAGAGAAAGATAAGCGCTAACTAGTATAATAGTAGCTACCAGAGCCAATACCAATGTATGTAGGTTTGACGGCAGGCTCACATGGTTCAACTACCATATTTAACATCAAACTCACTAAGCTTCTTCCCCCAGAAACCTATCCCCGAAACCACGGGGTTCCAAGAACCAATGAAGTCCCATCCTAAATAGAATCTGTAGGAACTTGAGACGAACCAAGGGTACCTATTTTTGTAAATCTCTGCCAGAGAAACTTGCCCGTGGGGCCAGTGTTTCGGAGAAATCGAAGGATAAAACTACATCTAGATTGAGCTGACAATTGATTAATTCACCTGCTGTGATAGGTCAAGTCTTCTTGATGGGTGATGCTACAAAAGAGGTTGTAGCTCGTCATGCTTCATTGGGTGTTACTATTTGCTCTATACCTGCCGTGGGGGAGGACGAATATAATATTAGGTCGTGTTTGATCCTGCGTGTCATCATGAATAAATTGCTGATGGTCTGTTTCGATATATTTGCATCCAGGTGTAACTGAACAAGCTTCGAGCCTTGATCTCACTGTCGATAGCTCGCCTCGGTAGTCAGTCTCGCGGGCAGCACGAAATTTGCCCAAGCTGGCTTCATCCTAGACATCCAATTCGTGTACAGGTGCTTGACGATAAGCAAAAATCCACCTCAACGTTTCGAGGACCTCTTTTGTTTAACATTTTGGAAGCACAGGTGTATTTGGGACACCTGTAGGAAACCCCGAGACGTCTATCTCGTTCATCGAAGCCTTTTCACGACTAGCTCACATTGGCTACAATGTGACCTCATGGCCAACTCATCACTGTCCGGCCAGCAGTACTACCTGTGCGTCTTCGTTGATTTCAATTAAGTAGATTCGCTGCGGCACAAGTATGCAAGGCCCCTTGGAATTCAAAGTGATTCTTGAGAATTGTTGATTCTTCTACACAAGGCAGAAACGCTAAAATTTGGACCATCTTGACCTTTCAACCCCCAGCACCCAGAACATGGTTGAAAATGATTTATTTCATTATCCATATTGAAGAACGCCACTCCTTTTGGTCCACTGCAACTCAACGGCCTGATGAAACGCTTTACGGCAGCAGTCTCTTGGGCGTGCGAGGGTAGTACGCCGCGAGGTGGACGCTAGGCAGTGCCAGGAACCACGCAACTACGCGATCGAGACCAATGCCACCTCCACCGTGAGGCGGCACACCGACCTGTCGGAATACCGTGAGGTACTCCTTGATTCCAGCACTTTCGGGGTCAATGCCCTTGGCGCGGATACGCTCCTCGAGCTCAGCCGGGTCATTGATACGTTGACCACCAGAGAGCACCTCCTGTCCACGGATGAAGAAGTCAAAAGCGTTTGTGACGCGAGTGCCTTCGCCAGTAGTGGTACCAGCATCGTCAAGCTTGGCATAGAATGGGCGCGCCGTCTCGGGGAACTTGTCGATGACATAAAAGTCGGTGTTGTACTTCTTGCGCACGACCTCACCAAGGGCCTTCTCTTGAGGGGTGCTCATATCCTCATCGTCACGTACGTTGGCAAACTCGGCGGGGCCTTCCTCGCGGAGAAGCTTTTGTGCCTCAGCAAAGGTCAAGCGGACCTCCTTGCCTGGCTCGGGAAGGAGCAGCGGCTCCGAGTGGTAAACGGATCGGACTGTCTCAATTTCGTCGGCGCATCTCTCTGTATCGACGGAAACTCGGGTTAGCAATTATGAACGCAGGAACCAAATAAGTCAAGGACCTCAGGGTGGTTGATAACTGACCTTGGATGCCACGGAAGATGGACAGCAAGACGCCCTCCAGGACGGTGAGGACTTCGGTGTAGGACTGCTTGATCTCCATCTCCACATCAAGGCCGGTGAATTCGGTCATGTGTCTCGGGGTGTTGGAGTTCTCGGCTCTGAAGACGGGGCCAATGCTAAACACACGCTCTCTGCCTCCTGCAATTTCGAATTGCTTGTAGAATTGGGGCGATTGGGCGAGGAAAGCCTCCTCACCGAAGTATGCGAATCGGAAGACGTTTCCACCGCCCTCGGAGGCAGCACCGATGAGGCAAGGCGGTTCGAATTCCTTGAATTGCAGGTTTTCGAGGTATGAGCGGAAGATCTTCTTTACTTCGATACGGATATCCTGTGCCGAGGCCATCAGTAATAGAATCGGAAGCCCATATCTAACACCAACATACCGCAATAGCCTGCTGAACGGGGGCGCGCTTGTGCATGGCAATGTTATCGAGATGAGTGAGCATGGTTGCGGATGGCACCGTGGTTTCGGCAGCAGGCTTGGCGGCCTTCTCCTTCTCGGCATCAGCATCTCCGACCGGGGCCTTCTCGTCGCTGAAGTTGACAATGGGCTGGCTTGCAGCTCCCAAGGTCATGCCAAGCATGGCGGGAGCCGGTGCGAGGACGAAGCACTTGGTGATGTGGAGCTCGAGGCCCGAAACTCGGCAGCTCTTGACGGGCTCGAGAGGCTGCTTCACCTTGGCCTCAACCACCACGTAACTCTCGGGGTTGATGCTGGTAATCCACTTGACCATACGGCGACTGACAATGGGCTCCTCGTCAGAGGCCATGACGACGCCCTGGATGTTCCAGTTGCCTCCCTTGCGAAGCTCGACAAAGCCCATCTTGGCACTCTGGACACGAGAGTTCTGAAGCCATGCGCGGACGATGACGGTCTTTCCGTTGTGGGACTCGTCGAGGGAACGGATTTCGACTTCTTCGGCATCTTTGCTGAAGACAGGCTTGGTGCCATAGTTGTCCTGTGCAGGGTCGTCCTCGAGGGTCACATTGGCGGCGGCTTGGGCGAGTTCTGCGGCACGCGCAGCCTTCAGGGCCTCCTTCTTCGCCTTGGCCTCGGCCTTCTTCGCGCCCTTCTTGGACGTCGGAGCGGCTTCGTCTGCCATGATGCTGAGTATTGTCGGAATCGGTGTGGTGATTGAGCTCGACACACGATCAGGCGTAAAATTGAGGGTAAGGTACAGAGTTATGGAGGGGCAATGAGGGGCAGGTGGGAAAAATTTGGATGTCATTCCACCACGTGACTCTTATACCAGTAATGCACAGACCACTTGAGCTCGGCGTGACGTGGTGGGATGCATTCGGAGACTTGTTTCTAACCAGGAGGCCAGCTACACATACGCACCGGTGGACTGACCGAATTGAATCAAACTGCTCATACAGCTCAGCTCTCAGAGCCTCAAAGATATGTATGACTCACTGGCCGCATCTAAGCGCGCGAGAAGCACTCGTGAAGGGGGCTTTAAGCGACAACATCAGCGGGCCGGAGCTAGGCAAGTTTATCAACATCGGCGATAATTGTTGGCTTGCGTGAAGGCCAGCATTTCTTCAGGTCTGGTAATTGGCATTGGATGTAGATTTGATTGATCAATACTGCCCCAACATTGTTTCTCCGTTGGATTGTATGGTTCCAGGGTGTGATACCACATGTCCAAAGTTGGTGACTTCATCTCCCTTTTAACCAACGAAGTTGAAAGTCAATAGATCCTCCTTGCCCGTCCCGGAGAGGGTGTTGCCTTTCTCCTTCAGGTGCTCAGATTCATCTACAACCAGGGTGGCGCGATGTCCTTGAGTATGGGCTGGTGCTTCCTGGATCATATGACGAGGAGCCCAAAGACAATAAGACCTCGGGCTCGACAGAGCTTTGTCGCAATTTCCATGAACTCCCAGGATTTCTTCCACAAATGTGCCAGCCCCCGAGGTCAAATCTCAGCTAACCGTCGGGGCCGCTCAGCTAGGGCCAGGAAATGAGTCTCTCGTCCCCTTCAAGAGCATCAGGCAAGGTACTAGACAGAGCGTTGTTTTTGTGTTCAAATGGCCAGAAAAAGGATGTTGTTGGGCCAGGCCTTGTTCATGCTTCCACCCGGATTGCATTTTATCCATCCTCGCAACTTGATATCATATGTGCAAATTCGTTTCTTCGTCCATACACCAATTTCTACAACCACTTTCTTTTCAGTCCGTACCAAGTCTCCACAGCCCATCGCCGAGGAAATGCGCCTCCTCCACCACGGGACCCTTGCCCTTATCCTTGACCTCCTTCGTACCAGCAACCAAAAATCCAACAGCACACGCCTCTGTCTTGCCCTCCGCCATGATAACAACCGGCTCGCCCTTTTCCAGCTCGCGGCTCCAGCGCCCTTCTTCGTTGACGCCCTCAGCGCCTTCCCGTGGTTCAGGCAACCTACCACCCGCGCTCGTCAACCCGGGAGCCATGAGCGTGGCGCCCGAGAGCACAAAGCGGATGGCGCCGCGGTCGATTCGGATTGTGGGAAAGGCCTGGGGAAAGCGGTGGACGAGCTTGAGATGGGGGACGAGGGTGGCGTTATCCTGCTGGTAGAAGAGGGGCTGTTGCTCGGAGACAAAGAGGGAGCAGCGGTCGGGGAGCTTCATCTGCTCGAGGGAGGCCTTTTTGGGCATCACCTCGTCAATGTAGGGGTTTAGGAGGGGGTAGCTCGAGAGGAGCGAGTCGCGGAGGGAGCGCTGGACGGAAGACTTGAGCTTCTGCTTCGGCTTGGAGGTGATGCTGGGCGGGGTAATTTTTGTTAGCTTCCTTCTGTTTTCTCCTTTGCTCATGTTTCGTAACGCATTGGACCGACGGGAGCATACTCTTTCTTGAACATTTTGGCGGTACCGAATCGAAGTCTGCTAGGGGAGAAAAGGGGTATCACTGGTGTATTGGGACGCCGACGAGATCTGTCGCGCTTTGGGTAGTCCGGTGGTGGTGGTTGATGGTGGGGTTGTTGGGAGCGAACATCGCAGAGGAAAATTGCCCCGCAGTCGGGCGGGCGGGGCGGACCAATCATGCAGTAACGGAGGGGCAGACACGATCGAGAGCATTTGCAGTCGCATCACGTCACTTGGATTGACAGATAGAAAGGGACCCAAGACGTGAGTTTAGGGATTGGGGAGTTAAAGATTATAATTCTTCAAAAGTTTGTAACTATACTGTCATGCAAAAGCTCTATCGTAACCCATCATCGCAATGTGCCACTGCGGCCTAACTCCGGATCTCTCCAGGCGCAAGCGCAGAGACACCATTATCGCAATAGCTCAACCGTGGTTGACGTGAGAGACGGTCCCGTCCTCCTTGACATGTACGTTGAGTCTGGAGGGTCTGAAATCCTTGGTGACCATCATACCAGGCTCAATGACGCGCGTCTCCTCGGGGAGATCCCTTTTGCAGAAGGTCTAGAAACGCACGGTAATTAGCATGGTCCACACAAATGCATCAAGAGGGAGTTGGGAGCTCACAGTCTCGTTGGACTCCTCCTCGTGGAGCTTCTTGCCGACAAGCTTGTTGGTCCACTCCTCGGTCTTGTCATCGGAGGAGTTGTTGTTGATACCAGGTACGACGAGAGGCATGATGGCGATTTTAGCTGTGAAGCTTGCTGGTGTTGTATGTTTTGTGCTGGCTGATCTGAGCGATGATGAGTGGAGTGTTTATAACTTGTATTCAGTGAGGAAAGAGTAAGGGTGGTGGAGTTGCTTCAGATTTAATAGCAGCAAAGGTTCGAGGATGTCCAAAACAGGAAGGTTGGAGGTCTAGACGCTGCATCGACCGATGACGTCGTAAGTGTGTGGGGGCGGGGGTTTGTTTCTAGGTAGCAAACTAAGGGACTGCTCGTCCGACGCAAAGCGCCGCCGGGACGATCTTGGAATCGAAGCACGCCAGCCTCCCGTCTGAAAGCCTGCAGCGGACCCTCACACCTATCTATCCCTGTTTCTTATTTTGCTCGGTATTGGGGCCCTCACTAGATAATGTTTAAACAAAATGGGCTAAGATCGAAGCCCCGTCAAGGAATCTACATGTGATATTTTTTCACTGTCATGGTCAAGCTGTCATGCAGCAGTATACTGACCGGTTGGTTTGGTCCATCTGTTCTATTTGGATCGGAAGCGATGGGTGCTGGGAATACCGGACGGGCGAATGAGATGGGAGCAATCCCTTGAGTTCGAATAAGGAAGGTAGGAGCCACTGCGCCATGTTAGGGAGGTCCACGATCAGATTGAAGAAACTCGAATGAATCTCCACTAACGCTGATCTCAGCCGGCCACAGTACCTGCGGTACTTCCCATACCTGGGTGCATGATATGAATGCATCGCCCCAGACGTGGAGTTGAATGTTGCAAAATTATGAATGCCTTTGGGAGTACAAATTCACCGATCAAAGCATCCCGGGCCTTGCCGCCGTGCCGCCTTCCTGGGCCCGGTGGCATGGGTCCACTTGCCCGACATGGAGCTGACTGCAGTATCCGTAGACTACAGAATTAGGTAACCACAGAATTAAGGTAAGCAACCACGTACAGGGTTGGGTCTCTTGAGTCTGTGCACTTCCCGATGAGAAAGTTCGGCGCCTTCCTCCCAGGCAGAACCATTCGATCAGGTTGTTGCCGTTTATTCTTTGCAAGGTGCATGGACGATGAGAAGGCACCAGCAATCTTTATACCCAAGGTTCCTACCCGTTGCCTTGTTATTTCCAGGGCCTGACGACAGTCGGTCCGAGGAAAGATGCAACGTAAAAAGGAGAACATTCCATCTGCACCTGTGGAATTTTCTCGGGTTCCTGATATCGCCGAAGTCCTCCGCCGAGTTTCTCAGTCAGCGGAAATGCAACACCGCCCCGCCCCGATCTTACAGTCCCCTCCTTATTCAACTGGGGTTACGAAAATGTCTCCTTGCTAACAGTCCTTTTATTGGCGTTTTGCTTGCGTATTGCTACCAGGATAGCGACCTTGTCTCAGGTGGGTGCTTGTCTGGGATTATTCATGACGTCTGACCGCATCGGCGCGCCGTTTCCCGTCGAGGTTCTCGCAGGAAGGGGACTGGCGCGAATACAGTAAACCCAGCACTTCACTTGGTGAACCAAATACTTGGGAAGGCCATATTGCCTCTCTCACTATCTCCAAAGCAAACAACATATTGACTTGTCGCAAAGGTCAAACCAACTACGGGGGAACTCCAGCCAGAGATGAGCAGAAGAGTTCAGCTGCAACATGCAGTCGTCCGAATAGGGACGGAGACAAGTGGCTGGCTCAGCTTACAGGGTGGCAGGTCTCAGCCACAGCCAAACGACCAACAGCCAATTAGAGCCGCGCCGGGGATCACCACAGCCCCTTAGCACTAATATCAAGCGAGCGACTTTTTCTTTTCCTCAGCCATCAGGGAAGGGAAGCTGTTCTCTAACCCACCCGCCCCCCAGATGGCCAGAGGAGAAATGCTGGAGCCTGCTACACGCTACATGACGGAACTGGAGCACGGCAAGCCAGAAAGCAACCGACGCGGTGGCTCGGTATCGGCCTAACTCCCGAAATTCAGTGCAAGCCCCCTGTGCTCTGTGCCCTTCCCCCTTGCACACTTCGGGCCAAGCCGTGTGCCGGGAACAGCAGATGCTATTTTAGGTCAAGATTGTGGGTTTTGGGCGCTGTGCGAATAGCTCTTGTCGACAATCGTGAGCCTCAGAGAGAGTCCGGCGCATGTCGGAGGGAATAAATCATGACGGCTTCCAGAGCCCCGGGCAGTGGTCATCGAGCGACGAAGTTGGGAGTCTCTCGAATATCCAGAGACAAACACGGCTCATAACTCGAGATGAGATCAGACGATGATTCCACGTGAAGGCATCATGAACCGCCCGTGCAGCAGCAGATGCGACCAACAGAACTAATTATGGAGGCCGGCGCCATCAGCCACCACGACTCCAGCTCCCATTCGCCAGGTGGGCTAGCAAAGGGCGAGCTACAAGGGCTGTGCTGCAGGAGCAGTAGCACCACCAAACCAGACTGAAGCCTCCAGAACCGAACACCCTCCTCTCCGGGAAGAGCTGCTGCGGAATGAAGGCCCCAGCCCTACAAGCCCACAAGCCTGGCAAGCCTGGTCCTGCTAAGCTGCAGGTAAGCAAGGAAAAGAGTGAGCCTAAGCGGAGATCCAAGACATGACCAATCCCGACCCCAACGCTGGGGCATTGGGGCACACCCGTGCTGAGGTGCAGTTTGCTCGTGGCATTGGCGTTGGCGTCCCTCAGCTCATAGCCAGAGAGAGACAAGACAAGGACGGTGAGGTGACAACAGCAACAAGCCAAAATGGGTACCAACCAGGCCCAGCCCAGCCCAGAGGAGCCGAGAGGCGTCCTGCTCCTTCCCTTCTTTTAATTGAAGCTCATTCCCAGCTCATCCGGCGTGAGCCATTGTGCTTTCTTCCCTCGCCCTGCTCCTCATCTCCTCCGAGCACACAGATTTCGGACCTCTCCATCACCCCCAAGGTAAACACCAATCACCCGATTCCGACTACCCGACCTCCAACCTCACTTCCAAGTTCCACGGTCGAAATTGTCTTCAGCTTGTTCACGGTACTGAGAACCGAGGCTGCCGGTAACCAAACAGTCTTCCCAATCAGGAAGCTGCCAAACCCCGACATCAATTCGTCGCACAGCACCACGTCGTCTCCCCAAAGTCTGGGCCGGCACTTAATAAGCGCCCACTCCGAACCGCTGTCAAGCCCACCTCCAGCAGACCCCCGTCCCGGCAAATCATTTGCGGCACCCCACAAAACCCGGGCAATATGCTTTCATCCCAGTCCGCCCCGGCGCTTGTTGCGCTTCTCTTTGCCGCCGCTGCATCGGCCCTGTCGCCGGCGAGACTGCACTGCCTTCGTTCACGAAATGTCGAACTGGCTAGACTAGCAGCATGCGGCGACTCTGGATCCGTGGCCCACTGCATGGAGATGCTCACCGACGACTTTACACAGATCGATCTGGAGAGATGCTACATCAACGCGGGGTGCGACTTTACCGAAGCCGTCATCGAGTCGCAGTGGACTCTAGATAGGTGCGACGACAGAGGCAGCATCCCTGCCGAACTGCGCAAACGCCATGTCGCCGTCTTCGCGCGTCAGACGACCGAGGCGACCGCGGCTGCTGCTGAGACGGCCACCGCTACATCCACAGGCACGGCCACCTATTCCAAGCTTATATGCTCCACGACAACAACAAAGTCCACCACGCAATGCCCCGTCGTCTCTACGGGCGTGCTGAAGGGCAAGACTCTCAAGGAGGGCTGCTTTCCGACGCAGATCGCATACGGGACATGCGCGGCGGGCCTGCTTTGCAAGAACGATAATTCGGGCAACCCTTCGTGCAAGGTGCTGGATAATACTGTCTACCCCAGCGGCATCGCCGTAGCCATCTTCTTCGCCGTCGCCATCACGGGCTCCATTGCCTACATCACGTTCTCCTGCTGCCGCGAGAGGAGGCAGAAGAAGCGTAACGCGGAGAGAGCCGAGGCCCTGCTGAACGCGAAGCTGGCCGCTAAGCAGCGACAACAGCCGGTTGTGCAGGTCCACGATGCTGACAACCAGCCGCTCATGTCGCACGGCCAACCGGCTGCTGCGTATGAAGCAAATGGTCCATTCGGCGACCACCACCGGATGTAAGGCGGATATGATGGATTGGGGTTGTGGGTGTGTGGGTGGATGATTGGTCCAGCCCCGACAGAGTGCGTTCGTCGGCGATGGGGGCCTTGAGAGCAGTCATAATTACAAAATACCTATTGTTTATAATTCTGATCCCGGTATTCAAAGTTTGCATCAAGGTTCATGGGCGATTGACCTGCGAGGAAACAAAAATCCAAGCCACTATTCTCTTGAGTCTCTGGTATCCGATATGTCTCGTCAACCGCTGACCTTGCTGTCAAGCTGACCCTGCATAAAATGAATTAGGTGCTCAAGCATGCGACCGGGCCAAACCGGATGAGAGGGGGTCCCGACGACCTCGATCGACGGGCCGCGGTTCACGTGTATACGTGGATGAATGCTGACTGGAGAGGAAAATCAATCTAGTGCTAGGCGAATCCGGCCAAACGAAGGTATCGTTTTTTTTTAAGGGCGGCAGCTCCCATGTCTCTCGATTCCTGGGGTTGCGCCGTTTTCTGACAGCTGCTGCGACCCCGGATCGGTGACTGGACCGCATGCGACATGCAGCAGCTCTTGGCCAAAGGTTTGAGAATATTTCGCCCCCAATATGAGACGCACTGCAAGCATGACAAGAAGTAAAAAGACCAGCAAGACGGGATGGCAAGATGGAAGAGAGGCAGGTGGTGGTGAGTAGAGACGCCGTGACGCGCGGGTCGATAGGAAAAGATAGGGGACCTTGGGAGACTTTTGTGGAGGATTTGTGGGAGTGTGTGACTCCTTGCGGTTCAAGACTGGAGATGGCACGCCTCGAGATCGGGGAGGAAAGCCGTGTGGGGATCTCGGACGGGGAGTGAGATGGCCAATCAGGATGAGTCATAATCGAATTGAGTCAGCAGAGATGGCTGCCGTTCTCTCACGGGTGCTGCAATCGTTCTTTATAGCTGCCGGTACCGTGGGAAGGAGGTAATTAGGCGCTAAAGGTGCAGCAGCAGCGGCACAGCACTAAGTAAGGTACGATTGGAGCAGGTAGGAGCAGGTCAGGCCGATATCGCCACCCCAGATTGGACGAAAGGTCCGTGCCCGTCCCCCGATGGGCAACGCTTGTTCGTTCTCGCCCCCGTCGTGACCCGTCGTGCGCCCTTCCAGCCAGTCACCGGCCGGCTACCCCACACCTCGACAGCCGATAATTTTTTTTTGGTTTTTGCCCTTGCTCCGAAACAGCAGTCGCGCCTGTCCATCTTGCTGCTTTGTGCTGCCAAACTGTGAGCGATAGAATAGAGACACACAGCAGCGGTCACCTTGGAATCCCCAGCCCGACTCTTTTTCTGACTCTACAGAGTTAGAAAACCCCAATGTGCCTATCTGTGTCTGTGCCCGCCCCCAATTCCCAATCTCGAATTTGACATCTGCTACTGTAATTTGCCAAAACCTTGTGACTAGGCTTTCATTCCCTTCCCTCACTTTCCCTCTTCCCTCCTCCTCCTCCTCCTCCCATTGACTCCGTGATCTCTGCAACCTCCATCCCTCTGCGATCGTCCAATTCGACGAGCCGCTCCTCTCTCTCTCCTCTATCCTTAGGGGCTCGAAGAAGCATCACACCCAGTGACTCTTTCTCTCTTTATTTCTACTTCTCTTCCTCTTTTACTACTCTTCTCCAGGTCCCTCTCCACTCCACCGCCCATCATGATGCTCCGAACCCGCCACGCCGCCCGCGCCCTCAAGGCCGTCTCAAGAGCGAGCGCTCCCCGTACCCTCACCACCTCGTCTGCCGTCGCCGCCATCCAGGCCTCCAAGAAGGTCACCTCCGGCGTGAGGACACAGGCTACCTCTGCCACCTCCCCCGCTCCGTGAGTCTCTCCCCCATGCTCCCGTCGAGTGCTGCTCGGGAAGACGAATCCGGTGACTCACGAACATTTTGACTGACGAGTATATTTTCAGTTGCAGTGAGGTTAGAGATACGCCCGCACCCGCCTTCAATGCCGACAAGGACCGCAGCCATGTGCAACCTCTTGAGCGCTCTCGCGGCCCGGAGATGGACGAGTCGTACGTAGCCCTCGTTGGCAACACCCACTGCCGTTGTCGGCTTGTTCTAAGCGCGAAAACTTATGGTATAATACAGATTCATTGGAAAGACGGGAGGAGAAATCTTCCACGAGATGATGTTGAGACAGGGCGTGAAGCACATCTGTACGTGGCACAATTGGTAGTTCCAGGAACTACTACAGAGGCATGGCTGACCGTGACTCACAGTTGGCTACCCCGGAGGCGCCATTCTCCCCGTGTTCGACGCCATCTACAACTCAAAACACTTCGACTTCATTCTCCCCAAGCACGAGCAGGGCGCCGGTCACATGGCCGAAGGTTACGCCCGCGCCTCGGGCAAGTGCGGTGTCGTCCTCGTCACTTCCGGCCCCGGCGCGACCAACGTCATCACCCCGATGCAGGATGCCCTCTCCGACGGTACCCCCATGGTTGTCTTCTGCGGTCAGGTTGTTACCTCCGCCATTGGCAGTGACGCTTTCCAGGAGGCCGATATCACCGGTATCTCCCGCGCCTGCACCAAGTGGAATGTCATGGTCAAGAACATTGCCGAGCTCCCCCGCCGCATCAACGAAGCTTTCGAGATCGCCACCAGTGGCCGCCCCGGTCCCGTCCTGGTCGATCTTCCCAAGGACGTCACCGCCGGTGTCCTGAGGAGAGCTATCCCCACTGAAACCTCTCTGCCTTCTCTCCCAAGTGCCGCCTCAAGAGCCGCCATGGCCCTGCTCCAGAAGCAGCTCGACCAGTCCATCAAGCGTGTTGCCGACCTCGTCAACATCGCTAAGAAGCCCATCATCTACGCCGGTCAGGGCATCGCCCAGTCAGAGGGTGGCCCCGAGATCCTCAAGGAGCTTGCGGACAAGTTTTCCATCCCCGTCACCACCACCCTTCACGGCCTCGGCTCCTTCGATGAGCTTGACGAGAAGTCCCTTCACATGCTCGGTATGCACGGTTCCGCCTACGCGAACATGGCCATTCAGCAGGCCGATCTCATCATCGCCCTCGGTGCCCGCTTCGACGACCGCGTGACGCTCAACGTCGCCAAGTTCGCGCCTGGCGCCAAGGCTGCCGCTGCCGAGGGCCGTGGTGGTATCGTTCACTTCGAGATCATGCCCAAGAACATCAACAAGGTCGTCCAGGCCACCGAGGCCGTCGAGGGCGATGTCGCCACCAACCTCCGCACTCTTATCCCCCACCTGAAGCCCAAGACGATGGAGGACCGCAAGGAATGGTTCGACAAGATTAGGGAGTGGAAGGCCAAGTGGCCCATGTCCGACTACGAGAAGGCGGAGCGCTCCGGCCTTATCAAGCCTCAGACCCTCATTGAGGAGCTCAGCAACCTGACCGCCGACCGCAAGGAGACGACCATCATCGCCACTGGTGTCGGTCAGCACCAGATGTGGACCGCCCAGCACTTCCGCTGGAGACACCCCAGGACCATGGTCACCTCTGGTGGCTTGGGTACCATGGGATACGGTCTGCCTGCCGCCATCGGCGCCAAGGTTGCCAAACCCGACGCACTCGTTATCGACATTGACGGTGACGCCTCCTTCAACATGACTCTGACCGAGCTTTCCACCGCTGCGCAGTTCAACATTGGCGTCAAAGTCATTGTTCTGAACAATGAGGAGCAGGGCATGGTGACGCAATGGCAGAACCTCTTCTACGAGGACCGCTACGCCCACACCCATCAGCAGAACCCCGACTTCATGAAGCTGGCCGATGCCATGGGTGTTCAGCACCGCAGAGTGAGCAAGCCCGATGAGGTTGTCGACGCTCTCAAGTGGCTCATCAACTCCGACGGCCCCGCCTTCCTCGAGGTCCTCACCGACAAGAAGGTGCCTGTTCTGCCCATGGTGCCCTCTGGATCAGCTCTCCACGAGTTCCTGACATGGGACGGAGGTCAGTACTTTCCGCTCTTGATTTGTGATAAGCTAAACGCTAACCCCCATATAGAAAAGGACAAGAAGCGCCGCGAGCTGATGCGCGAGAGAACGAGCGGTCTCCATGGCTAAATCGCCGACGCGCAGCTTTTTCTTGTTATCTAATCTTTCCACATTGGAGGCGTCCATGCATATTACTCTCTCATCTTATACCACCAGCTTTGTTGGGTTCTCTTTGGCCATAAACGAGATCCCAGCTATGGCAGAAAAATCTTTCCATTGGGACCAGGGTTTTTTATTACGGGCGACGACGAATTGAACCTGTGTCGCAGGTCCGTCCGGAGGAAACAAGTTAAAACGAAACAGAACAAAAATTCCAAAAGTGCTTTATCGCAGCATTTTCCGTAGTTGGGGGCTTCATTCAGGCATTCACACAAAATCAACCGTCGCGGAGTAGGGTTAGTTTACCTTGACCTTGTCAAAAGAATGTACATATATCAAACTTTACGAGTGCATGTTCAACATTTTTTTTGGCAAATCTACATTACGAGAACTCCAGTTGTCTGTTGGCTCTCAGCTTAACTTTCGGGCTTTGCTGACTGATTAGCGGGTCTACTTTGAAGGGATAAAGAGTTAAACCGAAGGACAGAGCAGGACAGGAACCTTCTTCGAGTTCGTTTACTAAAGTTAGGAGACAAAGTCCTTAATCGATTCTGAGTTGAGAACATGAAGTCTTTAACTTAGGATTCAAGACTCACCAACTAGTACCTCGGAATAAAGGTCCCCGGGCATCGAAATTTGCCTCGGCGCTGACACGATGTGGAGGATTTGAGGTTTTCACGAAGGAGATCCTTTCCTCGTAAGCGGATGGTAGGAGCAACTATTCAAGGAACGTGTAATGCCATGTTTCCCATTATACTTGGTACAGAAACTGGCTTTCAAACGAAAACCTCTCCCTCTATTTACAGTACCCGTTTCTGCCTGCGGCACCGATCCAGGTATCAGAGCAGACGGAGCCGGTGGCGCAATGACATCCCGCAGATCGGTATTGACGCTTTTCGATATTGTGTACAAATCAGTAATTGATTAGCATGGTTGAAGCTCCTGAACTGGGGGCCTTTTGTGTTTGGGATCCTTGCTGGCATAAATCCAAACCCAAGAATGTGTCGATAATCCGTGAAGCAAAGATGGATTCTACTGTTGTCCGAACTAGTGGAGGGTCGACGGAGGACAAGTCTAAGAGAGTTGGTATGGGAAGTATCTTGGGTACCTTAGGAAAAGGGGTTTTCGACGAAGATGGCTTATAGTGAAATCCTATACCTCAACGTCACGACAACAACATCTAAAGAGGGGTTGGGCGATTTTCGAAGGGTTAAAAAACGAAATGTTCTCATCTACTCGTCTGATCGTGGTACATGCATTCCTGAGATATGGCTTTTGGTTTTCTTCTCTTTCATGCTTCACTGTCACCGCCACCCTCGACTACGTTTATATTGCTCTCTTGGTCGGGCTACACTGTCACTCCTTTTCTTCAAACAGGTCATCTGAGCATTGCCCGAGACATTGTCTGGGATCCGTGTGAGAGCGTTATGCATGTCATTCTCCCCGTTGATAATTCGTTCATCAGCGACTCTCTAGGCAAAAGGCTTTCCCTTCTCCACAGCTTGACACGTTGAGAGTATTCCTTGGATGATACCCCTAGGACTTGCACCTGGTGACTGCGGAGGGTGGCTGGCTTGTTGTTGAAGATAGCCCAGGCCGAGTCGTTGTGGATTTCACGGGAAAAGTTGCCAAGGCGGAGCGCTTGCCCGTGTCTCTCGGCGGTAGACTGGCGTTCTGCGTCGCCGGCGTACCAACACCCATCAACCACCATGTCGTCGTCGTCTGGATCAAAGGTGATCCGGGGGTCTTCCTGGTGCACTTTGAGGACACGGTGTTACTGGTGCGAAGCATACTTGAAGGTAAAATAGAGATGGCTGACAGCCTTGCCGTTGGAGCCCAAGAATACGACATACACAAAGTGGCTAGCAAAGGAGGGAAGGAAGCCAGTTGCGGCAAGCCTCACCCCTCTTCAGTCCATTTTCAACAGCCGATTTATAGTGTCAGGGATGACTCGAGACCAATGACGAAGAAGGAAGGTTAATGGTTCTCTGAGACGACCGACATAAGGGAAGAAGATAGCGACGAGGTGCACTTTTTTGTCTGGCACACTTACCTTCCTCGTGCGGACACACATATGTACTTAACCCATCTTCATAGCATTGATACCTTGAGAAAGAAGCATTCAATGTCGCAATACGGGCCCTATTCAAAAGGAAGGGCCTTGCGAGAACCCAGGAAAAAAAGGCTCTCTCGATTGTAAGCTGGGCTCACCAAACACACTCTGTTGCAATGCAGTACGGCAGAGTCTTGATAGCACGGATAAAACATGGAAAGTTGTAAGTGAGAAAACTCTGGTGTGATTATTGATGTAGTATTTCTGCCCGAAGCCACCCTCTATAGGCGTCGTCATAATCATCATGCTGTCTTAGCCGCCGCCGCGGGCTGAGAACAAAGCCAATAAATTCCCCAGCCACCTTGCTCGCCTATCACCGGCGTCCCCGATATGTACAACGGTAAAAGAGAAACTGGCCCATTGGGGGGTATCTTGTAGTCTATAGTTTTAATTCCGACGCAAAGCCAAAGAACAAAGAAGTGCAAAGGGGGTGGGGAGGTGGGGAGGGGGCCAAAAAAAAGTCTATGAAGCTGCGCCACCATCCATAGTCATGTCATGTAAAGCGTTAGGTAATGTACATCTAAAAAACAAAAACAAAAATAGTGTATGTATGGACAAAGAAAAAAAAAAGCCAGGCCCAAAGAATGCGGGCAAAGGTTGGAAGAAAAGGAGACGCGTTGTCTCAGATCCAACCGGGCAAGGGCGCCTTCTCCTCGACGGGTGACGTGCCGGGCGACGAGCGCCCGCGACGCTTGAGGCGCAGGTTCTCGAGGCTCCTCATGCCCCACGAGCGAGGACGTTTCGAGGCGGCGGCGGCGGCGGCGGTGGGCCTGGGTACCCGGAGCAACGGGCCAAGGCTGCTTTCCTGGTCTTCGGTAGGTTGCGGCGAGGGCGTGAGATGACGCGCAAAGTCGCCAAACGAGCGTCGCTGCTGCTGTTGCTGCTCATGCTGTTGTGTGGCGTCGATCCAGGGGTAAATTGGGTTCTGCATCATGTTCGTCGTGGCACCGCCACCGCCGCCACCACCACCGCCCGGCATGAACACGGGGTCATAGAGCTGCTCGTCCTCGGGGGGTCCCAGGACGACATCCGTTGACCAGGCGTCGCGCTCGGGGATGACGAGCGGGGTGCCCGGGTGCGGGTACGCGAGGGAATCCGGCTCTTCGGGGATCGAGCGCGGCGGCGGGTGCGAGACGGTGGCGAGCTTGTTGACGGGGAAGAGGCCGCGGCGGAGGGCGAACATGGTCATGCTGCTCGTCGTTGTCGTCGTCGTCGTCGACGCGGATCCGTCATTTTGCTGCTGGTGGCGCCCCGAGACGACGTCGCGGAGCTCACCGTGGTTCCTCCCTTGGCCCGCGAGCGGGCAGCGGGCCCGGACGGGCCGGGTGGCTTCGCCTGGGAACTCGGGGGCCGGGTGCTCGGGGGAGGAGAAGCAGGTCTGTCCCAGCGTCCAGGCGGCGTGGAGGATGCGGGGCACGTCGGCGAGGTGGCGGCACTCGAGGAGCTTCTTGAGGTCGCCCGAGGAGCGGGGCTGCCAGCGGAGCTGGTTGCGGGCGGCCTTGTCCCAGAGGGTGTGCTTCCACTCGTCCTTGAGGGAGCGCTGGCGCAGGAGGTTTTGCATCTGGTGGTAGTAGGTCCACTCGGACGCGACCCTGCTGTTGTTCTTGTTGCTGTTGCTGTTGCTGTTGCTGTTGCTTCCGCTGCCGCTGCGCTTGTCAAAGTGGCTGGCGAGGTGATCAAAGTAGGCGTCTGCCGTCTTGGGGGCCTCGCTGTCGTCCGAGGCCTCGAGGACCTCCTTGCAGCCGATGAAGCCGCAGGCGAAGACGACTTGGGCGCAGAGGCTCACCCTCACCTGTTCTGCTGCTGCCGCCGCCGCTGCAGGGGGGCACGCCTCGCCGTGGTTGTGGTCCAGCTTGACGTGGGCGACGTAGGCCTTTTCAAAGTCAAAGATCATGCGGCAGTTCTCTTGCGGGCAGACCCAAATGCAGTCGGTGTTGTGGAAGTTTTGCAGATGCTTCTTGAAGTCGCTCTTCCTGCCGAAGCCGACGTAGACGTCGTGGACGGCGCACATGGGGCACTCGATGGGCTTGCGGCCTACGACGGCGCCGGAGGACGGGGACTTTAAGCTGGCCGCCGCGGCCTTTTTCTCATGTGACGGGGTCGAGGAGAGGTGGTGTTCGCCAATGTGGTGATCCTGCCACTCGGAGCCGGAGAGGGACGGTGTCACCGAGGGCGACATCAGGAACGGAGCGTCCACGGCGTCGGCCCAGGAGGCGTCGGCGCCGGGCTGCTGGTTGAAGTAGCTTCCCGACAGGGAGGCGGCGTCGGAACCGCAAAAGGACGCGTCGGAGCTGCTCCAGGGACCGGCGCTGGTTGTGAGGGAGGGCGCGCTGTTATTGCTGCCAAAAGTGGACGTGGAGAGGGCCGAGTTCCTCGCCGGGGCGTCCATGTGATGAGGATTTCGGTGGTGTTGCTGAGGCGGGGGCGGAGGTCGAAGGGATGTGTAGTTGCTGCCGCTGATGTTCCGGAGGGTGGTTTCCAAGCTTCCGGAGCCGTACCGGCCGGCGAGATCGCAGAGGGTTCGGACGTCTTCAGGTGACATGTTTGACGGGCCCCTGTTGGGATACATGGTGTGCTCACGTTCAGTCGCTGCGAGACTGACGCTGGTGTCTATCGTTGCATAAAGCGTTGTGGTTGGTGAAAGGCGTCGAAAAATGATGTATTATGCTTGACAGAGTTCGACTCGATGAGAAAATGAACGAGAAGACAGAGTGACGCTGATGTCGAGTTTGAAGCGAGAGGTGGAATGGCTGTTATGTAGTGAACGTCAACGCGATGTGAGTAAGTGGACTTGATGTATGACGAGATTTCGAATGACAGGAAAAAGAAAAGCGCCAAGGCTAGGCACGAAAGAGCAGCGGTTCGGCATTTGTATGTACCCTTTCTTTGCCAAGGAACGACAACCGTCAAAGGAGAGCAACCGGGCCGCGAAGGGGGGGAAACCCAAGTCGAGGGAGGGAAAGACGGGTTGCCAGTCCAAGAAAAGCCAATGAAAGACATGGAGCGGCGACGAGGACGGTGGTGTCTGACGAGTGGCGACCTAGTTTGTTCGCTGAAGATTCTAGTCGATTTCTCTGTCAGGCGTGCGAGTGAGTGCGTGTGTGTAAGTGGTTGTGCCTTGCGCCTCTTTTTGCATTAGCGCGGGCGCAGGGCTCAGGACTGAGGCCGTTTTTGAGCAACGGTGAAGCACGCCTGCCTGGGGGGGGGGCGGGGCTTATTTGGTAATGGCCATGGCGGGTTACATTCCTCGACGATGGTCTAATAAGCCTTATTCTGGGAATCTCCCTTGGAATTGGGCAATGAGATCTCTAGATTCCCGTCGCCTGCCGCACTCGCCGCAAAAGTTACGCCGGGAGAGGTGGACAGGAAAGCTCATTTGTTAACAACATCCCTGGTCATCGTGGTTCCCGACTTTGCCAGACTTCACGAAGCTTTCTAGGACAAGTCGGATCTTTAGTAGCCTGAAATCGTGGAGACGAAGCAGAAGCAGAAGAAGAAGAAGGACGGCTCGGCTTCAAGCGCCGTGATCCCAGGACCAACTTGGGTAGGCGAGAGCCCGAAAAACGAGACAAGAAACGCTGATCTCGACCCATTCCGATGCCCGCCGGCTCTCCCCTCTTTTCTTTTTCCCAACCATGATTTGGTTAAACCATTCGGAACGCAACCTCTCTCAACGAACCAAATGACACAACAGAGAGCCTCGCGGAGCCCAAAGCCCCTGCTCGTCATGCCCGGATGACAGGTGCAGGTGGGGGAGGGAGAGCGACAGGACGGGGCCTGGCGCGGTTGTGTAGCGGCGTGGTGCCCAGCTGGCGCGAAGGAAAGTGGAAAGCCAAGACCGTTAGCGGGCTTCTAGAATGACGCTAGAACAAAGGATCTGCCTGACTGTATTTTTGGTTGGGGGGGAATGATGGTGAGATGAGTGGCGGGTTGGCGAGGGTGGATTGGATGAACAAGGACGTGAGAGGGCTCTTTCTGAAAGGTGTGAAATCATCAATGAGGAACCAACCGTTGTCGTCGCCGCCGCCGCCGTCGTCGTCGTATCGGTGTCACGTCGCTTTCGTTGCCATGGTGCGGCTCCTGGTCCGTGGTGAAATTGCGGTCTCGCGTCTTCCAGAGCCGAAGCCCGAGAGGACGACCCTACTTTTGTCCTTCCTTTGTTCCCCTCGGCGACACCAAAGAATCCCCCCTCTCTCTCCAAAGAGTTCCTTTGTTGAGTCCGCGTGGTGTCCTCTGAGCATTGCAAGTGACTCGGAACTCGGGGGTCCAGAGAGAGGGACGATCTGCTATCCGAAAACTTCATCGGCTGATGTCGCGTGTGCTGGGTCTGGCTCGAGGCTGAACTGGTCCCCCACCCGAGAGGTAAAGCATGGCACTTGCGATGAAGACGTGCGTTTTTTTTTTCGAAAAGAGGGGAAAGATGAACAGCGAGCCAGCCACATCTCACATGCCCACATGATGTACGGCCGTTGAAGAACAGGAGTTTGCTTGATTGGCGATGCCACTTGCGTCAGCGCAGGGCCCGACTGCTCGTGGGTGATTCAGCCGCATTCGCCATTTGATTAGAGTCGAGCTGCTGGGGGATGAGGAGGGCGAGAAGGCTCTCGTTGGGCCGGGTGTCTGACACAACGTGGGCCCCCCCCCCCCCAGGTCAGATTGATCACGCAAATGACTGAAAGGGGGACTGGCTACGCGAATGATCCCCCCTCCCGTCGGTGAACCCCGTCCAATCCCTTGTCGTGGCCCACGGTACACTGAGATGAGGTGAAGAAAGTGAAATTGAAAAACACCGTTCCTGAGGCGAACATGTGGTATTGCAGCGTCTCATTGGATATCAAACGACATGTACCTTGGCTAAGCAGAAACCCCATCTGCACTCTTCCTTTCCATCCTGCTCCTCTTCCATCGCCTTCATGTTTCATTTAGCACATCAAGAAACTATCGAAACCAAAGACAACAATCCGCTGTTGTCAAGACTACCTCTCCAGGGGAAGGGGGAAAAAAAAACCAAAAAACCAATCTCCTCCGTCAACTCGTTACCTCTAGTCAAAAGACAGATGCCTCGAGTTACCTATACAAGTAATAGACACCACCTTGCCCCCCTTCAACACCGAACCCTCCGTCCAAATATCACCTAGCCTCGCCTCACCATCTCCGGAGATGAACTCAACCCAGACTCACCCGCCGCATCGGTTCCATCTCGAACAAACGCCGCGTGTCCTCCGCCTTCCCCTCTTCTCTCCCTCTCACTCTCCCTCTCTCCCAAAGACCCGTAAGAGATCCGTGTTCCCCTTTTCCCGTCAAGCAACATCTCAGGGTCCCCCCGTTGCCGTAACCGTGTAAGTCCAAGTCCTCAACCATAAACCTGGAAATCCCAGCAGCAAGGAACCGCCAAAGCTAAATAAAACCCGCCCATCTCCACCAAAGAAGCGTCTATTCGCCAGGGTACGGAGACTCCGCTTGACCATTATCCTCCTCTCAGAGTCCCCATCCCCCATCGCCGCACTGACATTGAATGGAACTGTTCAAAGACCCCGTTCAAAACCCCCCTTCCCCCGGTTAGGTTTCCCGATCGTCTCCACCGACCCGCGGCCCAGGAGGAAATCTCCCGTCCGGCCGGCCGTCAAAGCCCGTTACCCTACGAATCCCTAGCTCCACCATCCCCAACAACAACAACCACATCCCAGATCTACACACTACATGTACGTTTTCCCTTCTCATCGCATACCCGGAATGCCTCACGATGCTCAATCAAGGCAGGGGCCGTTTAGGATCTCCCCCCCCCCCCCTCCCCCCCGGCCCCCACAGGCTGCAAAAGCTTTTTTCCCACCACACCAAAGAAAACCGCCTTTTCCCCACCCCCCCCCCCCCCCCCCCCCCCCGCCCCCCCCCCCCCCCCCCCCACTGCCCAGTGCTACAAAGGATGAAAAAGCTTATTTACCAACACAACAAAGAAAAGCGGCTTTTCCACACGCCCGTCCAGGCCCAATCCATCCCTTCCTCTCGTCTCATGATCACACTTCGCTATTGCCCCAAGAAAACGGGTGTAGCCGACGGAGCTATGCGTAAATCAGCCCACCAGACCCCGTCCCCCGGGCCCCCAGAGTCATGCACCCCAACTGAAATGCCATGTGTCTGTCTATCCCTAGCCGTCTTCCTCTCATCAACTATTGATCATCGTAGACCAGACCTAGACGCAAGCCAATCTGTGCCGAGACTACCCAGCTGACCCAAGAAAGATCAACGGCTTCATTAGGCCGTTGGCTGGTGAAACAAGCTCATGAGATAAAGAAGAAGCCTCGTCTATGGCAAATACCCACACTCCGTAAGTCCATACCCAGACTCTCTCCACAAAGCACACGAGCACCGGGATCAGCCTTGAGGGCGCCGACAGTCGGAAAATGACTCCGTTTCTCATGATCCCTATGGATGAGCGGCAGAACTCCCGCTCGCATATATTCCTTTCGTGCCCTTGCAGATCCAAGGGGCCTATGGGTGCCACGTGTCGTGAGCGATGTGCACGTCGCAGAATATCGGTCCACCGCGAAAGGGCTACCAGGGAGGCCTGCTCGTCATGTCAGTCTGCTCGCCTCGCATGACTCGGCCCTTACTCGATATGTCCCCCT